AAACTTGGTCTTAAAAAAAGCGGTGGTACATGCGATACGTGTCATTCCTCTCGTAACACTCAAGCAATAATATCATGCTGGTGCATGTTTCACGAGAGTACAATGTCAACAAAATATTATTATCGCACTTGGGTCTTTGGCCACTCCAAAATAAATTCGTAAGACGTTGGTTACCAATTTTATATTTTGTGTTTCTAATCAGTTGGTTTCCATTGGAGGTAATAATACGTTAACACGTTTTCTACATGAATCCGAGTAGCACATAAAACATCATTCTAAATATACTTTTTTTTACATAATATGATATACGTTTAATAACTTGGAATAATTAATATCACGCTTAGATAATATCGTTATATGATCATTGGAATGATATGCGATTTGTTTTTGAACTTTTTCATAATATTGTCTGCAATGTTTTATTTGTCGCAAAGCCACTTAATGAGTTTTTGAATTGCGATAAGGTATGCGGAAAACATTACCGATTTACTTATTAATTATTATTTCAACGATTTTTAATCACTTTAACGAAATTACTTATTATGATTAGACACAATATTTATACGAAGCAATGGAAAATCACTGGAATATATTTACAAATGAATTTGAAAAGCGTATTCTTAAAGATTATTCTAATTTATCACGCAAATTTACAATAATTTATTCGAGTGAGTACATATAAAGAATATATATAAAATAAGTTAGTACTACATATTATAAAACATAGATATAGAAAACTCTAACAAAACTTTGTTGAAGATTTCTTTTTTTTGTTGATAGAATCAATATGTTCATACAATTTTTGCGAAAAATATATCACAATTTTAATCCTTTTATGTAGTATCTTTATAATATATATTTATTTAATATATTTAAACAATAATAAATTGAACTAAAACTAGATTTAACATATTTAAATTATAAAGAAATATATATTTAATATGTTTATTCATAATTTTATACTTGTATTGTGCATGTAATTTATAAATATATAAAATATGTTTTAAATGTTAAAATATGAAATTACAGGCACATTATACATCATGACAGCAATATATATATCAGGTCCATTTAAACCGATAATATTCGATATTATATTGCCTCTTAACGAATCACGTCCACGAGTTTTTGCAATACCTGTAGAATGGAGAATAGATACGGATAAGTATTTCGTACCGATTTTTTGCTATCATATAGCTATAATTGTGATGGGTATGTCTCTCATGATTGGTGTCGAAACTATATATATTACTCGCACCATTCATGCTTGTAGTTTATTTTCAATCGTTAGGTACGTACATAAATTACTTTTTTCGTTTGATTCTGTCGCGGAAGATCGTGCGAATTTTATTCAGGTTAATTTTATTTTAAGAACTTAATTTCACAGTGAACAATTCGAAAAAATAATGCCAAAACCGGATATCAATATGAAAGTTAGCAAACACGGATACTACATGAACGCACTGTTCAAATTGGCAAGCGAACAAATGATGTACGAGGACTACGTTATATGTTTAAAGCAATATCAGCTTGCTTTAAAGTAAATAATTTTTTAAAAATAATCTTGTTCCGCAGTCTGCGTAATATATTTACAACTATACTAATATATTATTATTTTACAGGTTTGTCGATGTACTGAATTCATTATATCGTTCACTGGCATTAATCTCATTGCTCTTCGCTAGTGCAGTTATGAGTCTGGCTGGAATTCAAGTAAACATTATAAGCTATTATTTATATACATATTTTTTATTTTTTTGTAGAGAGAAATTAATAGAATTCACATTACTCTATTAATAAGCGTTAAAATGTTAAAATATATATTAAAAATTTTTTTAAATGTTACATAATATTACATAATACATTTTATATATTGTAGATCATATACACATTGGATCATTTCGAAGAGCTATTAAGATACATTCTTATTGTCTCAGGCTCATTCCTGCAGCTGCTGATCTTATGTTATCCTGGTCAAAAATTGTTAGATGAAAGTCAAAGTGTGTTTCATCAAATGTAAGAATTTTTTTATTTTGTTTGTGTTTAACATTTACCTTTAACATTAGCAATTTCAGATGTAAAATGTTAATTATCAGTATTATCACATATATATTTTTATGCATATTTTGGAAAAAAAATAAAAAATACTTAAAAACAGGAAATATATAACACATATTTCTTATTCAAAAAAAGTTTTAATGTTGTATTTATAAATTTCCTGTTTAAAAAATTATTAATGCTGTATTTATAAATCTATTATATTTCAGAATTAATATAAAGTCTTTTTATGGCTAAATCTGAATGTGAAGCTTTTGCTTCTTCATATTATGTTAAATTATTTATTATGTAAATATAATATATATACATATCATTGGGATATATACATATATACTATATAATTTATGTCAATACAAATTTTATATGATAGACTTTTTAGCGAATCATTAATTTATAATTAATACCCGTGTTTGTTTGAATTATCAAAGATTTTATCAGAATAAATATATAATATATAATATATAATATATATATATATATATATTTATTTAAAGCAATATATTAAAATTTTTAATTCCGTTATTTTAATATAATTATTTATAAATCTTGACGAATTCTTATTTTAAATAAATTTGTGTACAGATACGCTGCAGAATGGTATACATTTTCACCAAAATTAAAAAAGCTGTTGATGATAACTCTTCGCCGAAGTTTTATACCTTGTGGCTTAACAGCTGCTAATATATGTTTATTATCAATGGCAACTCTTGCTGCAGTAAGTATGAAAATCTTGAATTTCTACTTGCGATGTAGAGAAGACAATTTGCGCGTACTTTTATATCTTATTCAAGGTGGTACGAGCAGCCATCTCCTACTTCACGACATTTTTATCACTCAAAAATTAGTCAATTTCGTACATTTTGTAGAACTTTTTTAGTTTTGCTAAAATCTTTGGGCGATCATGTTAATTGGAGCCCTTTTAGATTCCATTTAGCAAAGAGCACTTAAAAATCCATATTTGAGACCACATTTTCGACTTTAACATAGTCACAACTGCTAACGATTGTGAGCGTAAAAAAGGGCATCTGATCAATAAAATGATAACACAGGGCGCAGGATGTGCGTTCTCACTCTCATGGTTATTACTCCCGTCTTTACTGCGTCACGCCATGTCATTATTTTAGTATGTGACATGCTGAAAAAAATATGCGACAAATACTACTTGGCATACGAGAAAGTAAGAATGTCAGTTGATATAGTAATATGATGTTGTGCAAACAACTACTTTTCGCGTTTCACGATTCCTGATTCCATAATTTCCGGCAGCGTGGACTTAACAAAAAGAACCGGTGGCATAGGCAGCACGTGTCATTCGTATCGTAGCTGCTAAACAGGAAACAAAATATGTTGGTGCATGTTCTACGAGAGTACAATGTCAATAAAATATTCTTGTCACGCTTAGGACTTTGGCCGTTCCAAAGTAAGCTCGTGAGAAATTCGTTACCGATCCTTTGTCTTATATTCGAAATAAGTTATTATCCGTTCGAGGTAATGTGTATCAAACAATGTTCAGACAGTCTCATAAAGTATAACTGTATTGCCACGTGTGTTTCGCTTTAAAAATTGACGTTACACGTAGATTTTAATATTGTATGATCATCGGGACGATGCGCAAATGGTTTTTGAAGGTTGCTATCAATTTGTCATAACAAGCGCCTTCATAGTAAGGCTGTGGAATGAGATTTGGAATCGCGATAAGGTGAGTTTATTTTTTTAAACAATATGTAAGTACGTCATCAATTTCTCAATCGTTATTTCAATATGATTTTTATCGGTATATTTTACTATTGTATTACGATTATCAGTTCCGCCGTTTATACGAAGCCATGAACGATCATTGGGATATATTTACAAATGAATTAGAAGTTCATATTTTAAAAAATTATTCTACCATATCGCGGAAGTTTACGATATTTTATTCGAGTGAGTACGCAAGTAGTGTTACACAATTTTTAAAACGGCGACAGCTACGAGAATAGCGATAGTTACGAAGTGTGATGCGTTTGAAATTATTAATGCGAAAAACATGTTTTTTTCACGAAATTACAGCTATGATGTACCTTTTAAGTTCAATGTTTATAATAATTCCATTGACACCGGCGTTCCTAGATATTGTGTTACCTCTTAACGAATCGCGTCCACGAATCTTAGCAATCGACGTTGAATTTAGAGTAGACACAGACGAGTACTTCGTGCCGATTTTTTGTTACACTACTGCTATAATCGTGGTGGGTATAAGTATAATGGTGGGTGCGGATACAATGCATTTCACGTGTACCACTCACGCATGTAGTTTATTCTCAATCGTCGGGTAAGTGTATCGCAGGCAGCGTGTACGATACGTACTTGGGTCATTTTGAGAAGTACTTTATAACAATCATAAGTACTTCGCAGTGAGCAAATTGAAAATATCACGTCGGCAGAACGTGTACGAAAATGTGAATGCGGCTTGGCCAAAGAGCACGAATTGTCGAAAGAGCAAGTGATGTATCAACAATACGTTATATGTTTAAGAAAGTATCAGCTTGCATTAAAGTAAGTCGAGTTTTCCCGAGCCATTTTTCGAGAATAATATTTTGTATATATTATGTAATTAATTGCTACAATTGCTTTACTGTCATCATTGTGATTCTTATATAGGTTTGTCGATATATTAAATTCGACGCATCAAACGGTTGCAATATTCTTCTTATTATTGATTGGTGCAACTTTAAGTCTGATTGGAGTCCGAGTAAGAATGAAATAATTATTTTTCAAAAAATAAATAGTACGGACATATCATTTTTATAAATTTCAGATACAAAACAAATCTTATTAAATTTTGTGTAAAATATATTAGATGTAGAAAAATAATGTTCTATTAATAGACTGTCAATTATATTATTACGCAAATTTCTTGAGAATAATACTTTTGATGTATTATGTAGATCGTTTACGTGTTAGATCAACTCGAAGAAATGATCAGATTTACGTTTATAATTATGGGAGCTTTACTACAACTGATGATCATGTGTTATTCTGGTCAGAAGTTAATGGACGAAAGTCAGAATGTATTCCATCGAGCGTAATAATTATTTTTAAATATACATTCTTAAATATACTTACGTACGCATTTGCAAACACGCACTTCTCAAAATATAATTTTGTTAAAACAATAATTCAGATAATAAATTCACAATTTTAATTTTAAATCGAATTTTAATTGTTAATATTCTTCTGTCCGTAAGTGAGAAAAGACGGAATAGTTTTAAAATAAAAATAAAATTCGTCAAAATCTTAGCGTCAATATAGAAAATATAGAAAATAAAAAAATTAATTTTTTCAGATACCGGACGGAATGGTACTCATTCTCCCCAAGATTAAAAACGCTACTGATTATAACTCTTTACAGAAGTATTGTACCGTGCAGCTTAACTGCTGGTAAATTACTTACATTATCAATGTCGACTTTCGCCGCAGTAAGTCAAAGATTTTATTAATTTATATGCAATTTATGGAAAAGGACTTACGCGTTTTTGTTTTCGATTTTAAGGTGATACGAGCGGGCATGTCTTATTTCACAGCATTTCTGTCGTTTAAAGATTAATTTATCCGAATTTCCAGTCCAATACGACAACTTCAGGCCAATTTTAGAACCGTTATTCTTCGAAGATAGTTTTACATATAATGTATTTCGCGTGCGTAAATATATTTATCTAAAAATTTTGCGAAACATACCTGATTTCCTGGTATCACGCCACCCCAGAACGCAACGTCTACGAACGCTTTCGCGTACGCTTCCCTCGCCTTAGCTTTGAGATTATCCAATGTGGTGGTGGGCGGAATAGAATTCCTACAACATGAGATGGACATGCACGTCTGCAAGTAATTTCACCGTTCAGACGAACGTTGTTCAGGAGAACATAAATTATTATTACAAAGGCATATCCGCGATCGTGGTGACACCGCCAGCCGCGGCCGCTCGTGTAGCGGTGTGAAATCCTTCCCATTCGGTTCTTCCGGGCTCATTTACATGCACGTGGGAGTCTATTATTCCAGGCATCAGCACTAACGAGCCGCAATCGTTAAACAGAATGCCGGGATATTTCTGAAACCGCACGCGTCGATTCGCATTTGTCGAATTCCCCCGTGCCGAATGATTTGTGCGAGGCTTACCTGTGATAAATATCGTACAACGTCTTCACCTGTGTCGTACGATATTTCCTGTATTTTCCCATCGCTTATGACCAACGTGGCCGGTTGGACGCTATTTGCGAAGACCGTTCTTTGAGATACGAAAGCGCAGATTCGCGAATCTTCTTGAAATTGCATGGCTGGGCGTACACCGTGCACCGTCGAGAAATAACTGCAGCTACGGCGCGTAATTCGTGTCTATAAATAGCTTAGATTGAATAGATCTTATCAAGTGACAGAGTACATATAGAGACGTGTATGAAAATACAAGGTCATTATGACGTTATATTTGTAACACGGGCAACGTAATGAACGCCCTCGTAAAAAAGAACTACTAGTATAGTTATAAAAACACTACTGAAATGTAGTAGTGTCACTGCTATACCAGCAGTGCCACTACTACATTTCAGTAGTGTTTTTACTGTACTAATAGTTCTTTTTTATTAGGGCGTAATGCATCGTTACGAAAGCAATATCAATAATGGCGAAATACTAATATAGGTAACTATGAAAATTGTATACATCGTTTCTTCTCGGGCATTCCAAACTGACTGAATTTGCGTTTACTGATGCTACAGCTTGAGCTAGAAAGTGTATATAGAGGAATAGAAAAGAATTCATTGGTAAATTTAAAACAAGGCAAAGCGACCGCTCTTCATTGATATTCTTACAGTCTTGATTATTTGTCACGCATCAGCGTGCGAGTATCACTTCAAAGAGATATGCAACATACGAAATTATAGTCTGTAAATAGTATCTAGTTTACGTGACACTGGTAATGTGACCCAGCATGCTGTGTGACATCCCGTAATTTTATAGTTCTACGATCGTCGTAACTCACGTCGAAAATCGATCGACATCCGACACCCTCTCATACCGCGCTCTCCCTCATTTTCATTGCTGCTATCAAGCAAGTAGAAACGAATCATGCTAGTGAATGTATTTCGAGAGTACAATGTCAATAGAATATTTTTGTCGTGCTTGGGTCTCTGGCCGTTTCAATGTAAGCTCGCGAGACGTTTCTTACCAATGTTCTGGCTTATAGTTCAAATAAGTTTCTTGCCATTCGAGGTAATATGGTCGTATTCTACTTTTCTCAGTGTCTTCAATTAGCCAAAAATGTTCAAAATCGTGTCAAAAAGATATCGCTTTTTTTTATATTATATATTTGACGGATTGTAATATAATTTATCTGTAGATATTAACATTATACATACATAGACATAATGGGCAAATGACTTTTGAATGTCTGTATCAAATAGTTGTATCGATGGCTTTTTTCGTAAAGTTATTAAATCAGCTTTGGAACCGTAATAAGGTAAGTATCTGAAACCTCGATATGAGTTAGGGATTTTTTAATTTTTTTTTCTTAATTTACTTAAATAAATTTCTTGTACAAAATGATACAAGGGGATAATTTTCCTGAAATTTGTCTACAGATAGAAGTACACTAATCTTGAATTTTATGCAGAATTTTCTGCCACGAATGCCTCCTGAAAGTCCTGTTTAGTGAGTAAATTTACAACTACCTGAGATTCGACTTGAATCTGTTCTACAGTGATCAAATTTCTGTTTTAAATTTTATCTTTATCTTGAAGAAGAGAAAGAAGCCTTTGAGGATTACAGGAGAGATTTAAATTGAATCGCAGGTAGTGGATAAACTTACTCACCGAAAAAGAATCAGGAATCATTCCATTTCGAATGCCATAAGCCCTGAGATCAGTATGTACGTTCTTTTAAGAGAAATATTTTGAAGATGATGGTGATCCATATAGACAAGACTCAAAATTAGTTTAAAGATCAATTTAAAGTCAAAATTACTTTTATTTACACGGACAAATTTCGAAAATTTTTGGATACTATATCTCGATATATTTAATTACTTTTTTCTCGATATACATATTTAATCGCATGCGTCTTTTTACGAATAGTTTCGTCGTTTATACGAAGTTATGGAAGATCATTGGAACGTGTTTACAAACAATTTAGAAGTTCGAATTTTGAAAAGTTATTCTCATATATCGCATAAATTTACAGTATCTTACTCGAGTGAGTGGATTATATTAGAAAAAAAGAGATTAGTGACGAACGCATTTTGCGCTTTGTGTGCGTAAGAATATTATTAATATATATTTCTCACAAATTTACAGTACTGATATACGTCATGATGTCAATGTTTATAATGATACCATCACTAGGACCGATGCTTCTCGATATTGTATTACCTCTTAACAAATCGCGTCCGCGAAATATCGCGTTATATAACGAGTTCGGAATAGATCGAGATAAATATTTTGTACCAATCTTTTTGTACACTTCTCTTATAATCACGACGGGTATGTCCATTATGGTGGCCGTTGATACTATGCATGTAGCGTGTACCGCACATGCATGCAGCTTATTCCAACTTATTGGGTAAGTGCCATGTTAGCAGTGTAAAACGTCCACGGTATTTTCGCAAAATTCGTAATTGCGTTTCGTATTGCAGCCAACAAGTCGAGAATATAATATCGAATGTGCAAATCGGTGATAAAGTCAACAATAAAATAGGACATTGCGCGAATGCGGAATGTGAAATATTCAGCGAGGAAATGTTATATCGGGAATATATCGTCTGCTTAAAGAAACATCAACTTGCTTTAGAGTAAGGGACTTTTCCTTGCGCCAAAAATATGATTATAAAAATATTTAATAGAGGCATGTAATTATATTAATAAAAATGATCGTTTATTAGATATGTCTACATATTGAACGAAACGCACAAGATTGTCGGAATTAGCTTCTCATTGTTTATCGCTGCAATCTTCAGTCTAATTGGAGTTCGAGTAAGCATTAAATAATTACTGATATATATCGCTCTTAAATAACCAACTTTCCTATAATTGACGTCGATATGTTACATTTAGAAATTTCGTGTTTTCGTAAATTTCGTGAAAATATGATTATATTTCAGATGGCGCGTGGATATACATAATACCTTTGATGTATTATAGATCGTCTATGTGTTAGACCAACTAGAAGAAATGATTAGGTTTATGTTTATAATCATGGGAGCGTTGCTGCAACTGATGATTGTGTGTTATTCCGGCCAGAAATTAATGGACGAAAGTCAGAATATCTTCCATCGAGCGTAATTATTTTATATTCTCATAAATTTTCGTCATTTTGAATATTTATATTTCAAAATCTGCAAATTGATTTTAGATTATTTTAGAAACTGTAATTCAAAATATTTTTAAATCGCAATATGCTTAAAGTATGTAATGCAAAGTGAAAGTATTATATAAAGTTTCTGATATATTACAAATTATTATATAAAATTTTATTTAAAAAATTTAGATTTTTCAATTTATGATATTTCCAGAAGTTGCGTGATGTATGCTGATAAAAATCTGAATAAAACATAATTTTTAAAATATATTCTTTCAGATACGCGGCTGAATGGTACAAATTCTCACCGCGACTAAAGTCATTGTTAATCATAACTCTTTACAGAAGCGTCGTGCCGTGCAAACTGACAGCGGGTAATTTGTTTCCATTGTCAATGGCAGTCTTCGCCACGGTAAGTACGTGTGAATCTGTAAAGATAATTTATAGCATGCAGGAAATGATTCATACGTTTCTAATTGTTTTAAGGTGATACGAACGGGTGTATCTTACTTCACGGCATTCTTATCATTACAAAATTGATTAATTTTGAAAATACCTATAGCTAATTCTTCATGTTTTCAATTCAACAAACTGTAGGTAAAAAAATTCAACGCATAATTGTACTTTGCGAGATGAGTATAAAGTATTCGATTGCGAGAAGAAAGCTTGCCAAGTATGTTTTTATTTAACAAAATCACATTTATTATTTATTATTAAATATACAACTCGTATAATATCAGCCGATGCGACTACAATCATTATCACAGCATTTTGCAGGTAGACATTCGTAATGTCAGTCTCTTAACGAAATAACTTAAACGAGAATTACTAATTATTGTAGTAACATTACGCAGTTGATGACTTTCGTGCCTTCGGATGCAACTAACTAGCTTTTTCAATCGTAGCTCGTGTATAGGTCGATTTACACAAGAATATATTTTTAAATAAAAACATTTGTTAAATCCCACGATGCTGTTAAGTTGAACCATATTCCAAGCTGTTAGCGTACCACATCTAACAGGACATGGCTATAAACTATAAATAAAGCAGCACAATATCGTTATTACTAACTAATTCTACTTCATTATCTTACTTAACATTTCTTTAACGTTAAAGTACAACGTTCATATCTAAACAGATATGCTTCGAATGAGAAATGCAAATTTAATAGCAATATAATTTAATAATTATTCTGCAAAGTTTATCCCTTCTTTTTCTGAGACAGGATAGATTAATTGAATATAAAAGAGATATATGAAAACGTAAATAAATACGGATTAATCTTATCTCTGAGATCTTATTTAGACAGAGTTCAAGTTTAATATTATATATATTATATAACGCAAAATGTTCTTATTTATCAAAAAGATCTATGAGAGAAGACAGTTGTTACGAATATTATTCGTTAATGAAAATAATTGATATCACAATTAGAGTTCAATTATGGTCTACGTACATACCCCTCTGCATACAAGATATTATTGAAAGCACGTTAATATGCTAACCGAAATGCATGAAATGTTCAGAACATAAAGTATTGATAATATAATTTTTTTAGCGTAAATTTTTAAATATTTAGATGTAAACTTTTAATTTAACAAACTCAGAACGTTTAGAAATCTCATAACATGAAAATTTCATAACATCTCGTAGTAATTCGTTACGTTTTTAGAAGCGAGATTAATAATATAATTAACGACCATAATGGCAATAGTTTCATTCGTCGGCGGACTTCGTTAATTTGTCGAGGCAATCATACGACTTCGACTGTGTGACGTATCTGCAACATAGAAATGCCTTCGTTAGAGATATTCGTATGTTTATAATCATTAATTAACGGCGCTGAAAGCGAGAAGCAAAGATTGTAAATTAAGGTTGTTAATAGAGCAAAGCAAAAGACTAACCGTATTAATAGTTAAACATTAATCTAAATTGCATGGTTTGCGTGACAACCGTTTATGCGTTGGATCTCTTCGGGCGACGTGAAGGATCAAGTTCCCGGCTTTGGCGCACTTGAACATCTGTAACGCTTTGGCGTGCGTCAGTCCGTCGAACGAGGCGCCGTTGATCGCTAAAATTTCGTCTCCCACTCTCAGAGTACCTTTAACATTACAGGTAAACCGCTGCAGACATTTTTTTCCCTCTCATATTATTACATCAAATTTTTATTTTGTTTTTTTAAATTAATTTATTAATTTCATATTTTATAAAATAAATCGTATTAATGTGTTTCGCGCTGCAAGCAATACGATACCTTCTTCCGCAGCTTGTCCACCGAGCATAATATCCTTCACAAAGATACCCATGCGTCCCTTATTGCTGTCCACGCCGCCAACGATGGAGAAGCCCAGTTTCTTCGGCGCGCCCTTCTCCAACGAGATCGTCAACAGATCGATGGACAGACTGGATCCGCGTCGAACGGCGGGCGTCTCGGCGCTTCGTTTCCTCACGACCTGGAACTTCTTCATCCCCGTCATCTTTTGAAGGTTGACAGTCGCGTCGTCAATGGCGCAGGGGATTCCAGCGTTCGTCGAGGACGACGCGTCGTCGGAGGGAGCTGACGGAACGGTTCTCTTGTTCTTCGAGAGCCACGCGTCGGGATCGCTTCGCGTTCGCGTCAAGGCGTTGCCCCACGTGTCGCCGATCTCCTCGCCGTAGGCAGAGTTCGGTTCCCTCGCAATCTGCAGCTCGACCGTGCCGACGCAGCTCCGCAGGGCGTTTCGCGCCTCCGCCATCGACATGCCGCGTATCCTACGCCCGCAGACACGTACGATCTCGTCGCCGATGCGGAACTGCCTCGACCTGGCCGCCTCGCCGTTGGGATCCATCTTGGCGATCACGTAGAATGGCCTGGCCGCCTCGCACCGTTCGACCGAAATACCGAGACCCGCCGTGTGGCCCACCGTCAGCTTCATCGTTTTCAATTCACGCCGTATCAGGATCTTGTTAGCGGCAGCGACAGGCTTGACGGATGCGACTGGATAGGACATCGTCAACACTTTCTTCGTCGCGTTCCTCGTCACGCCCAGTGTGTCGAGCTCCAGAGTGGAACGCGATCTCTTCGGGCTGTAGTATCGCAAAGGGTTGGTCATCGCGTCGGACAAGGTATGGATTTTGTTAGCCGGCGGACTGTCCTTGCACGGGGACGCGGCGTGCTCCAAGAGGTGTAATACACTTGGGCTCGAGCATTTCCGACCTTTGGACTTTTTCCAAAATTCGTCCTTCAGTAAATTCTGAAATTTCGTCATCTGAGACACGTTAACATGACTTTCCGGCGTAACACAAGGCTTCCTCCCGTCGGAGTCAACTTTCATCTTGGCGTCGCCATGCGCATCGGCCACGTCACATTGCAGCGTAACGTCGACGTCGTTACGGTCCACCACTCGGAGTTTCGTTAAATCCTCGCCGAGCAGAGCGGAAGTCGCGGACACTTCTTTCATCAGAGCCTCGCGTGACTTCGGCAGGAGATCCGCTTCCGCCTTGGAATAGATTCTCGTCAAATCCGGCTGATACTCCAGAAAATCGGCAAAAGTGTCCTCGTCGCAGCTGTCCGTGTCGTTGTCCTCCTCCGACATTAACGTGGTGGATCGGGTTACGGTCGAGTCATTGAAGGAGAGATTTTTCGCCGCGGCATCGACAGCGGCGTCAGCGGCATTATCCTTCTCGACCTTCGGGGCGACCGTTTCCGATGAGCGTGCCTCGGTCGCCGTAGCCGCCTCGTCCTTCTTCCGCGAGACACTTGCATCGAGTAGCGACAGGTCGATGCCGCGATAATCGTCCGAGGTGATCGAGAAGCTGCGCGGCTTCAACAAGGGAGGCACCGCCGACTTCTCGCTGTCCGGCGAATCCGCGCCGGCTCGCGTGCTGTCCGAATCGTACCCGCTCTCGTCGCAACCTATGCGCAGATTGCTCAGTAGATCTTCCAGACCGGTCATCGAGCCGGGAGACAATCCCTGGGGATACGAATTTCCTTTAGCTTCGTTGGCACTGGTATTGCTGGCGGACTGGTGATCAGACGCTCGCGTCGCGGTCCTGCTCTTCGCCTCCCCCGAGGATTTCGGATTCGCGCTCGTTCCAACGTTCTCCGACGTTTCTCTCGCGTCACCCTGACGCGTCTTCTCGTGATTCTTGAGTATGTAATCCAAGACCCGCTGTTGCTCCTGAAGATCCTGTATGCTACGACTCAGCTGCAGTTTCTTTTGGCGGAGGAACGCTTCCCGATTGATCCCGGCAAACTCGCGATCGTCGAAATTCTCCGGGCAAATACCTCGAAACGGAATCTTCCTGATCGCTCCCTCGCTGAGAGTCTTCTCCATCGGACAATGATTGACGATTACATCTTCCTCCTGTATCGTCGCGCTTCTCGTAGAACTCTTGCCGTTAGCAGAATGATCGCCGCCGGTCCTAAAGAGGTTTCTCAACGATTCTACTCTGGGAATTCTTTTTTGCCTCGGGAGCTCGCTATTTCCCTAAAAATTATCGATTATTCAAGATAACGTCTCAAACGGAACGAAAGCTTTATTCGGGCGTGTCTTATAAACTGAAACTATACAATGCGGCGTAATGTGTTAAGCTACTGTTGCATTACATTTTCTTTCTCGTTCGAGATTTCGTCGTAGCCGCTCTTCCGATGTGGGCTCCACCGTCGTCGCCGTCGCGGCACCGAAAGCAATTCGGAGCTGTCCGACCTCTTCATTTGATCCCATCGTCGACCCACCTTACGTCCCCACGTTGAGATTCCTTTCGAGCGGGGGGCAAAGGTGCATTCGATTTTAAGATGTCAATCAAGATTAACCTTAACTTTGTTATCGCATGTTACGGATAAGAGCGAGAGGATACAAATACGAGGATGATGCGCGAAGTGTACGCGTGTATTGCTGTGGACGTCACCGTGTGTTTATGTGTAATATATTACATTCCTACCTTTACGAGTCAGAATAGAGGAGTCCGTCGATTCTTTTTGCGCGTCGGTGTCTTCTTTGACTGGAAGAATATCGTCCAATCTGTCGTCTGTCTTCGATTTCTTCTCCGATCTCTCGGACGCATTGCTCTCGGCATTGTTCGTCGCCGCAACGTCTTGAGATATAGGTACAGCCGAAACGAGCTGCGGGCTCGTATCGGCCGTGTAACGTTTGAATAGACGCATCGTAAAAGTGCTACAAGTAAAAAATTATTTACTTATACATAGCTATAACATAAGTCGTAGCACATGTGTGTATGTGTGTGATCGAAAGATGTTTCAAGCAGGCGGAGATGTAAGTAATGTTCACAATTAATAATTACGTATTTCTAATAACTGCACGGCTATTGTTTCTCCTTTCTTTTTTTTTCTTTAATATACTTATCCCAATTACAGCAAGTACTCATAATGTTGACAATTAGACCGAGAGAAACGCCTCTCAAATTTGAAGATCCTACGGTATTGACTACGGTAATTTCTACGGAACACCCTGTACGTATAGAGTATAAGAAAAGCAAAGAAAGGAGAGAAACGTGGAAGGGAAAGGTGGAGGCTATACGCGAGACAGCCTCGGACTTCCTTGAAAGGTTTGTCGTCGGGTGACGTCAGCCCTCGTCCACAAAACGGTCGCCATCGCGTATGTATGTACATCTGTCGCTCGCCCATATGTGTGTTCCGCGTTTTTGAATAAAAAAGGAGCAAAATGAACCGCGAGGAGAGCATCGCCGGTAGGTAATCGGACAATGAACCCGTTCTCTTCCTTCCTATTCCTTGTTTTTTTTCCGCGCACCACGTCTCCTCTTCCACGCGATTTGCTCCATTAAGAGTCTTTCACGTCTGCATATTAAACGGACGTGATATTACGTTTACATATTCTAATATTACACAATGGAAGGAACAACGATTTAAAAAATTAATGAATATATTAACAACGATGTTAGGCAATTAATAAAATTTTCAATGTGCAACAGAAAAAACGTTATCGTATTATTATCGCGCTATTGTTTAAGAGACGATGCGTCTGCGTAAACTGAAACTTAAGCTGCGGGAACGTTGGTCGAGAGTATATCTGGAAAAGACTAAAGTAACGGTTGATATCTTCGGTACGATTTACGCGATTGCAAATTCAACGAGTACAAATAGCACAGATCTACCTGGGTCGAATAAAGCTCTTTGTGCTGAAGAAATTAACATGTTGCATCCGCGTTTACTATTGTAAAAAATATAAATCAAGTTTTCAGTTAAATTACGCGAATAGGTAGAATTGTCGCGCTTTTAGTCGACTTCAATTTTATAACTAATTGTAAGTAGGTATGAGTAAGGCAGTGTTCAATTTTATAATTCTCGCAAGTAAGACAATTTTATATACAATATTAATTTGACCTAGAAGACCGTGTAAGGGAATAACACAAAAGTTGAGAGCGCCTTACGGCCATCGGATCTTGGTGCCTAATAAATTCTACGTGATTTTTTAAATCCATTATTTAGCTACTTAAATTGCGCGCCGAATAAATTTTCGGATTTGCAACGCAATCATTAAGCTGGAAGTTGGAATAGTGTGATCGATCTTTATTTCTTAATGATTCGATGCTTATAAGCATCTTAAAAATTTTATATGTCTTTTTACAATTTTATTCATGCGAAAGTATTACGTGGACCTGTTACTCGGAGTAACAGTGAGTCGAAGCTGTTAGCATAGCGGAGCCAGAGCGAAGTCCTAATTTGGACTCGGATTACGAAACACAGTCTCTTCATTTTCCGATGAATTCGTGGCTACCAAATATGGAAGATAAAATTAACGCCCGCACAAATGTGTCTCGCACAATAAATGCAAGGCGGTCTGGGTGTTCTATAACAGGAACTGGCCATTGTAAAAATATATTTTCAATGCGGTTTAACGGTTCGGGCACCGTATAGCCCGAAAGTTTATGTTATTTGCTTAAACACGGGATTTGCGTAAAGTCAGTTATATACAATACGTATAAACACAGAAATAGAAAGAGAGAAAGAGATGCGGGCGTCTGATAATGCTCTTTGCACGGGCTCGCGCTTTCACGTCTGCACTGTTAGGCACACCTGACTCTCCAACCAGCCATGGGAATAACCTGCCGTGCCTGTCGGGAAGCGCTGGTATAGCGCACCAGGGAGCAGATGTCCATTGTCCTTGCGAACGAGGGACAACAGCTACCCATCACCCTCATCATTTCATCGATTATACGTGTAGTTCTACGTAATAACGAGAGACCGCTAACTACGGCTTCTGTTTTTTTATATTTATATTGTACGCCTAGAGGTCTGGCTCAAAATCCGGTTCTCAATATGGTCCGACTAAGTACTCGGCTCTCTGGAAAAAAAATACAAATTCGATTCGGCAGGTCTGAAGGAACGAAATCGGTGTCACGCACCAACGGCAAGATGCGGCAAATATCTCGGTCGTTCGACAGATCTCTTTCTCCCTTTTCTCTCCTCTCCCGAAAATTGCCGTATCCCTCCCATACTTTTTTTCTTTGCTCGTCACCGAACGGCGTCCCGTAGAAAGTAAAACTATCTGCCCCGAGGCCGCGTGTCCTCGAACGCACCTCGGTCTGGCACACATTCGCTACACAAATAACGTAGACAGATCGTTTTCCAAACGGCTCGCGGATTTGATAAAAAATGTTGACAGTCAATTGCCAATCAACAGTCGAAGAAACTTATTGTTAGCTCAGAGTAAACTTGTTTTATAAGGTAGAAGCATTCGCAATACAGCCATGCACTTTTACTGGATACATTTTAATGCATTTTTTCAGCGCTATTTAAACTACAGGTGAGAGAAAATTCGTTCGAAAAGCCGGTGGACAAAATTCAACTTCTCCGTGACGCATAAAAATGATGGGTTAATATAAGTGCATATAATCACGAGTACTGCGTGGAGGGTAAAAATATGTGCACCTGCACACCCCTGTGTATTCGTGCAAAGGGTAGAAAACTCATTTGAAAGTACTATTATCTTTTCGATTAAAATTTTATAGAGTAGTGCATTAATACATATTCATGATAGAGATGGGTAAACTATTCCAATACAATTGGAAGTTTTACATGAATGAATATAATACTTTTGAATTTGTGATGAGATGAAGGCGATCAATAAAACATTTAAAAATACATTTATGAAGTTATTACGAATCCGTCGTAATCGTTTTTGCAAACGATCAAATATTATAGTTCGATTCTTAAATCAAATCATAGAGATTAAAATCAAAGCTATTCAAAAATTTCGAATTTAAGAAAGAATTAAATTCCGAATACGAAAATTATGAAAATTACGAAATTAAATAATATTATAACATTGATATAATATTGACAATCTTATAAAATCCTATTTTTTGCTAATAAGTAAAACGGGTAGAAATCTTTTTTTTTATTATTTATAAATTAAAATTAAACCTAAGAATAATTGTTATTAATTAAATAATGTTTCAATGATTTGATTTGATTAAATTTTATTCTGGTAAAATTTGTTTCGATCTGGATTTGAACAAAAAAAAAAGAATTGATTTAATTCGACTTTGAAAACCTTGATTCGATCTCTAATTAGTCTAATTCATCATCAAGGTGAAATTTTTATTCTCGTGTCGATCGCACGCGAGAAAATCCTTATTAAATACTTACACTTATTTAATATCGTATTTCCCGGTTGTCCGTCAATGTGTTAAAAGGGGCGTGTTTAATCCGACAGAATAAAACGAGCGTACTGCATAACTGTAATGCATCTCGCGCATCGCTTACGAACTTATACCGTTATCTTGAAATAGGTGAGTTCGCGGTGCGTACATAGCGCGCTGCGTACATCTGACAGTTAATTACGTTGTTTGTATTAACATTGTCGATACGATCGAGTAAAATGGATTACGCGTGACTTGCGACATTAAAGCTTATCGCAAATGATGCTCGGCGCTACTCGAAAAAAAAATATTTGCGATAGATTTTACTCTTCCCCTCCATTGTTACGATTGGAATGTTATCGCATCGATGCGCGACCGCTCTATCAAAGCTCAAGATGCGATGCTCGATTTGCGGAATATTTATCATTTGAAGGCGCGAATATGCAATATTCGTTACACACAATGTAACGATATTAACGATATAGCGCGCAGTGCATAACGTGTGAGATGTTGGTAACGCGATTTATTCCATATACGCACTCTTGGCGTATGTACTCGGTGTACCGTGAACATCAAGGTATCGCCGCTTCTTGGTCACGGATCATTGCCACAGTGAAAGGGTTAACGTTATTCGCTCAAGTATCATGTGAAAAATATAATGATACGTTAATAATGGCTAGGATGACCTAGAAAACCTTGACCTTCGCCAGTAATATGATATTAATGCAAATAATAATAATGACTATTAGACAAAATTGCATACTTATTTACCGCAAGAATACATGAGAAGAATATATGCTAAGAAGAGTATATATACTCGCGTATACATTTAAATTTATGCATCGCTTGATACGAATTTTTTATTACGTCAATGTGTGTTTTTTGTAAATATTTATCTCTCTGCAAAACAGAGTAAATGGACGTTCGGAAATAATAAGTTAGCACAGCTGTTATTCGCGACTGCAAATTGACTTTAATTCATTCTACTCTTCGAGAATTGAATTGAATTAGATAAATGTTAAAGTTTAAAATAATTTGGATAATCTTCAGTATGTGTTGCTTTACACAACTATGTGAATTACATTATACGAATTAAGAATTGCTGTGCTCCAAATTTTTGCACGTTCCAACATACAATTAGCGCAATTTGTAATTCGTGTAGGCAGACGAGAGCGTGCCTACGAGAATAACAGAAATGTTCCGACTTAACTCTTGCCGACTCTTAGCCGAGCTAATGTTTGTTTTCGCGGCCAATGTTCAGCAATTTGTATTTTTTGCAGGGAGAGATAATTTAGTACCGTAGATTTATCAATAACAGAAATCTCTGGTCGAATCAAAAGCCGGCGTAGCTTCTGGTAGCATCGTGACTTATACGTGCACGTGTACTGTACGTGAGATTAATGTGTCGGAGCTCTAAATTATGCGGAACCGGCTGTGTATATGACGTTTGTATACGTCAATGTCCTCTGAGAAAGCATGTGTTGATATCTAGTAGGCGTTAAGCACGGCTGAATGTAAACCAACTGAGGAGCAGACGAAGCGCTCCAACGTCGTACAAATCCAGCGATTAACATTCCGCGTTAAGTTGGACAACGAAGGAAATTACTTAGTTACTCGGATAAAATGGAAAGAGCTTTGTTAAGTCAATTATCAGATAGCGTGACGTTATCTGTCGAGAGGAGATATTTGAAGGGCGCAGAGGTTGCGTGTGCGGTTATTAATTGCGAATGTCGGGATGGAAGATGAGGCGGTGAGAGAAAGAGAGACAAAGGTGACTTGGGGACTTGCCTTCAAAGGACGTTACTGTTCCTCGACCGCGCGAACATGGTCCCGCGGATGAGACGGTGCGTCATCCGGCTCCCGATCCGATCTCTCGATTCTCGATCTTGATTTTTCACCCGCGCGCCCGCGAACCCGGAAACGTGCCGATAAGCAAAAGCGCTCGACGAGACTGCTGTACGGCCGTCCGTATATTGCACGCTCCGCTTTGGAGGCAACCCGCGGGCAACTGGAGGAACGACGCACCCGATATATCTGCCACCGGACGACGAGAGGGAAGTAGCCCCGCTCGCTCGCTCACTCGGCCCGTACGAACGCTCACCGGCAGGACTCGCTCGAAACTGCCGGTATCACACAAGAGGCACCGATTGCCTGTGGCGCTACCTGCATGGGGATACAATCCCTTTACCTCTCTCCCACCTCTCTTTATTCGTCTCCGTTTCTCCCCTTTAATAATTATATTAATGATAATGCTCCACAATAATAACAGTAACGACAACGATAACAGCGCTACTCATATCTTTTTTTCCAACCGACCTTGAGTTCCGTCAGCTTAATTGCAGCTTATTTTAACAGAACTGATAACAACTGCATGACCGCGCGGTTCGCTGAAAATGAAAGAGGGTACAAGGTTTATTTCGGCTTCCTGAAATATCGAAGCGGGCGAGGGGCATTGCACTGCGACGCGCACTAAATCCGGACGCGGTAAAAAGCGCTGGCGATGGCTATTTTCAGTAAAATTATCGCGTATTGCTCGACTCCGCGCAAAGAAGTCGGGCAAGTGTGAGAAGAACCTGTGGGGAGAGAAACAGGTTCTAGATTCATTCACATCTCCTCCGCCGAGGCCTTGAGCCGTGCAAAAAGCGCTCTCTCTATGCGATTCCTATACACCATAGACTCATCTTGTAATCCGCCATGGCTACTGGTGAGCTGGGAAAACGAGCGAACAGTGGACGGACGGAGGGTATCCGCTGATACAACCTGGAAAAATCTGGTTTCACTCGTTACAGAAGAAAAAAGCTGACCGCAGTGGCGAATCGAACAGCCGGTACCCACACTTCGTGTCGTTCAGAAGCGCGCTAATCTATAAAAACGTAGGCCGCGCGGGTAGACTACGAAACCCTGGCGTTTAAGGAACACCACGACGTGGCCCACGCCTGTCTCACTATATATAATCTCACATGTGATCAGGCAGGCGATAAATTAATGCTAGAGGCACGGATACACGGGTGTACCTTAATGTCGCGCACAATGAAGAGCGTTGATTTACGAGACGGCCCAAAAAAGTGCTGATCTCTCGCGGCATGGTAAGCCGATTTGAAAGACTTCTTTTGGGAAGGAACATTCCTTCGAAAAGCCCTCTCGAAAGAGAGTATACGTTATAATGTATAAAAACAGGAAGTCACTTGTTTCGTTTGCACACATATTCAAGCCGAGTTTCCTCACTGGAAAAGCGTATGCGTACCGGACCATACCCTGCGTACGGTGCGATTATCTCGAGTGAAATTAACAATAGTATCCGGACTCGGGATATAACTATACGTTGGCCGCGCATCGTGGGCTACCTGCTTGAATAAATTGAAATCGACATCGAAAAAGGAGAAAAATTACACGCCGACGTCGGCGCCGACTTATTTAGCAATACGACGAACGATAAGCAATGTAAAAACCCGTATGTCTATAAAGCAGCCGTTCCCCCCGCCGTAATATCCAGCGGCAATCATTATATCCCGCTGTTACGCGCGCGGTTGTTGTTCTCATCGACTCAATCAGAAAGCTAATTAAATGTACCGTCGCGCCGTGCAATTAAGGAAAATGAGCGACCCTCCGAGACGCAAATCGAAACGGACAACGACAAATGAAGTTGATCGTTCGCAAAACGATCACGACGGGAGTAGCTTCATAACTAAACTTTTAAATGCGGGAAGTGCCTTTAATGATCGCCTGCATCTTATCGCAAATTCAAAGATATTATAGTCATTCATGTAAAGCTTACATGGATGATTCTCATGATTTAACACAACTACCGTCCATTCATTTTGACTTTTTGTTCGCATCCTTCATATGCTTTCCATTTTGACACGATAATTGCGCATTCTGTTCTGATTTTCAAAGAACTAGAGAGAATTTATTTTTACATTACATGATCGCACGTGACTCATCGACTCATAGATAATATTAGTATAAACTCATAAATATGTAAGAACGTTCGTGAGTCACATGCGCCTCGCGGACAGTAAACGCATTAGAGATAATCAGAGTTTCCTGATGGCCGCTCATTTGTACCTCGCTCGCGCTCATTTGGACTGCCTGGAAAAAGATTGGCGTTTCGAAATTTCGATTGTGCTCGGGGCCTGAAACGGCACGCGTGTGTGTCCATATATGCGCCTACCGTCGTTCAAATCGATTACCGGTCATTTCATTTAGCGCTCCCCGAGTGTTCGACTGAACGATTGCTTCAAGGAATAACTGTAACGGACTTTTGCTAACCCTTGACTGTGGGCCGTCCCCCCCAACGAACTTCCATTCGCTCTCGACGATGCCCACGGTGGTAGTCATTTTACGGGCCAGTGACTCCTCGAATTATTCAACCGATGACGATCTTGATGACACGACCACCGACGGACCTTATGTAAATAATCGATTAGCTATTATCCGATGCGCCATGCAAGAGTATGCAGTCTTATACGAAGATTACATAAATGCTCTTAGCGTTCTGTGCAAGAGACCAGAAGATAGTGAGCCAATAAGCTAGTAAGAGATCCATTTTTGTCATTGTCTCGTGACTTCCTCGTACACTCCACTAATTTAACATTTTGCCGAGTGTGTTCCGGCAAAATTCTTAACCGCAGGAAGTCGTCGTCGCCGCGGATGACATGTGCTCGAGTTAATTGGAAGCCTCATTTGGAACTTGAAGGCACGCGCCTTCGAGGGGCGTCTTCGGGGCACCCCGCGGGAGCCTCGCATCAGGGAAATAAGTTCACAAACCGTGAAAATTTAATGTTCTTTCTAAGGGGATGAGGGGGAGGAGCGGTTTATTGTCGGCGCAGTATCATGCAGCGTATACCCTTCAATCCTTTTACGCAAAGTACACACGGAGAATAGACGGAGAATTATAAAAAAAATATATTGTATAGAGCGAAACTCTTGACGGCTTGACGGTGTATGACTTTTTGATACACCAACCGACGGATGTTAGCAGGCTGGTATATACGCGCCGATCTTTCGCTCTAATGATTCCACCTGGGTTCCGATATACGTATCCGTGGGTGGTCCGTCATGCGCTTGATAAGCCTCACGCCAGGTGTAGATCGAAAAAAGGAAAGGAAGTGAGAAGTACACTTCCTTAATGCCTTAATGGTGACAACATGCCGACTATAAAATTTCTCTTCCTCTAAATTAATCTTAACATTCTACAACTTTTATCTCTAGAGATAAAAGTTCTAGAGATAAGCTTCGATGCAAACGACATTAATTATTTTTTTCTTTCAAGAATGAAGAAATTAAAGATCTCTTAACTCAACGTAAGGGGGATCGTTTTTAAAAGGCTCAACGAAAACGAAAGAAGAAATTGATTGGCGGACGCTCGCGCAGGAGTGGGCTGAAATAACAGGAACAATCCTCTGCGCTCGCAGTAAATTTGATTGTTCGGAGGCAGGACGGCCCACGCTGTCCGGCCCGCCACGGGGAAACGTTGCATTCTTATCGTTCGAGAAACCGGCGTGGCATAGCGCAGCGTATACGGTGACGGCACTCGTGTGTACACGTACCGGCCTAGCTGTCTGTCCTAACAATACAATAACGATGGAAGGCGTCGCTTAAGGGCAAGTCCGCCTAGTTCGTAGTTGTTCAGGTACGTATCGATGCCGGTAAAATATTGCGTTTACACGTTCCCCGCGCGAAATACTCCCTCGTAGAATATTGCTTCCGGGGTCTTCTCGATATGACGTTCCCCAATGCCGACCAGTAAACGTGAACGCTTCGGCTTTACCAATGGATTATATGAAAAGATAAACTGAGATGCGTGGGCGTATCCAGAATTTTAGTCGGAAGGGGAAAGGGGGCAAAAATTTATTTTCACACAAAGCTTATTAAAATGCTTACATTAATGCTATTCTTTAAAAGTCTTTAAATGAATTTTCTTAATACTTGTTTGTCCAACTTCTTTCTTTTTTGTGAAAAAAAAAAAAATGATTTTTATAAGTTCTTTGCAGTATTTTAAGACGCTTATTCGCAATTATTAAGAATTAAAGATCAATTGTAATCTCACTATTCCTAATGATAGCTAATGATTGCGTTACAAGTCCGACAATCAGCGCGCAGTTTAAATAATTGAATAATGGATTTAAAAATTCATATAGAATTATATTACTATTAGGTACCAAGATCCACTCTCTAAATCTGATTCAGTGCATAGTCACTGATTATCAATGGTTATTCATTGAATGCATCAGTCCAAAGTATTTCACTGGTAGTCAGTAAAATTATAGTTAATGTTAATAGTTTAATTATAGATTATAAGTGAAATTATAGTTAGATTATAGGTACTGACTCAATCAGTGATTTTTCAGTACTTTTCCACTAATTCAGATTTAGAGAGCAGCCATGACCGTAGAAGGCGCTCTCAAATTAATTCGTGATTTTCACTTACGCGGTCTAATTCAAATTGTTTATATAATTTTTAGAATTTAACTGTTTCTCCTTGCTAAGATTTAGAAGACAAACGTCCTCTTCTGCTCCCTGCCCTTGCATCGTACACGCCCATGCTTGGGATTGAAATGTATTTTCAATTAATTTTATATCTGTGTCTTTTATGTTACAACTTTCTACGTCATACAACGATACTTTCTTACATCCGATGTCTTTGCAGATGCGAGAAGAAATGAGCCACATTTAACGCGCGCTGAAATCGATGACCGATGGAAATCGTTTTGCTTTCCCCTGGCGCATTTAAATTTTTTCATCCTCGCCGCGTTATCCGCGGAACGCGGCGAAGCTAACGACGCACTTAACTCTCTTAGAAAGGGATCCATCCACGCCTCGGAATTGAGAGAAAGATGGTAGTAGGAGAAACAAGTTGCTATTCCCACGCTGCGCCCGTTCGCGGGATGCTACAAGCACTTTCGCTATCCAACCTTATCGAAGCTGGTGCATTGCGAAAGGCAGGTAGGTTCACGACTGCAAGTACTTTTTGTTTGGGCAGCTCTCGGAATCTCCACTCGGAGTACGTGCGAACGCGATAATGGCGAAGCGATCAGGTAATTATCGTAAGCACGAATTGCTCTTAAGTTGTTATTTCGGCTCGTAGAAAAAAATGTTAATGATTTTCTGACAGAAGCAAAAAATGAAATTACATTTGCCGCTTACTCACGCCGTGTACCTCGCTCAACAGACCGATTACGTAACTTTTTTTTTTACCTACATAGGTATCGACTTAATATAATATTCCAAGAACTATGGAAGACTACTTCGAATTTTTTTCGTTCTCGTTGATCGTCTCGAGAGAAAATCTTCTTCAACTTTGAGGGTGCGATTAGAAAAACGCGAATAAAAATGCGATTCCGTTCGTTTTGTGCTCAGTCTTCTCGTAAACGTCGTAATGTCACAGTCTTTCGCCACGGTGCACCTGAATATTGCGGCTCTACGCTTCCAGCACCTGTTTCCCACCTTGACACCTGACGGAGTCTTCTCGCACTCGCTCGTCCGTTGGGGGTTCGAAGTCACATCGCCTGTCCACGCGACGCAGTCGATGCCGGTGATCGGCGCGCCAAACGGCTGCTGATGCGTTACGCATAACGCAAGACAAATCTTGCAATCGCGTCTGTGTGGTTTCAGTTTGACCATTCATTTATTTTACATGGCATTATGTACATTACATTCTAACGCTACTTCCAGCCATATGTCAAAATAATAAATCTTTTTTGTTTAACCGTTTCATGTTGTAACGGTTGATTCTCGAGACTCATAATTCCATGTATTCACTAGGAATATATATTTAGATAGACATGACTTTAATCATAATTATTTAATCGCGAAATTCTTTGTATTGCGCCGGGAGATTGGCAACCATATATACATGGCCGCGCTCTTGGTATACTCTTTTCTACATCACAACTGACCAACCAGTCACCAATGATATTTCAACGTGAATATGGTTAAAGCAGGTTCATGGCTGGATCTTGGTGCCTAGTAGTAATTCTATATTAATTTTTAAATCCATTATTCAGTAATTCGATGCAAATGAGCATCTTAAAATACTGCGAAGAACTTATAAAAACATTTTTTTTTCTTGATACAAGAAAAGTAATGTTGTCTTTATTTCATAAGTTAATGCTAAAAACTGGTCATTACATAGAATATAGATAATTATTTCAGCGAATAATGCGAGGAATTGTTTTGCGATAAATCTAGGACTAATTCATGGCTACAATTTCTTATCAAGTCCACCACTGTTAGCATGAGCTATAGATTGCATAAATATAAACAGTATGAGCGATCAATAAAATATTCTCTGTTCTCTCTAGCAGTCGCCTTTATTAGATCCGAGATATTTTTACGTGGAACCTAAAATAAGAAATAATAATATTGCGTTTGCGCGCGCGAATAAAAGCAGAAATATTTATGACAAAGAAGAAATCGCGTTTAATTTTGTACTAATTAGCGATAATTAATTAGCTAATTAATGAGTTAATAAACGCTCACCACCAACGCATTCCGGGCTCTTACAAGGCGATGTAGTTACTGTGTTGGCGTAAGTTGCGTAACAATTTACATCACACCTGTAGCGCAAGACAGGATGGCCACATCCAGAGCAGTCGGGCTGCACGCTTGGAAGCTACAGTTACATTGTCTTTTAATTATATAATAAAAGAATATTTCCGGCTCGATACGATATGTCTACCTGCGGTCCCCCGTTTTGTTGAATGCAAAGCCACTGATTGTACGCGCAACCACCTGCAACTCCGAATCCCATTCCATAGGTAATTTGCGGCACTAACGATATTTGAGGTACTATAGGAAGCGATGGTGCTCCAGGTATAGGATACCCCGGATAACCCGGTAGCCCGGGGTAACCCGGTGGCCCAGGGTAAACCGGTGGCCCAGGGTATGGTGGACTCGGTTGGCAGGGAGGACTACCGGGGCGACAGGGACCACCGGGCGCTGTAAATCGGAAATGAGCCCGATTTTATTAACGTATGCTCTTTGTCTATTAAATTGCATCTCAAGGGCATCATACATTAGTTCTTAATTTAATAAATAGAGACTTTGACTCACGACAGCAGCCACCCCATCCAGTACCATTTCCAAAAATATTGATTCTACTATCATTACCAAGGCCTGCGAAAGGATTAATAACATTATTAATGCCGATGTTCGTCGTTATATTGGTAGTCCTTAGCCCGTACGGGCCGCCACCGGATGGGCCGCAGTTTCCCGATTCGCATTCCGTCTCGTATTCCGTAATGATCTGATGTCTGTGCCTGGTTCTCTTCATGCAATTGCCGCATTTTTTCTCGCAGTCGTGATCCAAGTGATGGTCGCACTTTTTTAGACACGTTTCCAGACAGTGTGCGGGATCTGCGGAATTTTATCGCTTATCGCTTGCAACGGTATAGGACATAATTTTCTTTAAACGCGAACAAAACAAACGGCAGATAGTACCGGCGTATAGATAATCAGGTATAATTAACTGTATAATAATAAAGGCCGTCGCGACGCGATATCGCTTTATAATTTATCCGTCGCACTTGAAAGTCACGCTAATGACCAACCGCGTTGCGCAACCGCGCGTCTGTTACGTTACAAAAGATCCAGTAATTTTAATTTAATACGACGGCTTTATCTCTCTAAGCGATCGTGCAACATCAGCTGCAGTTGCATAATAGGTTCGAGCGGAGGCTCCCGAGCGGCACGCGAATCTCCGTGTTTAGCTCGATTGTTATTTAGCGATTGGTGGATCTACCAGTTTCCGGCATCCCGTCTCCGTGGCTCGTGTGATGACCGTGCCTCTTCGGCCTCATTAAACACTTCACGTATTTCTTGTAATCCGGATTCCGGCATTCATCGTAGATCTTCTGCTGGTCCTCGGTGATCGGCGCCTCGGTGGCCCCCCCGGCTGCTTCGGCGTTCTTTTCGGCGTTCTTCTCGGCGTGCACCACCAGCAGCGTGCTCGAGCCGACGAGAAGATACACGATGAGAAAATGCGTCACCTCCATAGCGCCGAGTTCTCTCAACGGAGTAATCGGGCGGGATGAGCGACGCAACCCTTTATACCTTAAGCGCCGCGTACCCGGGGCTGCGGGGTTAACGACCATTACCGACAGCGTTTGCGCTGTCAAAGTCTTAGTTGGAAATGTTTGCGCCGCACGCCCTCGTAAAGATACGTCGTCGCACGTCGTGCTAATATATTAACGCGTAAATTGTTATCTGCCTCTTGGCAACGGTGCAGTGCAACGACAAATTTGCACTGCTTATCGGGGTACACCGGCCGCCGCGAGAGAGGCTGTCGTCCGCTATCCTCTCCGAAAGCCGCGCGGTAACGCGCGGCGTAACGAAGGCAGGGGGTTGCAAACCGCTAAAACACACCTTCGTAACGATAATATTGGTCGGCGCCGTCCGCAGACATGACATTCGCGACGCGATCATACATATATATGTATATAGTTGAGCAAATATTTGGCAAAATACGAAGAAATTAATAATGCAAAGACGAAAAGATTTTCTATTTAGCGCGATGCGCACTTCCATGTAAATTACCGTTTAACGCTCCTTTACTTTTTCTAGCTAAGTTCACGCTAAGACGTCTTGAGTTGCACCTTTCTTCCTCGTAATGTTCGTCGAGCGCTATCTCATAACTCGTTTGTTCCGCAAACACATTTATTCAAAACCTGTCATTATGGCATCCCGCGTGTGTGTACTACCGCGCGAAGTTTTTTCTTTTTACGCGCGCTCGAAGAAATTACGTTGATTAGTGGCGATATGATACAACAGAGTTGCTCACAGAGATGCTCTCTTTATTACGATCGAACGAGATTAAATAACTTTGTTGAATACACCGTCTTAATTAGAACTGTAAGTCTAATATTTCGAAGATAAATCTAATTGCGAGCGACAAAATCGCAACTTCGAATAGGTCAGCGACACTCGCTCTTATCACAATCTGTGTTATAGAGCAGGAAATATCCCATCGTGTTTCCCTTATTTACATTACTCATCGATAAAGTCGCGCGCGAATAAATATGCTTTCGGAATTTTAATTTATCCTTACATTCCTAAGGAACAAACTGTTATTTGAGCAGCCTGATTGCAGCTGAAAATTGCATTATCAACTTGACTTTTTTTTTCAATGGTACTCCATTTTTTCGTTTCAGCGTTCTTAGTACAGTTATTTTACTGTACCCGTGTTCGTGAGCGATTATTGGTGAGCCGCTTTAATAGGTCATACGATTATAAAATCTTTCACGCTCTCGCATCCACGTATGTACATACGTGATTTATCGCGATTTATAAGGCCCCTTCCGGTCATGGAAGTCTCCATTCAAGGGAGAGTACCGCTACCAGCTACATGTACAAAGTTGTTGACGAAAGGCTCACGAAAGGGTGGCGACAAAGTAAGGAATTCGCTCGCTCGATCTGCGGCGCACGGCGAATCTTCGATACTCCGATTTTTTATTATATCAAATAATAATCGCGGTTTAGAAGAATCAGACGATGTCTTTTAGTGCAATGTCTCGTTCGCAACCTTCGAGGATCACGATTCGCTATGATATAAATATAAATGAGGTAAATATTTTCAGCGAACGTATCGTATGTAAATATCGCAGACATTCCATTCAACAGCGGGTTCTAAAGCGAAGAGGACAGGTTGTGGAGGATTTCGATGCGGACTTTCTAAACGCCCTGTATACGAGCGACTTCCCTACCGATGGTAGGGGGACCCCGCGGGTCTCGCTCTCACTCGATCGTATATACTGGCCCCGTCCGTGTGTTCGAGCCGTACAATGGCCGCCGTGTGAGCCGACGTGCTGCGTGCCTCAAGTATTAATCGTCCTCAATTTTCTCGACTTAATTTGCCGGCTGAGAAACGCCCACGAAAAAAAAATATGCGCGATGCCCTGCCGCGATGGTACCATTCGTCGCGAGTCCGCGCGACGACGAGCTCCGACGGACGACGTCCCGCGTCCTGACGGACCGTCGTCGTCGTCGTCGTCGTCATCATCATCATCATCAACACCACCATCATCATCGCGCGTGTGTCATTGACGCTACTCGGCGAAAACACAGTGGTCGGCAGGACGCGACCGATCGCGCCCGGGCGCATCACGTCGTGCCGCGAAACAGTTGTTAAACTCACGCGAGAGAACCCCGACAGCCGAAGACAACCGAAGCGAACGGTTCTACATTGCGTCCGGTATTGTGCTACCTTGATATTCAGTGTCGTAAAGCATCGTTCGTTAGACTGGTGTACGCGGTGTTTGTTACGCACATGCTGCTCCGTTTGGAAAAGGTAATTAATATTTCTGCAAAGTGTTGAATGTCCAAAGCGCTAAGGAATCAAATAGTATATCGATCTATAGTTCTACCCTGTTGTCTTTCGGAGCAAAATATTATTTATGAAAATAATTAGCTTACCGTATCTTTCAAAATGTCAAAGTCTAATGAGAGCATTTTAATAGCATTCAAGTAGCATTAGTCATCGATAATTATGACTTCCTTATTGTGAATAATTCTGCATAAAAAATCGTTCACAACCGCTTCTACGTAAGTAAGATTCGCTCAATCGAATTAATATGCATCAAATTGACAATGTTTTGATTATACCTTATTTCTCGCTGAGACTTTTAAGAAGCGATGAGCACACATTTCTTCGAAAAAAGTGAAATCATTGAATTATTCGCGCATTATATACGTTCTGCCGCTATACTTTTCCTGGTACGATTAAATAGGAGATTATTCCGATAGATAGACTAGACACTTACGTCGCTTCAAAAGAATGTACATTAGCTATTCAGTTAAACTCCTTTTGCAATTTTAAATTATTATCCTCGTAATTTGCACTCGTTTCCAAGTTTCATTGTCGCAGGAATATGTAACTTGTTTTTTAAAAAAATTTGCACTCGTGCATATGTACGAATAAATTGCACTTTTTCGGAAATTATACCGAAGTCGTTTTCGAATTATTCGACCGTGAAAAGAACGCTTTCGTTTTTTTTTTGCGGGGAAATCTTATCGTTCGAATACGGGGAACACGCAGGAAAAGCGTAAATCGAGAAAGTCGCTATTTGCGCAATAAAAACTTGCCAGTCTATAATTATAACACTAGCAATCCAAACGGAATGTATTGAGTGGTATTTGTGGAGCAACTGGTAGCGATTACACTAATAATCAGTTAATTAATCAACTATTAAAATCAATATTTATTCATTCATTAGAAAAGTGAAGCTGAACATCAAACTTTCCATAAAATTGAATGAATCGTTGAATACAGATTTTTTACTTGCTTTGGTTGTTAATTAGAAATCTAGTACATTTAACAAAAGATACGAATCACTTATAATTAAATCTATTAAATCTATTCTAATCGAGATAATCAGAAATTCAGAATTACGATAAAAGAGGAATTCGGAATAGTGTGATTAAAATGCATTTTGTATGTACTTCTTGGTACAACTGAAACATTTTTCTCAATGTAGTTCACAGGCAATTACAAATTATATCTAAAAGACAATACGAATCTCAATTATTACATATTTAGATAAATAAAATCGAGGACGTACTAAATATGTATATAATCAATATTATTAATTTCATAGACAGCAACTAGAAAATACATGGTGCTATGGCAGTCGCGTGTCCGACTGTTCGAAAATCGGCTGCACTGATATAGGTATTTATGATTCGGCCGCGGATCTCGAAGAAGAAACGATGGCAACGGAGGCAGAGGGGACCCCGGCGGGGCCTCCCTGGTACGGCAAGGTTTTCGAGTGTTGGAGGAATCGGAATCGAGTCGGCCCCGGCAGAATTGAACTGCCCGAATGCGATTTCTTTATCGTGGCACCGCGACGCACGCTGCGCGTTCTCAGGCCGACCCTGAAGAGCGGCTGGTACTACGAGAGCACGGCGACCGACCGGCCGGAGTCGGTCAACGACAATTTCTTCAATCGGTGGGCCAGGAGGCCGCATCCGTCCGGAAACTGCAGGTGCTCCTTTCGTCAGTCCGCCGGCGCGTTGAGCACCACCGAGGAGCGTATGATATCTGCGGAATTGAACCGCATCCGGACGAGTCTCTGCGAGGTCGAGAAGGACGCGCGCGGCATCGAGGAACTGGAGCAAAGAGTCTCCGTGAATCTGCAGAAGTTACGAGACAACTCGGAACTTGCAGATTGCGCGAACGAGACGGCGGTGTCATTGGCGACTGACCGCCAGCCGTTCGAACAGAGCGCGAAGCAACAAATTGTCAAGGATTTGGAAAGGTAAATTCGTCATATAAATTTGATAAGTACGAATAAAAATAAAAAATTTTGTTTAATTATCATTAAACATTAAATATTTCCAATATATATGAATATATAGTAAAATAATAATATCGCATAAATATATCTTAAACGCGATATCTTGAATTTTCTGTAATTTTTTTTACATTCTTAATTTTTTTCTTTATATTCGTCTTTTTCTATTTTATTTAATAAATTGAGGAAGCGAACGCATTTACGATAATCAAAAATCAATTTTGTTAGGTATATCAATACACTTCTGGAAGAGGTACTTGATGATACTGTTAAGCATGTAACTGGCGTGGAAAAAGACAGTGTTCAACAGTCTTGGCAGCGAACGAAAAGTAATTTGATGAAATCGCAGCCCGATAAATCCAAAGAGAAAACTTCGACAAAGAAAGATGAAGATAACTCCTTTAACGATATCAATTCAGTGGATAAGACGCAAGAGGAATGGACTACAGAAAATGAGTGTAAAAGTCAATTCGCCAGAGTTTCGATAGGCGAGGGTTACGTGAATCCCGCTTTCGTCGCTTCGACTGATGAACTAGCCTCTCTAGATTTCAATTGTACCGCAAGAAAACACAGTAAGAGCGAATACATTTAGAAAAAATAAGATTGTTTATCATATCACATTAATAGATTTACCTTTCGAATTTTTTCTTGTACAAAACAAATTTTTTTCACTACTTTTTTGTGGGATAGCAGGTTTGTACCTTGGAATGCCGACGGAAAGTATTCCTCCCGAGAAATTGGATTGCGTGGATTCTGGAATAAACAGCGTGGAGACCATCGAGTTTCAGCTGCCTGATCAAGAGCCCAGCTTTGAGCAATCTCTTCTACGAATCATCGACGAGAAATTGGGAAGAGGTTCTTCGACAAATCGCTCGGAGGAAGATAGTCCCGAGAAAAATTCGCAAAAAGCAGATGCAGAAGCAGATCGTGGAACTGACTCCAAGGAGATAGTAACTTCGTCTCAGCTCAGAACATCGACTAATTCCGACTGGAAAGTGGAGCGACTGGAAGATATCGTCAACATGGAGGCTAATTTTGAGAAACTGCGGCTAGAATTCCAAAACAACGACAGAGACTCATCTTCGAATGACGAGACTGTGTCGAAGATCGGCGTAAAATTAACGGAAAGTCCTTCTATCGAGCTCGAAGATTACAAGAAGTGGATGGAGTTCGATGAAATCTCTTCGCGGGAAAATACCAAGCGAAGTCTCTGCGAGTCGGTAACGCTTCGAAGGAACAAGAAACCAACTATAGTTTTCCTACACGGTTTTGGTTCCTCGGCAGAAATCTTCGAGCATCAGCTGCAGTATTTCTCCTCCCTCGGTTATCCCTGCATCGCTCCGGATATGCTCGGCCACGGTATGAGCTCAGCGCCCGGGCGCTCTAGAGATTACCATTTCGGCAAGTTACTCAAGGACTTGGACGCTGTTCTACACCATTACGCTTTTAAATCTGGGGAGAAGTGCGTCTTAGTCGCACATAATTATGGGTAAGATGCTGTTTGTTTGAAATCGTACTCTGTTTCCTTTCGATAATTTGTCTCGAATGAGTATTTTTGTAAAAAAAAAAGAAGAAAAATTAATCTTTTATATTATCTTAGCAATATTAATAAAATTGATATCTACGAACTCCCGTACGAATTTCAGGTGCAGCTTTGCTACAGCATTAGCTTGTAAATATGATAACAATATCCATCAACTCGTGCTAATATCGGGCGGCGGTCCGACTCCTCTTACTCCGCCGAGCACGGAATGCGCGGGTCATTGCTGTCTCAGAGCGATTCTTGCGCCTCTGCTGATGTGCGGTTTTCATCGAGATATTCTCTATTCCGCGCGAGGCCGACAGCATCCTTATTGCGGCCAAGAGTCGATGGAACAGTGGCCGTCGCACATGAAATACGTATTAAATGGCATGAACTGGCCGCAGGGTGATTATGCCTTCCACAGGAAGATATGCACACCAACGCTTCTAGTGCACGGATTAAGAGACAACAAAGTGTCGCTAGTACAGGAGTGTCAAATGGAAAGGGTGAGTTTTTATGATTAATCATTCAATTAAACATTACATATTTAAATAAAAAATAAATCATCTAAAAACTATATATGTGCAATTGGACTTTTTTCAAAAACAGAATTTAATTATCTTATTCTGAACTTTTTAGACAATGGTGAAGGCTTTCCTTGAAGCTATTCCAATGGCTGGTCACAGTCCAATGACTGAATGCCCCCAACAACTGAATCACATGATACATTGTTTCATAGATTTGTGGAAGAACAAAAAATGGCAGTAAAGACATTTAGAAATAATGTCTAAAATACTGTATATCGAAATTGCATCAACTCAAGCGATTAACAAAACTGCTTATCAATTAATTTAATAATCAGATATAATATTTAAACTGGAAAAAAGTACTTTATATTTTATACTTTAAGAAGATTCAATTCGATCGAATTAAACGAATAAGATGAATCAACGAAGTTCGTGCGGCCTCGTAAAAATGTGCCAAGTTTTGTACAGATGTATACAGAAAAAATGTACAGATAAAATTAATGCAAAACGTCTCATTTGTCTAGATCACTAGAAATAACTTTTATATATTTCAAAATTTTTAATATTCGATGTAGTCGAATAGCATCATGATATCATAGTGATAGTATGTAATCTTATACTATCAAGTATAAAATGTTCGATTTCACATTAAACCTACATTTAATACATCTGAGAATTCTTATCAATATAAATATTATAAATAAATTAAATAAATTAATTAGAAAATATCCCTTTCTATTTAAGATAGATAATTTTTACTCAAAAGTTACTTTACTTTCTCGTGTCAGATAAAAAGTTATTCAAAGTGACCTAGCAAATATTAAATAGAGGCTATGGAATAGCATATAGATTCTACCAAAGATTTATATATGTATATCGTTATTTTTCATATACTGCTTTTTAATATAAGTTATATGTTTTACAAATAAAAATTGTATACAGATTATATCGCACGTTGCAATGATTGTTATTTATTTAGTTTAACAAAATTAAATAATTAATCAGTCGACGATGCGCAAGAGTGAGTGTCGCGCTCGTTTGATATCACCATGATCGTCAGTGATTCAATAACATTTGATTAAGCGGATTCTCAGCCGATTTCATCCATTCTTTTCTCAGTATCTGTTTCAATTGACTCAACCTCAAAGTAGGATTTTGTTCCTTAATCATTGGCATCATTCGTTCCTCAAAGCTCACATACGCGGCTTTCATCCGTCTCTCCGGGTGTCGATCTATCTCAGGTTCCTTCATGCTGAAAATAAAATGAAACACAATAAATCAAGATAACGAGAGAAATTAAATATAACTGTTACATTCTGGGAATATAAAATATCGAAAGTTTTCAAATTTTTAACTATTGTTGTAATTATGTCGCTTATTAGGTACAACAACGACACAACTTAAATACAACATTTTTCAAAAAAATAAATTTCAATCTTTTAAAACATTTTAATACTACAAAACTTTTTTATTACTAATTTTAAAATGCAATTTTGGTGTATAGCTAATTGTAGAGAAATAAAAGTATATGTTTTTTCTTTTTTTCTTTGTGTTTTCATTATCTTATACAGGGTGTCTTAGGATTCAATGGATAAACTGCGAGAGCATATTCTAAAAGTAGAAATAAGAAAAAAATATTATATGAAGTTTGATTAGAAATGCTTTACAAAGTTATAAAATGATATTGAATAATTTGTAGATAGTAAATATAATGTAAACATAATTTAAATCTTCACACTAAATAAACACGTTCGACCTTTCCGTACACGAAATATACACTTTCATATTCTGCACAATGGAAAATCCATTGTTTCTTATTTCATGTCCGATTTTAATATTTGTTTACAACTTTGCAATAAAGCATTTCTAGCCAAACTTCATACAACATTTTTTTCTTATTTCCACTTGTAAAATATGTTCCCAGTTTGTCCGTTAATGAGACATTCTGTATATTCCGTTTTTCTGAAAGCAACTAAAAAAAATGACAGTTTTTAAATTGTATCTCGTTGTAGCAAATGAACGATAATATATATATATATATACATATATTTATGTAAGTTGCATTCTAATATCTCAAACGTAATTACCTCAAAACGGATATAGCTTCGTCTATACCGTGAGCCGTTTCACCTTCCAAAATCACTCTGTTTAAATTCTCCTCGATCGGTTTCTCCTCCTCCTTTTTCTTCATAGCAACTTGATTTCGTTTTTCAGTAATAGTTACAATTTCAGCTCTGGTAACTTTCGATGCAGGCTGCTTACCGCCGATTTTTATATTTGCCATTTCCTTCTCAAGCAAGGCTTTTGCCTCTGCTTTTTTTTCTAACTGCTGTAGACGCTTTTTCTCACTTTCTTCCTGCATATAATAAAATGTGCATTACGACATTTCATTCCGAACACGCGATGTTGATTTTTTGATGTGTTTAATGTTTAATGTTTTATTGATAATATTGTAATTCTAGACACACGTACATGTTTTTGTTTCTTCTTCAGTACTTGCTTATTATTGTCCTCCCACGCCTTGTCTTCAGCTTCCATCAATTTTTTGAGAGTTTCTGCTTCTTTCACCGCTGCTTTTCTAGCTCGGGCGGCAACCGCCTTGCTATTCTCACCCACAAATTTCTTCGGCATTTTCGATCTGTGATATGTAAATCCCGATTGTTATTCGCGAATTTTTCATTTGATTTGTGTTTCTCTGCATTCGAAAATATAGTGGGTACGCGTTTTACTATATTTCACTATGTTTGAGTTGGCAATAACTTGACATGCGCGGAATCATTGTGAAAACGGTGAAAACTATTGAGATCCAGGTTAAGAGAATTCAAAATAATCGATATTTCAAGGCAATAATAGCACGAAAATAATCGCGTACGTGTTTATTTTCAATCTTGCGAACGGACGACGAACGGTCTCACACGGAAAGCGTATGTTTACGCGGTTTAAAGGCAACTGGAGACATTTAATCGTCACGCGTGAAATGTCGAAACAGCGATCCGCGAGGAATGCGAAGGCGCCGAAGGCGACGACCACCGCCGTGAGTAATTGTCTTGACGCTGCACTTACCGATCTGTCGCCCGCACAATGCTCAATCATCTATCGCGAAAGAAACGTGACATTTTCTGTTATGTACACTTTACCATTTCTGGTTGCTCCGTTTCGGTACAAGTGACTAGCCACGTCTGCCAACCTCACGACTGATTCTCGGGACTCATTGCCGCGATTGCAAATTTATCCCACAGAGGCTGCGTTCCGTTTTCACGCTCGCACGTACACTGTGAGCATAATTTGTCCTTATACATTTGTTCTTTAACGTTTGATAAACAGCAAGGATACAATGATTCCATAAGCTATAATCGCCAAAATCGCGTGAATACAGAACGCAGTCAGAATAAGGATCTGTTCGCGTTACTTGACTACAATTTTTTTACACTCAGAATCTTCGTTTTCTCTCTCTCCAACGTTCGAATGTATATGTTTATCTCGTTTTAAGTGCAAACTTTTTTTTGAGGGTTTCAAGCAACGCAAACAAGTCTTATGGTCTATCCAGACAAACTTGCATGACCATATGCAAAGAAAATTATTTAATCAAATTTTATATGCATCCTTATATGATAGAAATGCAATTGGATAATTTTCTTTATGCATGTGAATAATATATAGCTATACATATATAGCCCTTAGAGCCTATCCAGACAAACGCATTTCTATCATAAAAAAGACTTACGTAAAATGATATTGGATAATTTTCTTTATACATACATATATATATATATATATATATATTAGGAGTGTGATTTAGTTTTGAGGGATTTTTTTCTCAAAAACTGATTTATTATACAAATACCTTAATGACTTTAATCAAAATATTTCCTTTCGTTTTCTACAACTTTTTCTGGCAAGAGATGGATTCCGCGACGATAAAGATTTTTCTTCAAAGTTGACCCAATTTTCTCAAATTTTCGCATTTTTTCGAAATTATGAAAGTGCGAAATTATGAAAAATTATGAAAAATCCTCTAGAGCATATATGTTGCATCGATCGGAACAAAAGGTAATCAGCGAGGTGCGGTACGACTTCCCATTTCAGCTCTAAAGCGTTTGTTTCACTAATAATGCAACATGAGGACAAAAATGCTATTTACGAAGCTCCATTTTTAAGATGATATATAAACACGATGTTTACTGCGTCTAATGTTAGTAAATGATTAAATATCATAAAGTAATATTAAAACATTAAGAAACAATAGTTGTGATTGGAATGTCTTCGACAACACCGATGTTAATGCCATTATCTTGCAAAACCCTCAAAATCTAAATCACTAAATCACACTCCTAAAATATATATATATATATATATGGTCGGCAGGTTTGTATAGATAGGTACACGTCCTGATAGGTTTTTTATGTATGAGACGCATAATATTTGTTGTTCTGAATATTAAACAAGGATAAAATTATACATCACGTGCATCATACATAAAATAGAATGCATCCAATATTGCTATTATGCACTTATTATTATACAATGCACGTATACTTAATATTGTTTCTTAGCTATATTAAGAAACAATGCATAATTCATGTGGTAATTATTCAATCTCTTATAGCTATTCCAGAAATAATAATAAAATATACTTTATTCATAAAGTTTGAAGGGGTATATAGAATATTTTGGAAAATTATTTCTCGTAATCAAGAGACGCGATAACATCTCGCGTTGTAGTAGAATTAACGTAAAATGCGGAAGTTATACGTTTGAAATATATAAATTATAAAATATAGCAGTAAAATAAACTGTGAACACGAAATGCAATAGATAATGAGAGCGTAGAAATTAAAAAGAATTTTTTTTGTTGATAACAAGCAGCAAATTATGTAAGAAACAAAACTCAGAAATAGGCAAAATATCTAATAGCAACATACTTGACGCGCCCGTTTTGCATATAACTCAATGTACACAAACAATTAATAAATATTTTATTAATTGTAAACTGTTTTTCGTAAATTAAAATGATTTTCTATTTATTCAACTTATTCTTTAAGTATTTCACATATTTTATATGCAATAAGTGCGTATATAAATAAATAATTTTCTATTTTGTACTTTTAAATTTTATAGTAATAATAAAAGTGATTATATTCGACAGTCTGGTTTTTTAATTAAATTATATTTGGTTCATGAGAAATACAAAATTGAAATAGTATCGATATTTTTAAATAAAAAAATTTAAATAAACAATGCATGAATAATAGCTTGCGTATAAGACAAATTTCATTTTTACAAAATAAATTTAGAAATGCACGAATAGTTTGTATATTAGAAAAATTTTATAAAAAAGATTTAAAAGCAAATTAAATGTAAAAATAATACTTTTATAAAATTTTCTTAGGTTTGTTTTTTGTAGTTGGAATAGGGTGTACTTGACAGTAAGAAAGTTGTGACATTTTTTATTTTGATGGATTTTGAAATGCATTAATATTTCAAGATTACAAATCATTGTCTCTAAATTGAAAATAGTATACCAATCATGATTCGCATATTCGCAAAATATTAATTTCAAATCTCATTAAAATAAGAGTGTCGTAAACTTTCTACTGCTGAGTATGTACACTCGTAAAACTTAAAAAATAAAATGATTTATTTATAATATGAGTGAATTAATTGATTGATGCGGTTGTTATCTTGCGTAATACATTCCTTTGAATATTTTTGTTTACTAAGAAAATTGTTAGAACATTAATGTTGTAATAATTAACATACAAAAAAATGTGTGCATATATTTATATCTACGCATCGAGTGTATTTATAAGCATCATTGTTATCTCATTTTAAGGCAGAAAAATCTTTATTCTGCCTTAACTTAGGCATTTTTTAATTGCGTCAACTTATTTAAAAAGAGTAATAACTTTTTTTATAAAAGCATTCTTTTTCCTGTATAGGATACGGTATAGCGTTTTTTTTTCATGAAAAGGTTGTGAATAGTATATTAAAAAATATAATGTTTCAAAAATACTTAATGAGAGACACTATCGCGTCTCCTGACAGATGCGCAACGGAAACGTTTGTTACCTATCCGCGCTTTTACTCGCCGAGTGTGTTGAGAAATTGCCTCCATTGTTAATGCATTGTTTGTAGGATTCATCAACGGGACCTGTGATCTTAGATAAAGACGGAAACGTTGCGATTAAAATTCAGGCCAAGCCCGGAGCGAAGTGTAACAACATAACTGGTAATAAAAAACTATTGTTTGCTAAATGTTCCTTTTATAATAAAAAAGAAAGCGCTTATTTTAGCGTTATCATGTATTCTTTGTAAAAAAAAGAAGAGGAAGAATTTCATTAATGGAATTGCATAATTATTGTTAAAGAAATGAATATCCATAGATATTTCTGACGAAGCAGTAGGCATTGCAATCTCTGCCCCACCAACGGAAGGTGAAGCCAATGCCGAGCTCGTCAAGTATTTAGCTTCGATTTTTGGAGTAAGAAAATCCAACGTGACGTTGGATCGGGTTAGTGCTCCCGTTATAACTCGAAGAACGTTTTATTGGTTATACATTTTAAACTTTTTCTTTTTACAGGGATCTCGAAGTCGGCAGAAGGTAGTTGTAGTGTCGGGAATTACGACAGATCAAGTTTTGGCGAAGTTGAAAGGAGAAATGAATAATTAAATGTACTTTAAAAATAACATTTTTTGTCATTAAATAATTGTTCCCAATTTATACATTATAGGTATAGTTTTTCTTATAAATATATTTTAAGTTGTCCCCACTTTATACTTTCAGCATATTTTTGTTTGAAAAATGTTAATCAATTATTTTATATTACATAATATTGTACAATTTATACATCTGTTTTTTCAAATGCAATTAATCGAGTTAACGTGGTTGTCAGTATTCAGTGAGATTTAATGTACATTAAATTTTTTAGCAGCTACATATAATTGCACCAGAATATAATATTTCCAAAGATCGCCATCGATTCTTTCCTTGAAATTTTATATGAGCGTTGCTGTGACTAGCAATACAAGAATCAATGAAGATTTTTGACGGAGTAAACGCACGGGGGCGCAGCTGTGATAATCGTCTATGATTTCACAGAAAATTAGTACCTTTTTACAAAGGCATTAATTCTGCAATAATCCAATAATAGATTACGTAATATTACGCTTTCACTCTTGTATTTCGAAGGCCTTGTCGTCGAGCCAAGGTCGAAAGATGGGTAGCGTCGATGGATAATGAGCGCCTCGTTTGGACGGCGCCGTGCCAGCTGGTGCACCCTCCGGCCTCAAGGGGTACGTAGCCAGCACGATTGGTATTTGTAGCTTGATTTCCTTGTCCAGACTCTTCGGGCTAATGACGAACTGCAGAGAGAAACGTTAGTCGCACCAGATAAATTTCACGAACTCCAACGCGTCTGTCGCAACAATTTTGACGCAATTGCGTTTCAGGCTCGGAAATCAAAATATATCTTTCTCTCGACACTCACGTAAACGTGATAAAGAACGTTGATCAAGTGGCACCCTCTGAGATTCGTCGGCGGCAGGGGAGGAACATACATCTGTTCGTTCAGCCATTCCTCGCCCTCGCCCGGCCGAATCTTCCCCCTGGAGACGCTAGCTAGCTCGCGAGTCTCGCTGGCGAGCACTTTGCCCCGACACAGGTACTGTATCGTTTCGGTGAGCGACGCCTTGGTCGACTTCATTGTCACCTGTTAATTCGAGTTCTCCGATTTTTCGTATTTTTTAATGTATCAGTGTTTTCTTAAGTTTATCATCGTGACTGCATTTATCAGTAGCAAATTACGTCCGTTACGTGCTAATTACAGCGTACCTTACTGCGATTGCTGACAGTCGCAGAAATACCGATCGTTTCCCCGGGCACGTATCCACCCCGATCCAGGCTCACTCTGCAGAATACAGGACCACCCGATACGCAAGAGACACCCACGCGCTGTTCGATCTCCTGCCTCGCAGGTTGCTGTTCGATTACAAAGGCGTTTCATTTGTACGCATGCATTTCTTCCGAATGATTCAAGTGATCAAATTCGTTTTAATCTGATTACCGTTTTGTACACATTGATAATAATGATTCGAAACGTCTGATTACTTTTATTAGTTATTAGAATGTTTACTTATTAAATATCGGAGCGAAAAAACATCTAAGTTTTGGCTCATAGCCCATTATATGTATTAATTTATTTTTAACTATTGAGTGTTTATTATTAAAAATTTTGATTAAATTCAATGATTAAATTTTCGAAATCAAAATTAAACGATATCTCAGAAAGGAGGTGCGCGCGTTTACTGATCGCCGAGCGATAGATACTTATATGTTTATCTATTTGCGATTGAACAATGCTCGTCGCTGAATGCTGTTCCGCCAACGCGAAAATTTTCTCAAGCGTTTTTTTTTAGAGTCGCAATTGCATCGCTGCCGGAGTATCTATATGGGCGGCGATTCCATCACGATCTAGCGAGTATCGTTATGTTGCAACCGGCGCAGACTACAATGCAAATACGGATCACCCGCGCGCAAACGGAATGTTTTGCGTCTTTATATTAATCTAAAATTTATCTGTATCGAATGCACTGAATATATAATCTCCTTAAATTCATTGCCTCGCGTCAAGATATTTGCAACGCTTTCCATACGGGTCGATGACTGGTATTTGGGTCTCGGTTATGGTAATGAACGCTGTTCATTTATTTGCACGCGCGAAACACTTTCCTTGGTCTGAATCGGTTATATGAAGGTGGTTTACCCAGGAAACTGTTTATTTATAATAGTTATGTTTTAGTTTAAGATATCCAACTATCAGTGAAACGGCGAATTTAAACCACACTCTTATAAATCATATCCGGATTAATCTGTCGATTAATATAATGCAACAAACGCTCACCGCTAATATCGGAGGTTCCAGATTTAAGTCGATCGGATTCATGACGATGAAGACTTGCTGATTTTTGTGAGTAAGCCCACCCGGCTCGCGAAGTGCCGCTTTACAATAATATTGCACCCATCCGTGTTTTCCGAGAAAGGTGGAGGGTAAACCCAATGGTAGCCCCAATTTGAAGGGAAAGCTATGTATTCCGGGGGATAGCAGTGACGGTCCTTCGCCTATTAAAAGTCGCGTTTTTCGTGAGAAAGACAAATATTAAAAATAAATACTAAAAAAATGTTATTTCATATCTTTAATTAAGTTAAAGAGATATCAAGATATTATATAGATCCTTAATTATACGAGTATCATTGCAAATTACTATAGAGAAAATATAAAAGATTTTTAAACCTTCTATTATCGTACAGTGTATTTATTTAAACGCGTCACTTAAAGACAAAGACGTAATTTAAAATGTTAAATTGCATCTCGTGCGAATTGCAATGTAATCCGAAATGTAATATTAATTCACCTGGTTCGCCCAACAGCCGCATGCGAAAATCGATGTAATTCTCTTTGTCGTAAACTCTCTCGGCACGTTGACTGCGCACCCGAACTACACCTTCTCCCACAACGTGGAAATGCAGTCCCGAGACGCTACGGTAACGTACCCCACATTAATAAGCTTGTATTACTTACCAGATCTAGCGCGTATATACGTATCTACGTAAATCTAGCGCTTCACCGCGTCGTGGTAAAAAGGATTTTTTTTGTTCTCCAACGCGTACGCACTCTTTACACTCAAAAAAAAAATGTTTCCTTCGACCATGAACTCAATATCCTCGTTAACTATCTATAAAAACGTTATTACTTACTAAGCTTCGTCGTCCAGCTCTATGAGGACGCGGCCGGACAAAAAGTGGCCGGGAAAGTACAGTAGATTCGTATTGTCGAAAAGTATCAAGAACTTGCTGAGCTTCCTCGTCATCTTGCCGCCGAAATGGGAATGTATCTCTCGTGTTACGTGGTATATATTCGCGGAGGAGGAGGACGGTTTGTGCGCGGGCACGTTTACGTCACCGCGACTTCACGCTCACTGAGTACACGTCGAGGAACGCGCAGAGGCAGCCTTCTTCTTCCATGCGTTACCTCGTGATGCGAGGTGAGAATCACTGGCTTGCATCGCATCAGCAACACGTTCGTAACATGGCACGCGTTCCCTCCTTCTCCTTCCGTCCTCCCGCGATCCAAACTTCCTCTCTCCTTCCTGCGTGCTGGCGGACTGGTACCAAGCCGAGGTACTACGACACCACGATACACCTCATCGTTGCGATTTTTGCAACGGTGGCACGTTCCGCACGCGTTTTCCGCGCTTCGCGCGATCGACGGGCCGATCGAGGGAAGACCCGAAGATCCGAGCGCCAATCCGTCTATCCTCGCCCACCGCGAAATTTTCTGTCACCGCTTCGCAGCAGTCTCACCGCACCTTCTTGCCCATTCTTGGAGACGCGCTCACTTTCGCTCCCTACCATCCTCCACCTGGTTGCTTCTCTACCACCTCCCATCCAGTCCGGTCCGGACTGGTCTCACCTTGCTTCACCTGCCTGATACGTGGCCAATAGCAGTATTCTAATCAACGTTGCTGCTTTTAGCATCAAACGTTTAAACGATACGCGTTGCATTAGTTTCACTAGCCGTTTGCGTTATAGCCCCGTCAAAGTTATGTTTATATAAATACAATTAATAAAATGAAATATAATGGAAGCGATTTTTTTAATGCAGTGTTTAAGCGTTTTAAAATAAAAAGCGCATTTACTTCAATGCGCGGAAAAATAATTTAGAATCTCTATTTTAGTATAACAAAATTCAAATTTCTAAAATTTTAGACCATCCATCCAATAGATTTAAAATGGATCCAAAGATGAATCCATTCACTCAGGGAAATGTTTCGCTGTTCCAGCTAGAATTCTAAATATTACACTTAAATTATATTGCTATTTTTTGTATCTACTAAAAAATTGTTTGTCATACGTAGAATTTATAGTAGCAATATTCTAAGAATATATGCAAGAAAATATAGGTCTCATAACCAAATATGATTAAAATTTGGATTGAAGTCTGGACTGATTAAACGTCATAGAGAAACTTTCTTGCTAAATTTGACAAATAATTCAGATACAATTTCTGTCCCTGTTATCTATATTGATTAAATACAAAACATATGTGGTATTGCAATGCTATTACTAATCACTTATCCGTTTTAGCTAATTTTTCATACCTAAATAATTCTCCCTATAATTGCAAGATTACTTTTTTCAGTGTTTTAGATTTATTTTTTTAGATCTATTATAATTTGTGCAAAAATTTAGACATAAAATTAACATAAAATTCTATTTATATTTTTATTTTTTCTCTCTAGATGTGAATGTGAGCGTAATTATAAAGAACATGATAAATCAAAATGCACTAAATATAACGACATGTATTAATTCTTAAATACATTTATCAGATCAAAATACATATACACATAGGCATACATACAACATTTATACAAGTATAAGAGTATACAACATGTATACTCTTTATAGTTTTACATGTAGACATGTAAAACTATAAAGAGAATTACATTCTAAAATGTCACAGATTATAAAACGTTTAAAGTAAATTTAAATATTCAGTTTAGATGAATTAAAAAAAGATAAAGCTTGAATGTGAAGTAGTTTCAATGTTTTTTATTCATATTATATGTATCTGTTTCTTTGTATTAATATATTGGTCAGATATATTATATTAGGTTTCTTTTTTATAATTCCGATTTTATTTCCTGATTCATTCATTTATGCATTATAATCTTATTTGTGCGTTTACAACTAGTAGAAGTATATACCTTTAAAAAATAAGAAATAAAAATAGAAGTCAGAGAATATTCTCATTTGCGAAATATCTTAATAATTATTGTAGAGTTATGATCTTTATAAAATGGATGTATTCGACAAATTAAGCAGTTTTGATAACCTTAAGGCTTGATTTGTCCCTAAATTAAACGAAGGTAACTGGAAGTTATCCACGTTGGGCAACGTAGAGCTGCATAGGACGCCGTAGGAGACAGGAGTGCGTACGTCGCGACTGTCGCGAGTCATCGATTTCTTTTAGAGGTTTCAACAGTACATACAAGAGGTGTATTTGTACCTTATTGTTGTTATATATCATTATTGATAAAAAAAATAGCTATATTTATCTCGTTGTGAATCGAAATTTAACGATTCGTCACATCGTCACATTTTGATTATTTATAGTTTAGAAACTTATGATGGAGAATAAGATAATTAATCAGAAAGAATACTTGAAAAAATACACATCCTTAGGTGATGATTTTGATGAAAAAAAGAAGAAAAAGAAGAAGAAGAAGCATAAAACGGGAGCGAAAACGTAAGAATCAATATATAAATATTTTAATTTTAATTCAACGATGAATATTTCGCATCGAAGTTAGGTTAGGTTATGTCGTCAGCTGTGCATGATGTTTTGTAATGCAATGTAAACGATGGCTATACGAACATAACATTAATACGTTTATATTGTTCATAATTTTTTACATTTTTTTTTACATGAAATAATTGAACTTTATTTTCTAAATAAAATACGGTAATACTTTTAAAAATATTGTTAAAAATTTGATTATACTTAGGTTATATTTCTATCATACTTTTTATTGAGATAAATTTACATTCAGCGATTAATAATTGCGCAATTATTTTAACAACTTCGTAATTTGTAAGATCTCTTGATTTCTTTATATAACTAAAGCTTTCTTAGTTCTTATAAAATATTTTTTGGAAGGGAAGATCTCTGATCGTCGGATGGATGTACTTTTGCAGATTAAAAATTATAGACGATGATATAGACTTGAAAAATATGAGGCCCATTGAAGAAGGTGAATTCGATATCCTTTTAGAGGGAGAAGATGCTCCTCAAATCGCTGGTGTAGTTGACGAACGTGGACCAGTTGATTTCACGGATAAGCGAAGGTGGAAGATTATAACCGAGAATGACGAAGGCGATTTAATGATTATTAATCATATTGCCGAGAAGGAAAAAAGAGATTTGGACGAGACAAGTGTCAAGCAGATCGATGATAACTTCGATTTGAGTCCACCCAGAGCTAAGCATCCTAAAAATAAATATATGGCTTCAAGTCCTCACGGACGATCTAAAGATGACAATTCAGATCTGAGTCCACCTAGATCGAAGCATTCTAAAAACAAACGTGCGGATTTGAGTTCGGATGAACGAACGAAAGATGATAACTCCGATCTGAGTCCACCTAGACCGAAGCATTCTAAAGACAAACACTCAAACTCACGATCTAGACGATCTAAAAATGACGATTCAGATTTGAGTCCACCTAGACAATCGAAAAATTATGATTCGGATTTGAGTCCACCTCGACAGTCCAGAAATAATGATTTTGATTTGAGTTCACATAGGAAATCTAAAAATTACGATTCGGATCTGAGCCCACCTCGACAGTCCAGAAATAATGATTCTGACTTGAGTCCGCCTAGGAAATCTAAAAATTATGACTCAGACTTAAGTCCACCTAGAAGTAAGAAGCATCGGACTTCGGCTCGCGGTACGTCCGGACGAAGCTACCGAAGTTCAGGTAACAGAGACAGTGATTCGGATTTTAGTCCACCTAGAAAAAATCGGAAACAGAATCTAGATACAGATTTATATGAAAGCAGAAAGAAAACGAAGAGCAGAGATTCGGATTTAAGTACATCTCGGCATAACGAGCACCGATCCCGGAGAGATAATTCGCCACGTTCCATTTCGCAGAGAGACGACAGGGGGTACGATTATTACGATAAAAAGCATTCATCCAGATCCAGTAGGCAAGATGATTCAAGGTAATAATTTTAATGTCAAATGTTCCATGAAAATTATTATCAAATATTATTTCTTCTATCGTCATATAAATTTGCGACAAAGTGACAAATATAATATTGCTTTGGACAGATCGAGCAGGGATAAACGAGAGAAGAGATATGATGATAGAGATCGTAAATCTCAATCGTACTCAGATACGCGGGAGAAAAGAAAAAGGACGCGTTGGGACGAGGAAACAAAAGATTCCGAGCGTGAACGCGCGGGAAATCATTCCAAGGATCACGATAGTCGCGCGACAAAGACGTTAGACGGGAAAACAGCAGGATTCCAGGCTGCGAAAGCGTTGCGAGAAGAAACAGAAGCCTATAAACGGCGAGAGGCGGAGCACTTTAGCAAGGTAATGTTCTTTATAGCACGGTGTATTTATAGAAGTACTTTTTATTCATGGAGGCTCTACAGATAGTATAAGTTGGCGTTGAATTGTCTCGCAGCTAAGTAAAGAGATCACCGGGGAAGGACAAGCTACGATTGTGCGTGACAAAATGGGAAGAAAGCGCAATTTGGAAGTAGAAGCAGTGGAGAAACGAGAAGAGGAAATGAAGCAGCGAGAAATAAATGAGAAGTACGCCAAATGGGGCAAAGGGTGAGCGATCCTTCTTTTATCTTTATTTCGTTTTTGCTTTTCTGACAAATTCATCGATATTCCCACGTGCTAACACACGTCCATGTTTTATTTCAGCTTGAAACAAGTGGAGGATCATGAGGAAAGATTAAAAAGTGACCTGCACGAGATGCAGAAACCTTTAGCGAGATACGCGGACGACGCGGATCTAGATAAACAACTGAGAGAGCAAGAGAGGGAGGGTGATCCTATGCTAAAGTATATAAAACAGAAACAAATAAAGGAGGGAAAAAGAAAGCCAGGTATTATGGATCGATGGAAAATTTTACATTTCTCTATCGCATATCTTTAAAAAGTTTAATTGTTTAATCGCTTCAATTGTAGATCCGCCGCAATACCAAGGTTCGTACGCGCCAAATCGATTCGGCATTAAGCCTGGTCATCGGTGGGACGGGGTCGATAGAAGTAATGGATATGAGAAGAAGTGGTACGAAGCACAAAATGCGAAAGTAGCATTACAAGAAGATGCCTATAAGTGGAGTACAGCCGACATGTGATCATGTTCACACATATTACTTATAGAGCAGAAGTTTCCAATTCTATTTCCATCGATCGTTAAATAAAGAGGAATTAATAAAGGACATTTTAAATATTTTAATAATATAAATATAATTTTTTTTTTTCGTTCCTCCGACACGTGTAACCGTGCGATTGCCTCGAGTACGAAAGAGAATCGTTTATCCTTATCCTTGTTCTTCTCGTATAATAGTAGTATCCCAGCGTCGCGCACAACGACTGAGATATATCAGTGAGTTATACGCGTGGAGAAAACCGCGAGATCGATATTCGTTCCAGAAAACGAGAGGAACGGAGAGGCTGGCGCCGGTCTGGCAACGGTCTGCCGGCGATGGTCTGCAGGCGAGCGGAATACTACCGTCTGCGAAATCGATCGTGCGCTTTTAAGGTCGTTAGAATCCACTCCGGATGGCGGGTAGTATGGGAGTATTGGGAGTGGCGGAGCGCACATTTGACATAGTCATTCGCGGCGCGCGCGATCGGAAAGGGACGCGGTTTCAACCCCGGATCGAAACAACGCGGTTTTACGATTCGCGCGGTTATTGTTCAATCTATATTCGGGTCCTGGCGCTGAATCCTCCTCGCGGAAGGACAACCGTCATACATTGGTAACACTGAGGCTTGCGCTTTACGCTTCCGTCGCGCTTCGCATCGCGTCGCGCCGGCTAAAACGTGGCTGGGAAACGTGGCGATCTCTTCCGCGTGCGTACCGTTGCCGCCGCCGTCGCCGCCGCCGCCACCGCCTCCGCCACCGCCTCCGCCGTCGTCGCCTCCACGGCTCCTCCGCGGCGCGTGAAACGGGGGTTCTGCGTGGCGCGAATATATATTACGGTGACTTATACATAGACTGGTACGATCCGGCGGCTTTGGTGCTCGCCACGCGAGCAAGGGCAGGGTCGTGAGCGAGCGACGCCAGTACCGTTCGCGACGTCGACGGGGACTTTCTCGTCGCTACGTGCACAGCTCGGGCGGCGCGGCGGTGATGCTCGACTTTCGGTGAGTCACACGATCGGCCGGTGGAAATTCCTTCCTTCGTCGGGGGAGGCGATCGCGGATGCCGACGGGACGCCGGGCGTCGCGTGACACAGCACGGGAGACGCATGAAGAGGTCTCGGATTACATTCAAGTGTGAAGGATTGTCTCGCAGGTGCCGGCGCCACGCGACGTGTCAGTAACCCCCGAATAAGCGGTGGGAAAGCAGAAGGGGTGGGCGCAGGAGGAACGCACACGTATGCGCGCGTATGTAGATAAAGAGAGAAACGGAGAGGGGGTGGGAAAGTAACTTCGAATGAAAACCGTCGGATTTTCACGGTCGATTAAACGTGCGAGATATACTTTTAAGAACTTCAAAGAAATTTTAGTCGCGACTAGAGAGAGCTATTTTTCATTACCAAAAGGATAACTTAAAGGGATATTCTCGAGGCGTAGAGCGGCGACGTTTTTTACACCGGCGACGGACAGTGAAGGATAGAAAGCGAGTGGAAGAAAGGGAAGAGTGAGTAAAAAGGAAGATAATAGAAAAGTGAAAGGGGCAAGAAGATAATTGATACGTTTTTAGCATTTCGAAAAAAAAAGTAGAAAACGTATAATTATTATATCTGCTATATACGAGGCTATTGCTTCATTAAGAAAAGTGATAATTCGACCTAACTGTTTTTATTTAGTAACGCGATGTTAACAAGGAAACTGCAATAATAATACGGATGCCTCTTGACGACATTTGATTTAGTTTAATACAAAGTTAAGAGAACCACGGATTAGGGAGAGACAATGGGGTGCAACACCAGCAAGGAGAGCGTCCAGCCGGCGGTAGAGGAGGCGAAGGAAGGCGATTCCGTCAAGAACGGGGGTGAGCGATTCATCCCTTCCGATTTGTTAATCGTGCGAGCAATATCCAGCCGTCATTATGCAAATTCATAACGAGCTATGCGATAAACATGGCTGTAATTTTCTGCATGTTTCCGCTTCATCGGGATTTGCATGACATTAAATTTTTGTATATCGACGACATATTATTATCATCGTATCGACGCTTTTCGTCGTTTTGTGTCGTCTTGTATCTGCTTGCATCGTTCTAATCTCTATAAATTGCGACTACCGCAGAACTCCGTTGTTGTTTATCTTGACAATGACAGAGTCTGCTTTGTTTCACGATGATAAATGTACCTCTGTTCACTTCGTTAGATCCTTCGAGCTGATTGTGTGCACGCTTCAGTAATATCAACGCAATCAGTAGGGTCGACAGAACGAACGACTATTTTCCAACGTAACGAATGCGTTCGATCCGCGCAATGACGAATATTAGAAATTTTTTGCGTTCCCCTAAAATTTTATTCTCCATCATGTTTTGCGCGACTCACCGTCGGCTGTTCTTCCGACGGAAACTCGTCAATTAAACGATTCGTCGGTCGAAATTAAAAGGAAATTCTTTTAAAAAACCGTTATCTTTAATCGATATCAATAAATTATTATTTTAGCGTAAATGTAATAAATTAGTCGATAAATTGTAGTTTTAGCTTAATTGAATATATAGAATAAATTTTTTGCGAGATAAATGAAATTTTTACTATTTGAAAATAAATCTGAATTCTGTCTTATTATTTGAAACGAAATCAAACACATAATGGAATATGAACTTACTCTTATTTAATAAGAAAACAATTGATATTAATAAAATGGATATTTCTGTATGCTCAGAATGTTGTGTTGTGTACTTTCTGTGTTTTATTGAATTTCCAGAAACTTAAGGTAAAAAATTTTCTCTTATCTCGCGACGATATACGTTCCTCGATAACGCGCTAGAAAATAAACGTATCTTGGCGAGCGTAAAATAGGACGCTCGTGGAATCCGATGGGGGTATATCGAAATACCGAATAAAAGTGCTGATCGCGTGATGTATGTCAAGGTTTAACCCTACATTGTTTCTAGAATCTACGAAAGTTTTCCTTTTATAATCGAGATACGACGAGATGGCGACGTCTAGTTTTAGAAAAAGTGGAATAATGGATTTAAACAGAAAAAACATTAACAAAAAACACCATCATTTGTATGATTACGTCTGAAGCATGGCGTTTTTATTACGCAATGGATGAAATAATCACGAAGTAGTATTTATGAAGTAGTAATAAACAGTAACTGAGTTCTCGCAAGTATTAATGAGTTACAGGGGAAACAACTTGTAATAATAATAATTAAGAACACGAAGAATCAAATATTGATTTCTTACTTTCGTGACGTTCATTCAGAGGGGTTGAAATTAAGTTCTTGTTTGTCTTTTGTCTCTTGTTCTTATTGTCTCAGAAAATAATAACGTCTCCTCGCGCGTAAATTTCGTGCGGGTATCGCATTGCAGAATTGCAAGAGCACATCGATTAACAGTTAAAGAGCTCGACTTATCAGAGGTTGATACACAAGCAGGGTGTTTAATTACTGAGCTTCGGCAATTCCTGCTTTACTGGCTGGTAGTAAAAATCAGTGCAACGACGAGCAACTTTGGAGTTCGAACAGAATCAATTACTCGGAGCTTCGATGAATTTCCGCATGTGAGATACTGAGTTTCATCAATACCGACGCAGCTGCATAGAGATTCCAACTGTGTGGCTTGTATAAGAATGCCGATCGAACGGGAATGCTACTGCGGAATGATGAATGGAATCGATATATAAAGGTCTTGCGAGAAAAGCCATTGGTGTAGCACGTTAATCGATCTTGAAAATGGAGTTTCGAGCTTTTTCAGACAAATACAAACAGGACGGAAAGGCAAATACAAACGGTCGCATTCAAGAAGTTTTTGTTGAAACATTTTTATCTTTTCTTGGTGCGAAATGTCACGTTCCTGTAATAAATAGTAGACAGTAGAATATTCGAAATATTTGAAATATCAGAAAAATTTCCTGGAATATTAGACGTATTCCAACAATAAAATTCCAACAAGTTATGAATATGTACGCATATTGTATTGTATACTCTTGTGGCTAAACTAATCTTGTGAGTAATCTAATTATAACAATCTATACATAAAAAAGTAACACGTCTGACCTAGTTCTGCCGCGTACAATTGCGGATCGTTATCATTGCCAGGCTCAAAGTGGCGATCATTTTCTTGTTCAAAAGAACATTTCGTCGCGCAATGAAAGAAAGTACAGAAGATAATAAAAAGGAACAAGTAATAATAACTGTCGGTGTAAACTATGTTATGCGATCGCGTTCTTCTTGTTAGCGAAAGTTGTATATAAATGAAATGTTGTACTTTGCGTAATACTTTCGGTATTACTCGGGATTAGCGTATGCGAATATAATCAAGTGATATGCAAATAAACAGCTTACAATTAATGCAATACAATTTATCGTTCATTGATGCAGTTTTAATAGATAATGCCTGTAAACTGTTTATACCAGCTTCTCCTTTAATCAATGTAAATCCTCTTTCATCGTTGGCTTCTTAGTGATTTAAATGTCATAACAGTATTCCCCGCTGTTGCTGTTAAACCGTTCGCAAAGCATGCTCCGTGCTCTTCTTTTTAGAAAAGAAATAATACGAAGGATAATATTTTTAAAATAATGCGTCTCCTATTTGTAGAATATCGTCGCGTTGATAGAAAAGTAATACGAGTCACAAAATTATCATTTTTTGAGATAAAAAAAGAAATCGGTTCTAAAGTCAATTTCCTTTCATTATCTCAAAAATTACTTGTGTCGCTTTTCTGTCAACGCGATGATATTACACACACATATATATATACGATTTTCTCAGCGCGGTTCTGCAGTGCGCATTCTGCGCAATAATGCAATTGTTCAAATATTTATAATTTAATAGACTGAAGGGAAGGGGAAGGAAAAGGCACTACAGTAAGAGAAAAGCCAAAGAGAGCTTAACTGATGTATAGCTGCAAATGTACAATCAATATAATTCAAAGTATTGTCAAAGATGTAAAGCGTTTCAGCCCATTTTGGACCATCCCCAATATCTTGAGAAAGAAAGAAAGAAAAAAGATCAATATCTTTTTCAGGCCGGGAGAGTCCAAAATGGACCGAAACCGATGTTTTCGACAATCTCTTTACAACATTCGCTAAGTTAATGGGGCTTGAAGACATTCGGTCGCAAATCGATGCGCTCGCGGTCGGGTTATTATTAACGGCATGTGAGCAAAAAAAGGCGCAAATATAAAAGGTTCGAAGCACAGAGGGTTGAACGACATCGGCGACGGCCCTGTTTCGCGGCGTGTACCCGATCGCGGGGCGAGAATCCCGTGGACTGCGACTGCGAACGAGCGGCGGTGCGGCAGGGCCGTGATCGGCCGCTATTATAAACGGGGTCGTCGGTGCCCGGGAACAGTCAGTCGCACGTCAGACCGAGCCGCGCGTGGATGTGCAGGTGAGAGAGGCCGAGAGCGAGCGAGCGAGCGGGTGACGCAAGGTGAGTCGCGGCGCGAGTGCGACCCCGACAGCCACCCTCCTCGCCGACGCGATGCAACGATCCCTCGCGTGCATGCCACCGTCGCGTCGTCGGTGGAAAACCGGGTTAAAACAGGCGGGTGGCGGGCGGCGATGACCGGGGCGGGGGCCTCAAGTGATATCGTTCCGAGGCACGCGAATCGCGTTCGCCACGCTGTTAATGTTTCGCGTTTACAAGGCGCGAGGTAAAGCCACGAAAACGATCGTCGACACGACGCGGATCAGGTCAGGTGTGCGACGCGAGAGACGCTCTTTCTTGTACTTGGTATGCTTGCACACCCCGAGGACATCGTATCGAACGCGCCCCGTGTCCGGGCCGGGTCAAGTAAAATAGGAATCTTCATATACAAACGATGAAAGTAGTCGCACCCTCGGAAGCCTTAAATCTGATTTGAGATCAGCTGTTTAACTGATCGACTGTTCAGTTTCGCATCGGGAGCTAACGGGCGTAAACTGATTGATAAATGCGCGAAATAAATTCTCTCTGATATCTGCGAAAAGAAAACAGTCCCTGCGACGAGTAAATCTCAAGATTTTGTAAATCCCTTCGCCAAATATACCTGGATTTATTGCTATCGCGCTTTTCTATCTTCAGAATACAATAATCTATTGAACATTTCGCATAAATTTTAAACTACAAAATTTTTCAATAAAAATATTTTAAAATTAATTGAGATTTTATTAATTTACAACAAATTGATATTAAAGCAGACATTTTATTTTTATTTAAATCGAAAATTAAATTTTATTGCTAAATATTAATTTACAATTCGTTAAAAGTTTATTATTTAGGAATTATTTTTATGATTTTTAACATTTTCTCGACAGAAGCTTGTCAGATAGTTTTTAAAGGCAAAACAGTTTACAATGTCGTTAAATTTACCTTTGTAGTTCTAATCGATATATAACATTAAATTCTATTTAGAGTTGAAAGGGGTTTTATAATCAAGATAACAATGTTTCTCTAGGAAGTTTGATTTCCTCGAGGGCTCTGGTAACAAGGTCTGGGTAGATCGATGGCGGCACATCCTCGCGTGATATCAGAAAGGAAATAAAAGCAAGAGAGTCCAAGCATTTAAGAGACATTATTGTCGTAAAAATACCGACCCAGAGAGGCGCGAAAGGGATGTGCCCGAAGATGAAATCGCGAACACAAATATAGGAAATTAGCTCTCAGATAAGCATTTTACTTTTTAACTGAAATTTAATACGAGCTTTTTCATACGCGTGCATAAAAACGTGTGCGATTTTATCCTTTCCTTTAGCACACTTTTCTTTTCCTTTGAGAAAGCCTTGCGACATATATATAAACATGAACGTTCGATAAAATTGCCGCGAAACATGTATACGATCGATCCGCAAGCTTTGCACAATGTGCACAAAACAAACCGGGAGGCGCATAACTGGAGAAGAATTCATTGCTCGTCGCGAAAGTGTCACTTTATTTCTTGAATTCCCACTTGCTCCGTCAAGTGGTAACCTAGGGAAACGGTGTCGCGCAAAAGCGCTCAATAGCCGGACTGTTCCCTTTTCTACAACGAAAATTCAGTTTCCAATATTGTCACACTTAATCCTCGTACCTTACGTTTCATTCATTCGATCTATCTCTCGAAGGACTTTAATCAATTAAGCTCAATTATAACTGAAGAAAAAAGTCGACTTAAAAATCGGATCAATCATGACACATTATCCTATATTTCTAAAAGATTCAAGACGCGCTCGTAATTGAGTTTACATTGAGAACGTATAATGGGACCAGGAAGACCTTGATGTAAAACGAGAGAAGATTAACTTTTTATTGTAATTGTGTAAAAGGGATGACGGGAGATGTTGATAGGAACCCCAGATTATTTCTTGTAATTTTCAAAGAAAAATTCGCACCGCGCGAATTGATTGCTCGAAGATATGACGGAATCTTATATATCGATACGTCGATTAATCATCGGAGACACGAAGATTTAAAATCGTCCTTCGTTAGAAAAGGAGAGGAACGAAAGGCTCGATTAATGTTTGTCGCATCATTTCATCAGAGCGTGAAATATTAAAAATGCATATTAGGCGCCGTGTAATCTCGAACGTGCAGCGCGAAAATAGAAACGCTAATCGATACTTGTCGCTCTCTCTCTCTGGACGCGTCTGTGGAAGGTGAAATGTTCGGAATAAATGTAGGTGAACTGTGGCTAACACGGCGGCCATTTCTAATATACGGGATGTATCAGAAGCCGCGCCCTTTCTCCCGATCTCCTGCGGATTTTCGGGCAATTTATAGCCACTATTTCCTTAAGGAAATTTTATCAGAGGGCAATTACTGGCCTATACATCTTGTGCCAAGTAGCTGATGTGTTCGCTCACATATACACATTTCATTATTTGTGCTTAACTGTTTATATTATTATTATATACATATCTATTACGCTTTTTATTATTATTATTCAAGAAATTTCCAAGTGTATCTGATTTAGCATCTTTAATTTACGTTTTCGGCATAAAATCAAGTGAAATTATTTTTTTTATTATTTCTCTTCTCGAAGATATCTCAAAGGCGGCCGAAAACAGCGCAACGAAAGCCGAGTCTTCGGACGAGGGGAAGGAAAACGACGCAGAGGACGAGAAGGAGAAAGAGGCAGCAGCCACGAAGATACAGGCAGCTTTTCGTGGACATCACGCTAGGAAAAGTCTGAGAGTGTCGGACGCAGCGTCGAAGCAGACGCCAACCGGCGAAGAATCCGCCGAACCTACGCAGGAACAGTTGCAGGAGGAATTCCGCGCCGACGATCAGGGTGAGCGCGATTTTGTACCCTGATATGCGTTCGGAGCTTCACGAGGAAGGATCGCGGCGTTCTTGAAACAAGCTTCTATTCCACAGACCTCTGTAACGCGGTGACGAAGATACAGGCGACTTTCCGGGGCCACATGTCGAGAAAGGCCGATCAAGCTGCCGCTACCGCCAAGTCGGCGATGAACATGGTCGAGAGCGCGACTGCCAAGATAGAAGAAAAGGTAAGTTAACTGTCAGTCTCTCGTTAGATATATATGCAGGTCTGCTATCTATTGATCAAAGAGGGTCAGAAGCTGCTCTATCTAGCATCTGCCCTCGGCCTTCCGTCGAAATTTTAAACACGAATTCTATTGACACCTCGCAGAATTTCGCTCGATCAATTGATATTATATCTGATTGTCAGGAAAATGCCTTGTTCAATTAACGGCAATTTTTTATCATTAACTTGAAATAAACTTCTGATTGAATAAACTTTTGATTGAAATTTGATTTAATAAAACTTATTTGAGTGTATTACATATATAATATATAATAAAAGCATAAAATTTTCAAAAAAAATATATTTTCGACATTAAATTCTCTCAAATTTTTTTAAATCTTGTACAGTTTAGATCAATTAATCTCTTGTTTAACAAGAATTAATTTCCCAAGAAAGTCTTATTAAAAATTATCGATTTGTTGATGTCAAGAATGATTAAAGACAGGATGGCTGCAACTAATTATGATAAAAAGTAAGATGTCTTACTCTTTACGTAATAACCTCACCTACTGAATTAGAACTCTCTAAGTGTTACAAGAAAAGGCATTTTATTAATAGGTAGGTTTATTGATAAACAATGAATTAATTTCGCATCTTCCAGTGAACGCGTATTTAAGAAATAATGCGAATTAATTACGAATCCTTTTTCGTAAATTATGATTCTAGAAAGTAACCGCTATGGTCGCGTAGCGTTCGTTGCGCGTCGCATTAAAAACAAGAATAAATAGCTGATAGAGTTGCTGTAATCAAAGCAATTTTTTTTTCCTCAATCTGATATCACCAATATTGATTCGATCGATGAAGCAGTAATTGACTGGTTTTGATACACAAGGTCGCTATGATCGATCATTTCTGTGCCGAGGTTCGTATAAGAGAAAGCTATTGTTAGACCCTTTGACATTACGTTGATCCACGAATGCCCGGCGAATAATCGACAGCTGCCTACCAAGCTGAAGATGATCATCTGGGTACCGAAGCGCTACTAAAGCTTCGTCCCGAGATCAGTAGACCGGTATGGCCTACAATGTTTCACTTACTTTCGTGTCGTATCGATTAATTATGTACGGGCTAGTTGACGCGCAGCGGGGATTCCCGTGCAGTCTCGGTCTTATTTAAGATAAGAAGGGTAACTTCGATAAACGCCGCGAGACATCCCGTATTCGCGAGTAAGTTTCCAGTATATACCGGGAAGCCGTTTAAGCCGGGAGGATGAACAGATTTAGGGTGCCTTAAATTAAATGAACGGCTATACAGCGCTCCAGCGTTTTACGTTCCTTTGTGAAATTCTGCTGCAGATGCAAGACGCCGTGCAAGAATTAGAGGGGATCGACTTGGCCGATCCGGACTTGCATAAGGCAGCGACTAAGATTCAAGCGAGTTTCCGCGGTCACAAGGTCCGTCAGGAGGTCAACATCCATACTACTGCCGACGACATTAAAAAATAAGACGCTTACTCAAAAAAAGAAAAAAAAACAAAAAGAAAAGAAAACGCAGGGATGCCGGGAGATAGAATATTACTTATTACAGTCAGTGCCATTCTTAACAGGTTTCGAACGCCATCCCCTATTTCTTGTACCTTATAATGTAGAATCCATAAATTAGTAAATTATGCGCGTAAAATATATACGAGGCATTCCAGACGAGCCGAACGATGACGGATGACAGCCGAACGGATTTGACTAATTAGTTCACTTCGGGCCCGCTAGCTGTGTGAACAACGATACCGTTTATTTTACGTTAACAATTTAATCCAGCCTTCGCCCGGGACCAGTGAGACTTAAGCGCTTTCTACTTTGGCTAATAAAAAAAATGAGGATCCTTCAAACGAGCTATTTACTACAGGCTGAGGCATACAAATGGGAACATTTAAATATTTCTATTATTTGTGGATATACAAAAGAGTTTTCTCTGGAGCAAAGTTACACTGTGTAAAGAAGAACTGCAATGGCAAATAAAAAAAAAAACAGATTGTTCCTTGAGCCGATTCCTCTAATCGATCTTGAGTACATTTCACATGATTCGCTACACGACCACATTCTTGAACTATCCTCATATTATACTTATCGACTTACACTTTACATTTTTTATGAGTTATTACTGCCATATGTGAACACGGAGGGGGATATACAGGCAGATTTTTCAAGACTTTTCAAAGGACTTTTCAACATAATAACTTCCTTGTCAAACACTGAAAAAAACATGAGAAACGAGATATGGGGGAAAAAAAGAGAGAACAGATAGTTCCCTATATAATTATCCGATATACTCAACGTAAATTGTGATCTACAACAACAGAATGAGAAACGTGCAAAGTCCTCGTGTCTGGTAGGTATGTTAAGTGGAACGCGACGAACGCGCGATAGAGTATAACTTTAACGTCCTGCGCATGATGAACGGAGCATACGTTTAAGATGTACCAATATCAATATATGCATGTTAACTTTTATAAGTTCCTGTATCTATGTAAAATAAACGGTATGGTTGTAGCGTTTCCAATTCTAAAATTAACGATGAAAGTCTGTTTTTCGAATATTTTTTATCATGGCACAACATACACAAATGTTTAAAGCACGGTTTTATTTATTTCGTTTTGTTCCTAATTTATTGTTGAAACGGAATGTGATAACTAAAAGTATATTTCTTGACTGCACTTTTTACATTTTCCTACAATCTCTTTTTTTTTCTTTATTTTTCTTTTTCTTTCACTCTCTTTCTCCCCTTTTAAAAGATTAAATGTATATCTGTTTCATTTTTTAAATGTGGAAAGTGTAAAAATGTGTACGATTGCTTCTCTTTTGAGAGTTTGGAAAATATTGATCTAAATTACGCAAACAAATCGATTAGTCCCGATCGTCATACTATTCAACTTATTATATTAGAGGGACTATAAATTTAGAAACATCTTTCCCATGATACTATAATTATATATAAAAAAATTAAAAAAAAAGAAAATATTCCAAACTTTCAAATAATTTTACAAACTTTGGAAAAGATATTGTATTTTATTATCATTGTATTTTATGTTATTAATGCAGTAGAACTTCTATAACGCGGAATATTTGACACATTTGAGCTTCAAGGTAAAAAATTTGAGAACATATTGTAGATATATTGATCTGTAGGATTTCTTATAAAATCAAAAAAATAATAATTAAAATTTTTTCGATATTATTTATCTCACGTAAATGGCCCTGTCAGATGCTTTTCACGTGTTGCTGTGCCGGAGGCATCTATAAAATAATGTAGTTAAAAGTGCATGTATCCGATTCTCATCGGCCTATTGTCAATATTAAAGTAAATATATAAAGTAAACCATTAATCGAGGTTCTACTGCATCGATTAAAAGCGTGCGTAATATACAGAAGAGTATAATATAGTTGCTTAAAAAGACTAAACAGGGTCTCGTCAAAAGACGAGTCCGGTCTTTTTAGTAATAATAATTTTGAGCTGTAATACTTGCTCAAAACCTTCTTATACCAAAGTTAAAACCTCCGCTATAAGTTTTACATGTTTCTTCTTTAACGTAATATATAGCGAATCTCTTTCCCGAGTATCGACAGCTACCTCCAACTTTGTTGCAGTCTAGTCCATTTTTCATATAAATTAACGTATCGATGTACCCTTGAAATAGGAAATTTATTTTACCAGGCCTAAAAAGACTCACTTGTGTATGCTATCAATCACTTCTTGTATGTGATCGTATAGCAACGATCGATCAGTAAGCAATTCAAGGTGCATAATACGAAGCAGCAACTAAACTACTCAAATAATTGTTTAATTCATCAAACGCTAGCTTTATTCGTCCACAAAGCAGGGTAACTGCGAATTGATTATTTTCACGTTCGTCCACGTCCGTGTTTTTCTACAAAGCGAATATTATTTCTATCTTCTATATATTTGTAATTTATACCGATGTTTATATCAATTTTTGCTGAAGATGCTGACGAATTACGTATTAAATAATATTACGCGACATTCCTGTACTTACACGTTTAACGCTGACTATGTGAGCAATAATTACACGTATTTATTGTAACGAAATTCCGCAAAATTTAGTCACTAATGCAAGTAAACATTATACGAGTAAATACGTATCGCGATAAATATTGAAATTTCATGTACTATTCCACGCGATATTCCTGCGCGATTGATATTGATTGCAATGGTACGTGCAGCTATTGTTCAGTAGCAAAGCAGATATAAAAACAGAGTATAGTCGAGAACAGCAGCATGTCTGAATTCCTGATATCCAATATTTTATTTCAATTCCCGATTGTATCCCTATATCCGGTAACGTTTAACTTTTAGCTTCTAAGATCAAATCTCGAATATTCGCAATAGCGAGTTCGCAATTTTCCCGCAAAAAATTCCCGTGGGTAATTCCAATTTCCACTCTCGCAGTTATATCCACGATTTTTTTATTTACCAATTTCGAATTTATAAATAAAAAAAATATATTGTCTTGGATCACACGCGACTACGCATTACCCATAGGTTTAACTACGATTGTCGCTTGTAGAAAATTAAAGCGAAGCTTGGGTATCGTCGAAAATGATCTATCATCGAGTAACGTCTGTCTTATGTCGGAGTGAACACTGTGAATGAAGAATATTTATTGTATCGAATTAATGTATAGAAAAGGTACGTTGCGACTGATAATAGACATTCTTGTCGATACGTTACTTTACCACGTATGAATATAGTTTAGCGGTGCACAAGAACAAGTTGTGGTAAAATATATTGTAAGAATATAATAAAACAATCGTACCGCGCTAAAAACGGGCGGTACATTACATGTAATCCGTTTGTTTAAAATACATACCTACTAAATGTACGGACTAAAATCTAAATATCAGGATATCATTCGCAAACTCAATCAATTAGACTTAATCCGAACACGATGACGTAATAACGAGAATATAGTCATTTAAAATCTCATTGCAATGTTCAATAATGTTTTATGCAATTAGTAATAATTTATCTTTCTTCTTATACAAAAATATAATTGCTAGTAGCTGTATGTGTTTAATGTTATATAATTTAATTGTATATCAAGTTTCAACACGAATTTTTAAAAATTGTTCGAAGTCAATTCATCAATAGACATTTTTTAATTGAAATCAATGAATGACGCATTCTCATTTTTCCAACTATTAAAAATATTGTAATAGGTTAAAAATAGTTAAGATAAATTTAAAACACAATTTTCACATAAATATTAAATAATTAAATCAAGATTTTTAATGTTGAATGCATGGAAAGAATTTTCCTTATCTTATGTGTATTTGAAAGTAAGCTGCGGATATTTTGAAAAATAGTTCGAAAATAGCTAATATAAATTTGTTTTAAAATAAAATTTCCATGTATTAAATAATTAAATCAAGATTTTTAATGTTGAATGCGCGAGAAGAATTTTTCTTATCTTATGTGTATTTGAAAGTAAGTTGCGGTTAGTATAGTTAACGTTCTCATTGCTAGATGTCGTTTCATAGTAGTATCTTGCATGCGATCACTCTGTTCTATACGTCTTTCAATTAGGATGGTTTAAACTTGAACGCGTACTGTTGTTGTGTACGTTTATTCAATTGCCGTGCAGTACAATGTAACTATTGATAGAACGTATTCTCCCTACAAGCTAATCATACACGTCAATGGGCAAGACATACTATTGCGACTATTGCGACAGATCTTTTAAGGATGATGTCGAAGCCCGTAAAAAGCACCTGTCCAGTATGCAGCACATGACAAATCGCGCGAATCATTACAGCATGTTTAAAGGTGAGCATTGTTTAAAGGTAATGCGATTTTTTTCTTATTTACCTCTTTGTTTAATGCACATAACCTCTCTTTCTCTCTCCTACTTGCATACAATCCAGTTGCGATCGGATTATGCACTAATTTATTATTAACATCTTTAGATCCGGAGACGATATTAAAGGAGGAATACAACAAAACTCCGTGCAAACGCTACATGACCGTGGGGGACTGTGCTTTTGGTCCTGGCTGTCGATTTTCGCATTACACACCATCAATGATATGGGAACTTCAACAGCTCGGTAATCATTCTATCGACCGGCTCTATCGTCGGCCACGTAAGACGCGTTAACCTTCAGTAGATAAAATTTCACTTTCAGCTGCGATGAAGAATGCGAAAGTCTCGGCGGTTCAACCCAGGGACGGCTGGCCAAATTCGGAAGATATCATCAAGGAGTATTTCGAGAATGTGATCGATTCGAGCGGCACCGAGGATCTCAGTCAACCGACGTGGAGTACACCAGCAGGATTAGTCAATTATCCCTACTTACCGCCGTCTTTGCGGCCCGTCACGTCGGAAAGGATGATGGACTGCGATTTCAGCAAGTGGGGTTGAACTTGCAGAACCCCGAATTTGGAACATTCTAAGAATAAAATGTATTTATGTTCGCAAATCCCATTTGTTCAATTTCTCAGGAGTTACGATACCCAAATTGTACATCACATTGTCGGTTGTCCCGCCGAGCTTCGAACCCGAGAGAGCGACGCGCTCGCTATCATCCGGACAAAGTCCCCTCCGTTCTCCCCTACCAGGACCGTTTACGCCAATCGCCGAGCGGACCCGCCTTCACACGGTGATGTTGCTATGAAACACAGTGGCGGAGCACTCGTTGCCACGACAGTGTGAGTCGGCACGTGACGCGACGCAACGCGACGCGACGCGACGCGCCGCGCCTGTCGAATTGACGGTCGGTTTCTCGTAAAGTAGAAAAAAAAACCGGAAACAAGAAAACTCCTTTTTACGGAGCGAAACGGGGGACCGAGTACTACGCGAGTGTACCTACTCCATTTGCCCGGAGAAAATATGAGTGTTCGCGAGCGCCGGTCCGGAGCCTACCTCGCACCGTTCACAAGCGCCTGGTGGACGCGTTGAAAACAAAAATCGGAGTGCCACCTCCGGAGTGAGGGGGCCTTTGCCGATTTAGCGAGATTGGAATTCGTGGCTGGACCCTTCCAGGCCGCGTCGGTGAGTCCCACGATAAATTCCTTTTCACTGGTGGTGTGGGCCCCCCTCATACGAGGCAATCCGGATTGTAAGAATCCGTAAATCAAAGCGAAAGAAGGAAACAGGGGCGTATGGGTAACACGATTATATTAGGCACTTCGAAAAGAACCGGTCGGTCTCGGAATTGTCTTGTTAAAGTGTGGGAACTAGCAAAATATAATATCCTAGAAAAAATTTATAGCTACTTTTGATAAACTTTTAAGGAAAAGTATAGTTCTAAAGTTGTTTCATGTTAGAATTTATTTACACAAATTTTTTAGTAGATTAAACATTCAGAGCAGATGGATAGTAAATGCTTCTCTTCGTTTAACTTCGCGTGAATTTCAATTTAACTGAGCTGCAACTCGAGGATTTAGTTATATATCGTAGATATATAAAGGCTGTAAGTTTGCAATTCCAATGCATTTGTGTCAAATACGCTGTGCAGTGCGGAAACAGAAAGTTTCTTGCGCCTCCGTCAACTCACTGCAATGCACGCTCCGTTTCCCCCCTGTGCACATGACATCATGTCTTGAATAAAAAATTTCTGATTGTTGGATAGGCCAAGGACGCAGCCGTCTGGTCAGCGCTATCAATAGATATCACTTTCCTTGATTTCGAAAACAGAGTTCGGCTTAAAAAATTCAAGAATTAATTCGACAGAGTAGACTTTCCTCGATTCTTCGCAGTTCACGCGCACTCTTCCCGCTAGATATCTATAAAACTATATAAGGTCTACAGGAGATATTTGCATTCCGTTCGCGAGTGCCTGCATTCTGGTCGACACTGACACGCTGAGCCGGACATAGCGTGAAATAGAATACCGCCTTACGTCTCGCGCTCGGAATGCACATTAAAGCGTACAGGAAACTTAAATCGGATTTTTGTCCATAGAAAGAGCATATTCTTGAACTGTCATCATCCTTTTGATGCGGGAATTCTTTCATAGTTGTCAAAAGGATTTAAAACTGATTTTTTTTTAAGTCATCGATGACGAATGCTTAATTGTTTCGTGACTTTTCGAGAGCTTATAAGATAGATGTTTACATTCTTGGAATATATACGTGGAAATTATAAAATAAGCAAAAGAATAAGACTGGCAGGACGGTAAATGCGGTATGACGACGTGATGATGGCAACGACCTGAAGAGCTCTGTGCAATCCAGTCACGATTCTCGGTGGAGGTCGTGACCTTGCCGATATGCAGGATACGAGGGATAACACGCGGAATATGGGCGATAGTCCTTCGTGTTCATTGGGAATCTCGATAACGTTGTGCTAGTTCCACAAACATTTATCAAACATGTTTCATAAGGAAAATGGATAAATCAGATAAGATCGATTTGTCTTGCATTTGGGAGCAAATTAGTAGAGCAAGCGCGAGTACAAAGATTGTAAATCAATCGTCGTCGATCTCCAAACATTTAATTTTACGAGACGAGGAGATATATCTTTCTCTAAAGCGGCGTCTGCAGTGAGACTTGAGACTTAAGATTTAAGAAAATTGATCAATCGTTTATTCTTCTTACGTGAGATGAATAATCGACTATGATTGGTCAATTTTTTTATATCTTAAATATTAAATCTCATTGTAGACACCAAATTAGGAGAAAAAGCGACTCTAACACAATATATTACTCCAGAATGAATTTCGCCACGTCGCTAGAGATTCGCTTTGCAAATGGATACTTTTGAGCGCAAACCTGGATCGATTTGACGAGCCGTTCTCGCCCATTGTTGTGCTCCATGAATTGTCCGTTGCGAGCAGCTGCCTACGGCCTATATGGTGCCGTACGTCTCTTACGCCGAACAACGTTTTTAACAATGCATCGCGAAGCGCGCGGTTCCGCTCTGCGAATCTCCCTTTTCGCAGATTTTCCTGTAGAGGATAGTTTGATCGGGAAACTTTCGCGAAATCTTGGAAAGCTTGTAGTAAAGTTTACACGTGGCACGAGAAGTATCCATACTTTACTTTACCTGTTATACGTAATTTATGTATTTTACGGTACGTAAATTAAAAGAAATTTACACGTTGTAAGCAATCGTTTATGTTTCTAACTCTAAAGCAGTCGTCGTCGGACGCTGTACAAATACGCAAGTCTCGTCTTCTTGATCTCGTCTTCGAATTCGTCTCGTTCTCCAATGCTGACAGTGAAACCCGCTAAAAAAAACGTACCACCCAACAATTTAACGTCATTTATTTCTATTGCCTTTATACGGGCCGTTACGTCATGCCGATTTCTCCGCCCTTCGTTGCCGCGCGTTTCTCGTTTCGAGCCGCAGCTATATGCAAAAGCGAGGAGAACTTTCCGTTTTCACTATATATATACGAAAAAATTTCTCGCCGAAATTTTTCGACGCGACGACACGCAAAAAGGACGCGCAACCAAGAAATGCGAAATAAAAACGGATCAATAATGTAATCGATGTAGCGAGCGTTACGAATACCGGCTCGGAAAACCAGTTATACTTCGTTAAACATGCTACGCTGTTTCTCAAAAGGTTCGTAACGCCGGTAGATCGACCTTGAGAATAAAAGCCTCCTAAACATATATGATTTAATGCATTATGCTCGTTACGACTTGTGTTTCCACAGTACTTTCGCTTAGGCTGCTCAGCAGCGTAAAATACTTGCCTTGAGGCCTCGATAACGAGGCGGTTATTTTTCTCTCTTTCTGATTTTATATACCTAATATTCTAACCGATCTAATACATATCATTTAAATTTACCGAGAGGCGCGGCGTTAATCGATGTCGATTATAAATCGCGTGCAGCGCAAGCCGGATTCTACGTCTGCCTACGTAATCTCGTTCGGAAAACGAGTGGGAATATTTTGTTTGGGTGGAAAGTAAAAAAACGAGCCTACGCGCGCGCTCCTCGTACTCGGGCAGATACTATTTTTAGAAAAAGAAAGGAATTAATGAAAATGGAAAATTTAAAAGACACATTCAAGATAAATAATTGAAGCTGAAAAAAAAACCAGACATGCTTATTGCAACTCGTTGAAAACAACTCGTAATGGATACAATAGAGGAATTAACATAATAGACATGTTGTTATGTCAGCAAACGTTAGTTAAGCTATCCATCAAGATCGAAAGCGCACAAAGCGAAACGGACAAATAATTATTTCGTATAGTACGCTCCTACCCTGCTATTCCGCCGTTTTTCGATAAACATCTTGAATGTCTATAAGCACTACATTGGCGTTAATACAGCTCGACGGGAAGCTGTTCAAAGGGTCTGCATATACGAGAGAAACGGGGGATAAAAAAATGAAGCTGAAGAAGCCAGACGGAGAGGAAGATGCGGTTGCCAGGCAGATGTCGCCGCCAGACGAGCGAAACTGGCGATTCGTGAAACGATTCGCACGAACGATTGTCACGCGATAGCTAGATATTACGTATATATGTATGTGTATGTCTGTGGGTATGCATCTCTTGCATCTTCGTTTCAGTCATGTATGTACATCGGGGCTGCAAATGGTTCCGAGTTGGCTCGGGTCCCGCTCCTTCGCCCTACATCATCGCTTTCCTTTAAATCGTTAACCGCGCTGTAGATGTTAGACGCGTTAGGTTCTACATCGCTTGGACTCAATTGCCGCAAATTCAGACAATTACCCGTGCCTCTGCTATCGATGTAGCGCGGCTGACCGGCTAACAGGCGAGCTGTCTTCGTCAATGACAAACTCCGCACGGTTCGATCCTTATCGGGTGCGCCTGCCGTTTACAGTAAAAACCGATTGCGCGTCTCTTCTCTTTCGAGACACGCGCGCGATCGCGCTATCCGGCATCACACACAAGTCGACAAACGCATTGACGGTATATTTTCGTCTCCGTTCTCCTTCTACTTAAATATAATTTTCGCGGAGCCGCCGCGAATGCCGGTAAACGGTATTGAGCTATTCATGAATCTTTCATATACCGTGACAAAATCGCATGAGAACACCTCGGGACGCCTCGCGCCACGAAGCTTGCACATATGCGAGCCGCAGCAACGGATGTTCTATATGCGGCAGAACGGAACGGAGCGGATAGGGCCGGACGCGGAGCGCTTACGCGCTCTCGGTACCTGACACGAACGTGCTCCTTCCTGCTAAAACGGTTTCTCTAAATAAACCAGCATCCGTCGAAGCTCAAAGCTCGAAGAAAGGGTAATCCCCCCCCCCCTCCCCTCCGTCGCCCTCAGCCCAGTCTGATCCCTTTATATTGTTCTTTCAATTCAGAATTTTGTAAGAGACTTATCGTTTCTACCGAGACTTTCGCATTTAAAGCCACTCTCTACAAATAAAATCGTTTTCATTGTGAGAGCATTAAGACGCTGACACCATTGATCCATTTATCGGAAATAAATTCGTAACAATGACTAGATACTGTATTTTTAACCTGTCTCGACTTGACACCATACTGCCAATCATCTCTAAAATTTTTTTTTCGATAGTACAGAAGGAACGTTTCAAGCGAATATCAAGTTGGTCCACCCATCTCGCAAACGATAAAGATAAAAGCCTCGTATCTCTGTAGGCGTCGCGGATGGCGGGGCATCTTTGTAAATCATTCCGCGTGTGGCGGCAACTGACGTCATCGGTAAACGTTTATACTGACGCGTTAACTGTCACTAATAGAGAGCAAACCGTTGACCCATTGAGACAAGCTCCACCGAAAAAAAAGTATGTCGGTGCGCCGCCGGCAGCGCGGGCCGGATTAATTAACTCACATCATTCCCCGTTGCGCTTGTTTACGCAAACGCGGAAAATTCGCGCGCTTTCCTCGCAAGAATCACAACTGCGCGGCTCTAATCTAATCTAAAATTAAGATACCTAGGTGTAATTTGCGCGAGAGGCGTGACTACATGTTTTTTTTATCAAAACTTACGTTATCATCTGTGTGTTATCGTCTCGCGTGCGGGCAAACATTTGCGTTCGCCATTTGCCTGCCCCGCGTCTTGCTACCTTCGTATATCTCTTTACCTTTTAGGCGCGCAAGAGATCTCGCGCTACGTATTTACGACCTGTTGTGCGCGATATGAAAAAATATTTTATCCATACGAAAAAGACGCGACGGAAAAAAGATTGCCATCGAGAAACGGGCGAAATGAGGTGTCCAAGGCCGTTAGTACCAACTGTATTTGCAGACGAATTTAATATGTTGTCAGAAGCTGGTGACGGTATAGCTGCAAACTCGCGAGGAATTTGCTCTCATTTATTTTCAATTTGCCAAGTTTATCTTTGTAAAAATTATTCGAGATTCTTGATATTTCACATATCACTATGCACGCGGATCTTTCAATAATTCTTTTCTCTCTCCTTAAGTTTAATCATTTTAAGCATATTCTTTTGATAAATATAAATCAGATATCTGGATTATAAATGTACTATACTGAGAGAAATGTTTGGTATTTGTGACTATAATTGCATACAATAATTATAGTTAAGAGCTTCACTTTTATAATTATTACTGTTATATATAAATATTATATACAAACAAATATATAAAATTGACACCAAAAATGATTATACATTATAGTTAAATGATGATAACTGCAGCCATTTTCTTTTTAATCTTGTATTATTAATTTAGAATTTTCCAATCTTTGCCTACATCTCTTCATACATTTCCACTATCATTGGTTCACCTGCATGCGGGCAGGTGTCTATAATACGGTTGGAACGGAGTCACGCGAGAGCGGACTTGCAAGGACGATACACCTGCACTTTCGGTGCCTTCACTGGTTTTAATTAAGTGTCATTTGTAACGTATTTATGTATATTAATGATAGTGGCTTTTCTGATAGAATTGTAGCATCCCTTTCGCGATTGTCAATGCTTTAAAATTTAAACGGCGAATACAAGCGCGTGCTGGATCTCATCGATTTTAACGCGCTCGATTGTATCGCATGCGCACGCGTTGTTTATTTATCGGGTATCTTATCGAATGCTCCAGTCTGGTATTCCGACCACGAGGCACGAGAGACAGCGCGAATATCGATCCGGCCACGATTTCCAAGAGCGCTCGTTCGCGCGCGCTCCAGACAACGAGATTGAGCTGCGCAATAAGCCGATGACCTACCAGATTTCCAACGTTGACCTATCAGCAGTCTTCGTTAGCATTCGCGAGAAGAGACGATGTCGCGATATTCAGTATGTATACGCAAGAGAGCCCGGGGATAATGATAAGACTCCTGCTTCCTCATAAAGATCTCAGCTTCGAGCTAAGAAATTCAACGAAACCCGACGTCTTAATCGTCGGCTTTAAATTACTCGCCGATGAAATCCGAGGAGGTGTAATTTAAGCAGATTGTGGGTGTAGTGCACGATCGTACCTATACGCCACGAGTTGGCCGTTTAGTCGTTCAACCGCAAGGGTAAACCACTAAAATTTCATGTATGAAATATATCGTATGATGCTATAGGCAGCAGTAAAGTGAACTCAATAGAAGGAATTCATTCTCTAGATTTAAAATCGATTTTTCTCTTGTAAAGATATTTCTACACTTTTTTAGTATCAATTAGTACGATAAATTTTTGTCAATAATGTAGAAATATAAGAATTATTTTTAGAAATTAGAAAATCCCAAACCACGTCCAAAGATTTCCCTTTTTACTCATAACATGAGTTTGCAAAGAAATAATTTTATTATTATGTTATACTCCATTTTCTATTGTTGTTTTCGCTGCACAAGCAACTTGAAACAGAAATTGCAAATGGGATGCATTACTTCCTCGTGGTCAGACGCGTTAGCAAAGTTCAACGGGACGGCCTAACGCGTAATGCGCTTAATTAAAGTTGTTTCAACTCGTTAAGATCCTTCACATGAGATGAACAACCCTATAAACGGCATGCGAGTACACCGTCAACTGCAACGAGTAAGTTTTTCAGCTTGACCAAAACTTTCTAAATTTCTCTTAAATCCGATTATATTATAAAAATTAATTACAAAAGCAGATTCGAGGCTTAAAGGACCTATTAAACAAAAAAAAGAAAAAAGTAAAATAAATAGTAATGGCCAACAAAATTATCTTAGACTAGTATAGGCGCGATCTTACCGATAAATCTCGGCCGAAGATGCAGTAGGTCGCAAAAAGGTTAAGAACCCCTGGCGTAGACGAAGTTTATGATGGGGCACGAGGAGCAAGAAAAAAAGAACAAGATAGAAAAATCCTTTCCCGTCTCGGAAAGACCGGTTTTTCGTCCCTTGCTTTTTCTTTTTAGGCAACCCTCCCCATTCTTATCCGCCAATGTGAAGCTTCGCTCGTAGAACTCATCTGGATCGATCTCTCGTGAAACGATAGCCATAATCTTCGACGAGGTCGTTCGTTGTAGCTAATAATAAGGCTCGGTAAACCTTCTTCCCGCTAGGTGGTATATGTCCGGTATCGAGCAGCGTAATTTTAATGGTGTCCCCCGGTGGGCATGCAAATTCTCACAGCTATCAACTATTTTCGATCCTCGCATAGCTGCTGCACATTTTTTTTTTCGTAATCTCCCGAAAAAGTTCTTGACATATAGGTTTGTATTCATACCTTATTTCTATCAATAAATGCATTCATTTATTTCTGATATTCTATAATAAATGTAACGTAAATTATATGCTAAATGCGCGCATTTATCAATAAAAGTAAAGCTTGAATGCAAACTATAAGGTATATTTAAAAAATATATTTTTTAATATTACACGGAAAGAACGATTTTGTTGAAAAGTCTAAAAATTTTGCTGAAAACAGATCTGAAAATTTTTTGTTGAATCATCAAAATAATTTGTTGGAATGTTAAAACTGATAAGTATTGCTATAAAACATTTTGATATTCTAGCAATCATTGACTTTCGCACAAAATTATTTTGATTACTGAACAAAAATTATTTTCAGATCTAGATTCAGTAAAATTATTCTTTGCGTGTACGTTTTGGTGAATCATTATTATAATAAAATTATTAAAAACTTGGCTACTACTAATAAATCGATCGCGTGACTATAGCGAGAAACGATATGGGATCGTTTGCGCGAGAACTGATGGAATTGGATCGTTACAGTTTCCCATCGCCAGTCTCTCTGCTTCACCTGCTAATTTATTGCTCATTTATTACAAATGCTTTTGTTTTGCAGGCATGGCGAGCATAGCGGCCGCCGGTCTCGAGGTGCACGAGGCGGGTCGGGCGTTACGCGTGCAAACGGAAACGCCGCATCTCGTCTCCATGGGAAGCGGTCGACTGTCGACGGCCGTGACTTTGCATCCTCTCCCCGAAGGTTAGATACAAATACGATATGTCACTTCGTCTTTTTCTTCTCGAACGCGACGAACAGTTCTTTCACGTTGGATTCGAAGTTACATTAATTCAACTTTATGGCATTTACGTTTAATCGTCTTAAATTTCGGTGGAGGTGCATGTCTCTAGAAAGAAAAGAAAAAAAAAGTGACACGCGTATACATTTAATCTATTCTATTCACGCGATATTTTCCTATCACCTACGTGGAACGGGCGAAACTAAATCGGACTGGTAGCAAGAGATAAATTGATCGCCACGTAATCAGTGATTCATCCGGTGTTTTTAATCCAAGAGGCTCGAATAGCGTTGTCCAAAGCTGATAAAGCTTTACGGCGCCATCGGATTTACTGATAGAAGTTACTAATATTTGTAGCAGTGAGTGGAATAGTCATTTCCGAGCCGGGAAAGAGAAAAATCGTGCGATGTATCGTTTCGTTTCGTCCCCCGCGTTATTGTGAGACAAGTGCACTGGAAAGGATCGGCGATAAAATCTTTATTTCATCATGTGATTTTAAACATATGTTTATCAACGAAAGACAACAGATATTACGTCCGGCCAGGTTGAAGTATCCACGATAGGAATTATCGTGACCGTAATATCCGCGATTGCACAAGCCTTCGAACTCGGTTTTAGCCTTTACATACTTTTATATAATATGTGTATACAGTATGTGGTTGTACATATCGCTCATTTCATTTTTTTTAGTTGCTTATAAAAAAAGAACAAGACCATAAAAAAAAAAGAAAAAACATACTCTAAAAATACATACTTTTAGTCTTCTTACAGTAAATTACATCAAAATTGCATTTGAAAATTAATATTACAAAACTAATGATTCGAAACATTTGAACTCATTTTTTGGAAAATTTATTTTTGAGTTTGTGTCGTTGTTACAACAAATGAGAGATATAGGTATATATATATATACACACATACAAAGACCTTGCATGGTATATAAATGTATATAAAGACTCAGGGAGAGCAGGGCCATTTTAAGAAACTCACAAGCCCTACCGTATCGTTTCCGTTTCGTAAAGAACAAGTGACGGTAGTGAACTGAAATAATATCGCGGTTCGTAAAACGGCGAACAGATTAAACAAACGCGGACAACATTATAACGGAGTTAAGTTACTGCGAACCCGGAACATGAAAGAAAAATGTAGGATTCTAGGATGTAGTTGATTACAAGAATTTGGCAGTTTGTGTACTGCTTACTGTTTGTATATTCTAGAGTGTCTTAAATATAGTCGATGCGTCACGCAACCGAGCGTGAAATAATGACGTGAATCACAAAATTCGTATTGCCCCAAATAATTTTTAGATTGCTCGAGAAAGTCTTTAAGATTGTGCTTCTAAAACGAAGGAATAAACGAATGAACAATGGAGAGAGAAGAATAGAGAATAAAAAAAGAAACGATATAAGTGACGACATAGCGTAAATTTGACGCGGATAAAGCGGACCTGGAGCGGATGTATGTACCTGTGTAACACTTATACTATACGAGGATAGGACGTGTAGGATGAAATTGATTGACAGGAAGCTATCTTCCGTTCGCTATGACAACCGAGTAACGCAACTCCATCGTGAAATAAGCTTTTCTTATAAATCTGAAGCCATATAGATCCAATACAATTTAGTTTATAAAAGAATAGAACAATAAACTAAATAATAAGCTAAAATTTTTTACTCATGGATACTTGAACCGAGCGAGAGTTAAAAAGATCAATAGAACTTTTTCGTTTTTAAGCGTGTCGAATTTAATGGCGAGAAAACTCGTAAAATATAGGAACTCTAGAACACTTTGGGTAAAAGCCAGAATTCTATTATATCAATTATATCGGAACTCTGAAAATGGGACGCTAACGTCATGAGCTTCACTTTTTCTCTGTGCACCTGTCTGTCTACCGGCTCGCTTGCGTATATACGCGTCGGAACACCGCATCTCCTTGGAATTTATATGATCGTTTTGAAATCATGACGAACTTTCTCCGAACACACATAAAACAATGCGCATACATATACGCATAGACACACACACATAAAACAATACGCTTCCACAGCAGAATTCGAGCTTTGAAATCTTATGTTTCAGTGATTTTTACTTCGTGCATGATTCAATAAATTTTCATGTTTCCGATAAAAAATTATTTATATACTCTGATTCGACTGGACATAACAATTAATAGCTGCGACTTACAAACAAGTATTATGCATGGAAATAAAAATCTTCAATTTAAGCAACGTATAAATTGATATGCTGCATATATACTCTTGAATGCTGGACAACCTTTTTTTTATTTCATCCTGAACATGTTCGAGAAGGGGGAGAGGGGAGGGGGGAAAGAAGAAAAAATTAGTTCAACCGTCGCTTAAATTATGCGTCTAGGTACTGCCGGACACTTATATATTCCCCACAACGCGCATCGCGGCCAACACATTTCCAAAAAGACCGAAAATGCAACGAGAGAGTGCACGACCGCGCTAAAACTAAATATAACTGCAGTCCTTCGTAGAATACACCACGATTTACCCGCGTCGCGCAGAACGGAGCGCATCTAGAATCATTTTACGGAAACTAGTGCGAGTTGTTCGTCGATCTATCGAGAAATCGCTTGTATATCGGCTGTGAAAAATCCTGTCCGCTCTCCGTACGCATTTACAATTGTTATTAGTATACCTATTTCAAAATTACGCAGTTTGAGTATATTCGGTTTCAGGAGTGCAGATGTACAATGAAACTATATACTTGTGTGAATCGAAGTGTATTTTAGTTAATTTAAAATTTTTTTCGCTTTAATTCCGTATTTCCGTACTTATACATCGAAGTTCTGTATATCTAGCGGAGAATACATCCGGCCATCCTCGCCGCGACCGCGCCAGGTCGTTGACATTCCCAGAAGGCTCAAATTAATATTGTAAACTCTCTCTCGAGTTTCATGCGCCCTTCGGGAATCGGAGCTTCCGTGAAACGGTTCCGCGGGATGAGCTCGAGAATCCGATTATATCGATATTTATATATTCCGATACTCGTGGGAGAACCGCTGCCAAAATAAATGTAACTCATATTACGCTGGGAGGTGCATTACTAAGTAAGCCCGCGAGAATTTTGATCGGAATGCATACGCGCGCTCGCCTGGTTTCCATTCAACCGTAAGACACGCGCAAGCGATATTTAGTCACGCTTCCTGATCTTCCTCGTGTCGCTTCTTTTTTTATCTTGCGCATCTTTACGTTCGAAAAATACAAACTGCTTCTCGGAAGTGAACGGCTCTGGTTATTACCGAAATTTAAGACGAAAAATTGAATATTTTTTGCATCTCTTGATTTCTCTCTCTTGAGAAATAAATTTACTCTTTTCCTTTTTTCCCCTCCACACAGGTAAGATCACGCTTGGATCAAACCGAGATGCGGACATTTTGGTGGCTGGTACCGGCGTCGAACCCGTGCACTGTGCCATCGAGAACAATAACGGCGTGGTCACTTTGTACCCCATAAATGGCAATACATTTGTCGATGGTGTACCGATAAATTCGCCAGTGAGACTCGCGCAAGGTAAGAGACCTTGGCCTAAATACGAATGACCGTGACCGGTGCGCAGACGTCCTAAAAAGTCAGTGGAGGAGTAGCAAGGAAAAGGTCCTTCATACTGGCAAAAAGGATATTTCGATTGCAAACGTTTTGATATTTATTAGTACAATGTTATTGCACAAAGAAAGAACGATTTTGCTGGAAGGTCTAAAAATTTTGCTGGATACAGATCTGAAAATAATTCTTGTTGAAACTCAAAAATGATAAGCATTGCTGTAAAACGTTTTGATATTCTACCAATCAGTTTGACTTTCCAACAAAATTATTTCGATGGTCTAACAAAGATATTTTTAGATCCAAATTTTTTGATCTTTCAACAAAATCGTTCTTTCTATGTAGAAATAACATTTTTTAAATTTAATGTATTAATATTATATTTTTCTTATATGTATATATAGATCATAGTTATTTAAATTTACTTAAATTACTTTTACTAAATTTACTAAATTTACTACGTTACTTAAATTATCAAAAAATGTATAACAGAAGGACATTAACTATTTCAGGTTGTATGCTATCGATAGGTCGATCGAACTACATGCGTTTTAATCATCCAGCCGAGGCTAAACACCTACGATCTGTCTTTCCCCACTCGAGAATCTCAATGGCGCCGATAAGTTTCGCTCTTCCTGACGGCCAGTCGCAGGAAAATCATCACTTAGAGCGAAAGCCACCGGTCGCACCGCGAAAATCTCCCAGGAATTCTTGTTCCGACGACGAGACGATGGGTTTTCTGAGCAAGCTGACCAAGTTCGAGATGCTGTCGAAGCAAAACAGAACCAACTGCGTCTCGCCGAAGGTCTTTCCCGTCGGTGCTCTCACGACGAATGTGCCAGCCGACCAAATCCTCGGGCATTCGAGATCGTCGAGTTTGGTATCTTTGACGAAGTCCCCGATGAACGGTTTCACCGTGAATGGTAACGTCGATTCGGTATCGCAAAACACGATCAATTATCCCGATCAGCGATCGGACTCGCGCCTCAGTACGTCAACTCGATCGAACACGGTCAATGCCCAGTGCCAGAATCACAATCAGATTAGAATGTACTCGGCGGAGACGTGTCTAAAAACGTGCAAGCCGTATCACGAGAACAGCAACAAGAACGCGCGATCGCCGTCTTTCGGGATGACTCCTGCGAAGATCGTCGCCGCTCGAAGCGACGACCTGATGTCTCGAAGTATGACCTGTCAGAGCTCGAACGAGCTCGACCATCTCGTCGACAGGGACTTCGACATGAGCCAAAGCCTTATCGTCACGAAAACGACTACCACGGAATTTCTGCAACTGGAGAAATACGGATCGAATTCGAGTATCTGCAACGCCAACACCGGCGGAGACGCCAACGTCGGAATCTTGAGGCCGTCCACCGCTCACGGGTTCGGCTCGAATCCAAATGTTAAGCGAATACTGCCACCGAGCCCGGCATTTAATCGTAATCCGAGGTATAGCGAGCAAAAGAGAGTTTACGCGAGGGTCAAGAGTCCTACCCCGAGTGTCGGTAGCAATTGCTCCCTGGAAGAATTGCGAGAAAGGCAAGCCGACGCGGAGAATAAACGCAGAGAGGCGGAGACCAAGCGGAAACAGGCGCAGGAAGAGAGGTTGCGGGAGCAAGAGGTCGAGAGACAAGAGAAAATGAGGCTCGAGGAGATCTTGGCAATGTGTGCCGAGTACGAAAGACAAAGCACCGTTGAAAAGCCGAGGCAGCCTAATCGGTAATTATTCGTATTTTATTTCAATTTATTTGTTCTCCCTTTTTTTAAATTTATTTCTACAGATTTTCGAGGCAGCCTAATCAGTAACTATTCGTATTTTAGTTCAATTTTATTTGTTCCCCCCCTTTTTTTTATATTTATTTCTGCAGATTTTTTTTCTCCTTTCACGAAATAGAAGATGAAAAGAATTTGTAGAAATTTATTTCGTAATATTAAATGCCCAAAATATCTCTTTTGAGTCATTTACTTTCAGACGAAATACAAAATATGTATATATTTGATATAATAATATTTTTTACAGGATCATAACGAATGGATCTCTTCCGCGTGACAAGAGACTCGGCTATTCTTCTTCTTTCGACAGTCCGAAGAGCCCGTCGAAAAATCAACCGCATTTCTCCTTCGACACTGGCAAGCAAACTAGTTGGGGTACCTCGTCGTACGAGAATATATCCGTGCAAAATTCTAAAGTTATTTTCCAAAATGGCAATTCGCCGGCCAGTCGTAAGGATCAGTCGGCACAAGTTGAAAATCAGTCGTGTGTCGTTTCCGCAGGATCACCACGCGCAGCTACATCGAGTAACAGTCAATCGGCGAAGTACTCTAATGCTCACAATACGAATGGCAATTGCAGCTTCTCAGGTTCGATTTCTCGTGGCGGCAACTACGAAAACGTTATCGTCAGCAATAATAATAAAAAGAGCGACAGTTATATTGAAGGAACGGGAAATTACCCGAGGACTGATGACGATACCAAAGGTCCGCCGTCCACGTACGGAACGATTCGACTGAACGGAGCGAAAATCGAACCGCAGCAGGCGCAGCAAAACGGGAATGCGAATATTTACGAAAACGTCGTATTATCCCCGCGGAATAATAATCAGAATCATTCTATGCCAAAGAAAAACAACCAGCTGTCAACCTCGTGCGAGATGATAGAAAATAAACTGGCCATCTCGAACGACGACCTCCTCGAGGCGATCGAGCAGTTATCTATGCTCTCGAAATCCAAAGAGATCTGCGTGACTCCCAAGCGAAACAATTCTGAAAAGGACAATGCAAAGTCCAACGAAGCGAAAGCCGACAAGGAGAGAAAGCAGTTGGAAGAGGAGGACAGGAAGAAGTACATAGAATTTTTGCAAAACGAGAAAGTGCACATTCTCGGCAACATGGATGCTTTGAAGAGGAGCGTCGCCGAAATTGAAATTCAAGAGGAAGAGATTAATAGAGAGGTAAATTTTTTTTTCATTCCGACGTTAAGCAAAACTTAACAGATAACGTCAGATAACAGTTTTGTCACTGTTATCTTGTACTACGCGTATCGTATATTAAATAAGATATTTATTTGTTTTCTTTATCCCTTTCTGGGCATGTGGAATACTAAGACGTCCGATTGTAAGTATTTGTTAGATAATAAGATATCTATAATTAGTAATAAAATTACTAGTGATGACACACAAACTCTAGATACACAATCTCCGTTATCTATGTTTAAACTATCGTTTCTCGAGCTAATATTTGAATTTACACACTTTAATCTCTTCCTGCAGATTCTTTTTATAGTATCGAATTTTTATTCGGTGTCTAGTTAGCGTCTCGTTAGTTTTCATTAATGTGTTATAAAATCTGACAAGGCGAAAATTTGAGAAAGCTATGCTGATAGCGCCTCTACAATGCCAGTGCCGTACTCACTCGATCTTTTTTTATATACTTGGCATCGCGAGATATAGTGCGCGATACAAAATGCAATGAAAACAATGATATAACGACAGACAGATTAATTTCTCATACAAAAATTAATTAAAATTGTAGAAAATTCTGCCATTTCAAGAACATTGATTTTAAAAATTTGTCGAATACGATATTATACTTTTACAGACCATTAGCTTAATAATGATAGGGAAATGACAGAAAACAAAATAGTTCAATGTTTAGAAACTCTCGAGGTCGAAGTGGGATTACCAATCTATAGAGAAACATTGATTAAAATATTAACTAAGAGCACATACACACTTAGACGGATTTTTAAAATCGAAGACTTCTCGAGAACAAAATATCAAGAAAAAGATTAAATTTGTTTTCGCGCAAGAAGGATCTGTGGTTATATCATCGTCGTATCTTCCGTATAATCTTTTTCTCACGGAATTTACGAAACAATTATATCATACATCTTGCAAACAATTATCTCGCCAATATTTTATTTTTCAGTAAAGCTGGATTTAGAAAACCAGCACAAACGGATATTAAAAGATATTAAAAATCAATATGTTGCTTGTTTACTGTTTGACAGCTCGAGCTGGAGAAAGCACTTTTGTCCGCGGAGTATGAATCGGAATCCCTGAAGCTCACGCAGGATGAAGGAGAGAAGATAAAGGTGCAAATGCGAATAAATGAACTGGAGAGAGAAATGGCGGAGGATAATGCGGGTCATTCGAATTTGCAAGCTGAAGCAAAACAACGTGTTCAAAAGGTACAGCAGGTTTGTGCTCGGCTAGACGAACAACTGGCCAATTGCACGGATGAAATTATGCAGCAGAATATTGCTGACAAGTTAACGGCGCAGCAAGACGTCTTAGAGAGCGAAAGAAAGGCTTTCGAGGACTTGGAGTTTCATCATCTCGAAGAAGAGGCGAGTAAATTAGCCACGAGAGAAGAGCTACAAAGGTGCGCTTATAATCGTTTTTATATCACATTTAATTTTCTTGAGATATGCATACGTTACGTACATGTTTTTGCAGATATTTGAGCGATCTCACAAGCAAGATCGAAGGCAGAAAATTGCAATTAACTCATCTGGAATCGCAGCGGTCCGAGATAAAGAATGCGGCGACCAAAGAGGCTAAAAGTCTGGAGAGACAGAAATTGGGACATTTAAAGCGACTGGAGGAAGTCAGTAAAAAATAATATAAAACTAAAATAAGAAACATTAATCCACCAAAGTCGATGCAATTTCAAGCATGAATGATAATTAGATTAAAAATTCTCTCATATGTTCTTTTTACAGTATAAAAAAATTATCAAGCTATTAAATATCTGTATTTATTATAGCATGATGTATTACATAATGTATTTTAGTGGATTAATGTATTGTAGATTAATTTATCATTCGTTAATTAATTAACAATTGCGATTATGATAGGCACGAAATCGAGTACGAGAGATAAATGAAGAGCTCGGCTATCTGGCTCAAAACTCTGCTGAATATTCTGAAGAAAAACGATCTCCGAGTAGAGAAGACTTTGACAGAATCTCTAGAGTGACCAATGATTCTCCTATTGTAAACAATCAAGGCAGCTTAGGAAGAAAAACGATCGAATCATTAAAGGAAATCGAGAGAAATCGGCAGCTTCATTTAGCTAAGCAAGGTGCAAATTATTCCAATCTATAAATTGTATAATACACAGTAGTTTAAAGTGAACAAGCAAGAATAAAAATATCGATTTATTTCCTTCCCAGGGAGTCAAGTAATCTCGGAGGAGAGGCGTAGAGTCGAAGAATTGAAAAGGCGCGTGCAGGATGAAGTTCGTTCACAATGGGAAGAAAGAAAAATGAACTGTGCGTCTTTCAACAGCGTTGAATCTGGTGAAGAATCTTCCAGTTATTCCACTGGACCAACAGAAAGGTGAGTCCAATGAAAATGATTCGCTTTTTTATTTTATACGTCGCATGATTCAAAATTTGAATCAAAATGATGATGACTTGATTCAAAATGATTCAAAAGAACGTTATTATTTCTTAAGAGTTATGTAAGAACTCTTTAACCTTTTTTAATTATTTCAAAATTTAAAAGCATTATTATATTATGACTTTTTTAAATTTATTATATAACAATATATAAAAAATTTTATTTGCATTCTTTCGTGATAATAACACTTAAGTGTCCTAAATATGTATGTACAACGAGCTGTAGCTCGATCGTTACAAGCGGACATTTATTATGCCACATAAAAATCGAAGTATGCAAACGCATGTTATTTGTACCACGAAGTGTGTGTAATACAAGACGCGTACATTATCGCGCAGTATCGCAGTTAATCGCAACGACCTTTCCATCGTTGATTGAAGCTTATTACGAAACCTTCCTCATCGACACGCCACGAATGTTGTGTGCATCTTGCTTGTAGTGGTCTGATTGTGTGCATACGTCCGATATAGAATCAAAGTTTTTCAATCAATGGTGCAAGTAGGTGAATAAGCACCTGAGGTATTCCATGATTAAGTACATTCACTCATTTACCCTCCATTTCTTCGAAAAACAATCTTTTTCATCATAATGAAAAAAAATATAAATAAATTAGAAGCTGAGGCGCGCGGGAGAAATGAATATATTTTGCGAAATTGATCAGAGAATCATATTGGCCTCATCTTCACTCTATTAATACTACTGTCAATGTCCAAGATACTGTTAAGAGCAATTACTAATTGCGTGCGAGGGCCGCATATCGTGTTGGTTTGATCGGCACTCGGCCTGAGTCTTCACTCTCTCGTGGTGCAAAGTAGGCGGGGCGTTATCGCGCGATACGATATCTGCGTGTAGCTGTATGTCTTCTCGTGGTTCTACTCGCGTTAACGTGTCGTGTAACGGAAAATCAAACGAAAGATGTGGGAACGTTTCGGAACATTGTAACGTGATAGATACGAAGACCGAATAACGACTCGCGAGCAACGAAAGGGGACAAAAAAAAAGATGTGTATTCGGTAGCTATTGTCAACAATGCTCCAAAATGGATCCCAGGGAAATGGGTGAGATAGTGCTGAACGAGGCCAGAGTTACGGGATGCAACCTAATCACTTTCCTCACTAGTAATCGTTGTTACCTCTGCGCTAAAGATTGGATTTGCGACAATTGCTATCGCCCCTTGGAAACTCACGCGCACGATATTCGTCAACGTTATTTGTAAGTCATTAATTTTTTTTTAATCTATCTTTTTTGTCACAAAATGATTGATTGATAATTAACGATTCAAAACTTTTTAAAATAATTTAACGCGATAATATAAATTCTAAAAAATTTAATTTCTTCTCATTAATTTTCTCTTTAAAGTACTTATTGTAGAAAATGAATTAATGAGTAAAAAAATATATCATTTGATGTAAAAAAACCAGAAATAACAGTTATTAAATAAAATAAAATAAAACATCGTATTAACTATTATGACAATAATATAAATACTATAAATGGCAATAATAATAATAATGTAAATGTGTGCGTCACGCGAATTAAGTTAAAATGAATTTAACAAGACGATACATGGCAAAAAGAAGACCAACGCTCACCTTTCGACTCTTAATACATCATAATATATGTAGGCGCGCAACGTAAGTGCACAATATACACACACACACATACACAGACATAGCTGCATTCAAAGATGATGTAATTAATTTGTGTGTATATGTTATGCATGTATCAATAACTTGCGCATAGACTCATAAAAACTCAGACAAGCTATCATAAAATGCTAAGATTTTGTCAAGGTTTCCCGATTATATTTTTTCTATTATCAATATTTAATATATCTTTTTTAAAATCGTATTCAGAGTTTTTAAATCGTAATCAGTATTTAATAATTTAGTAATCAGATTATATTTTCACTACTGATTATATTTTCATTAAAAAAGTTTTAATTATAAATTATAAATATTCATCAAAGAATATATTTCAGCTACTCCATTTTTTAAAGATATATTTCATTAAATTCTTATATGATCAAACTCAATTGTCATAATTCTTTATTTAAACAAAGTATTTAAACAAGACATATATTTTTAAGTAGAATTGTCGTAAGACGAATTAAATGGTTTAGATTATGACAGTACACATGTGTGTGCATGTATGCGGCGTACAGTTGTAGTCGCATGTAATGCACACATCGCGTGAAGCTTTGTTCGCTCTACAGCCGTTACTTAATGAAAGAAGGTATTAAAATAAAATTATAGAAACGGGCTATTATAATTGGAGATCAGTTATCGGGAACAAGGGAATATTTCTAAGGCCAACCAAGGCCGAGGCTGGCATGGCAACGAGGATCGGAATGTTCGGGTATCGTTCGCGCTGCATTTAACATTGTAGAAGAATTAAACGCTATGCCGGTGGTATCGTCGAACCGGTCTACCGAGTCACTTTGTACTTGTTAGGTTTTAATAATACCTGGCCTCTCGCTATAGGCCTCTCGTCCTCTCCTCAGTCTCGCGATGCTCAGGAGCTAGGACCGTGGTTTTCGAAGTGCATCATCGTGTTCCCTCCACGGGAACGTCGAGTGAAATTCGCGACGTTCGGTGTTCACGCTCCAGTTAATAAAAGCGCCCACTAAATGTGTCAGCGTGTTTCATATCAAATATAAATAAAGTGTAAATACGATTCAACGGAATCGATGGAACTGCGATATATTATGTGACCATAATAAGAGACATCCGTCGGATTTTTCATAATTTCCTTTATTTTTACACTTGTATTTAGGGTATACATTTTTAATTGTTAAATCAATTTATTATTTCTTTAATTTTGATAGTAAATTAATCAGCGTTCTTGAAGCTGCAAAACGTAGTGACGAAATATAGATTTTTGATAGTTTAATTAAAAGTTTTACTGTGATCTGCAAATTACAGGGACTTGCGGCGTAATTGCAATTAATTATTATCGGTTTACTTTTTCAGCGGTAGCGGAAGCACCGACGGCGCGGAAGGTGGAAACAGCGAAAAATTATCCCCTAGCAAACTTTCGGAACTTACTTCACCCAGTCCAGGACCGTCGAATAACTCTTATAGTTTACTTCAAAATGACAACGTGAGTATAGTATAAAATATACAATATATCTTACGTTGAATCAAATTTCAAGTTTACGCCTCAATTCATTTTGAGATGCTGTGCAAATGTCCGTGGAATGTCGAACGTATACAATTCCTTTCTCAGAAACTACTTATTTTAACGCATGCATTGATTTCCAAAAATATTTTATCGTTCAATCAAACGCTACTGAACGCGAACACATGCGTACGTATCTACGTACGTAAACTGCAAGATGTTACGTCGAGCAAGCTAAAGTCTATCTTCCAGTCTATTTCTGCTCGTGTGGATTTTATCGCACACCTGTTCAAAGAAATGTCTCCCCGACAAGTCTGTCCTCCTAAAATTTTTCAGTGTTCACGCAAGCGAGATTTCTCTTACTTCGAGACGCATTGTGTCGCGGATTTATTTATCGTGCAAAAACTGTGAGCTATTGATCTCTTTTTTAACGTAGAGAAACAACTTTATACAAGTATAAGTTTTTTGAAGATGTGAAATTTGCATTTTCAATGTGGAGTCTTCAATCTGGGTATGTTGTTTCTCTCTCTGGGATTATATAACAAAAATAATGTATATAAATATGTTAAACAGTTATAAACAGTACCTCTTTCTCTCTTTATCTTTACTTGTCTTTTTTATATATCTCTCTCTATTTCTTTTTTCTTTCAATTTCTACAAGCTTTTATTTTCTGATCGACGTTGAGTATATATGTATAATATATAGTTTATATGTATAATATTTTATTCTTTTTAATGAGAGTATCTTTTTTTACTATTTTTTTATTTATTCTATTTATCTCGGCGTAATTCCAAAAAAAACTCCACTCTGGTGCCAGCCGAATGCAAAGAATAGTCATGTTACGTCTTCGAGTAATTCTGTGGGCGAATACTTAAGCTGCATTCGCTTTAGTGCTTACAGCGCTTACAACATCACTTCATTCTTGTTGTTTATTAAATGGGACAGTTAAAGCGAAATAAATGATGCGCTCTCAAGCGCTGTTAAAGCCAAATCGAACGCAGCCTTATATAGGGTGATATAATACATATATAGGGCGATTGACGAGAAGTGTGAATCAGCAGAAATATTCGAAAGGAATGTAGTTAATATTCAAAATACCTAGAAAATGACTTGAGTCATTGTGTACAACAACAGGAAGCGAATTTGTTATAACAAATTCATGTGTCAGCTACACTGAAGTCAGGTAACTACGCGGCTACGCGGGCTATGCGATTTTCTCTCCTGCAACGCTCGTTTTCGTTTGCAAGTGTTTCGACAGTTGAAAAAGATCATTTTGAAGTATATTTCCGTGTACATACATACATTGAAAAACAACGCATTTGTTGCCGCCGGAAGTTCGCGTAGCATTTTGGCCCGCCATCGCGTCCACGTGTCAGAGCCGTATTACGCTTTTCAGCACTGACATTGCGCAAGTAATCCCGTGTATCCATTTGCATTCTGGAGCAAGTGTTTTCGTGATTGCACACGTGTTTTATATATGCTAATATGCCACGGGTTGGGCAGCATTCAGAGAATAGTCTGTACTTCGATAAATGTGCTTTTGTAGAGTCTTGATTAAGCCTGCGGCGATAATTTATAACAGAAATGAGATGACATCAAACTCATAAGTCTCTTTTGCAATTGACCTCCTTCTTCGCTGGATATATCTACGTACGATAAATTTTCCGTATCGTTTTTGCACGCGTTTAATCAAATGGACATTTACAGGTGTTATATTATGTAAAATTTTTAGGTATTATGTGAAAAATGACATCCATTTTTATGAATTAAATTTTTAATGCGCATGAGTGTAATCCTTGTAGTTCCAAGTCCCAAGTTTTATTCCTTCAAAGAGAAATATTCGCATATTACTCCTTGCATTCCTACCACTTTATTTAGCATTGAGTTAAGCCGAAGTGAAATGTCCGCGGTAAATTAGTATTTGTGATGAGTCACCGCGTTTGCCGAGCTGACGGAATTTCTCATCTCTCGTCTGAACCACTTAACAACTACTAATATTAAAAAATAATTTGAACGAACTTTCGACATTATATAATGTTTTATAATAATATTGGCTCATTGCTCAATTATCTAAAACGTTAATTATTTAAATGATAATCTTTTTGATGAAACAAAGATTTTATTAATTGTTTGATTTTCATTAATTTTATGCGTATATATTTGTCGAAACTTGATTTACTTTTGTCAGTAATATCCGATATAATTCAATTGCAATTGTATATAGCGAATATTATATATTGCGAAAAGCAAATATTGATGCGTATCGTTTTAGCAATGTGTGTCATTCGACACGTGTCACACGTGGCGCGACGTTTCATGAATGAATAATCAAATCTTATTGCGCGGGCGAATTTTGGTGCTCACACGGCATCTGGCGATTAGGAGTGGGAGTCCGGAGTTACATTTTAAAGCGGGAATTATATTGCTGGACCGTTGAGTCACCAGCGTCAGTCTTTCTCCATCGTCTGTTTGGATCTCTGAGAACGAACGTCTCGGCATAGTTGTCATTATTTTTTTTTCGTACAATTAATATAAACTTTTTGAATTGTGTGCAATATGATGTCGCTTATGTGGATGAATTACTTAAAAGGCAGAACGAAAAAACGACATATCAAACGAAGACGTGAAGTTCACAGATATGTACGCGGAAAAACTTAGTGCAAAAACAATACTGACTTAAACGCTCATATCATTAATTAAAGTTTAAATATGTATATATTTTTTCTAATTTTTTATTTAATACTGAAAATTATACGCAGTAAATATTTTTAGAATACTTTTGTGAAAACTGATAAAACGGAATAACGAGAATTCGTGAATTATTTCCAGATGAGAGACGACAGGAGAACATCGATGGAAGGTGAGAGACTTAGCGACAATAGTGGTGGTGGTGGCGGTGATGGTGGTGGAATTATCGACGGAAATGGAAGCCGCCCCCTTTCGCAGACATCTAGCGAGATGGATACCCTTGGACCATTGCAACCTGTCAAACATCGCGAAAAGGCAAAACTTCAGGTAATGCCTTCAAATTTATTGATTACCGATGTAAAAATACAAGCAACAGAGTCGAGAACTGCTAAAATGCTAATTCAGAAAAGGAGCTCGGTTTTTACTCGAAGAAATTACATTCAAGTTAAATTAGTTGTTTTTAATATCCGCGATTCTGTTTTACTTAAACAGAGAAAGCTTTAATCTGTTCAGCGTTTTATTTTTATGTGGATCAAAATTCGACGAAGAACGAACTTTTACAGAGGCCGCTCACGAGGCACCTTCCGATCAAGTCGGAATCCCTGGATCTAAGGCATCATATAGAAACTGCTGGGCATCAGTTACCTTTGATTTATGATGTTACGGTCGACACGACGAGTTGCAGTGGTTATTTATCAAAGATGAGCAAAAAGTTTCATCACTGGAACAAACGATGGTTCGTTTTTGATCGCAGACGGAAGACATTATCTTACTACAGCGATAACACTTCCAGGAAGGCTCGCGGCGTAATTTATTTCCAGGTAAGTGTCACAATTTCTTAATAGATAAGCTTGTCTGTTAAGAATTTTAATACTAAATATCAACTAATCGACATTAATGATCTCGTAGTCGATCGAAGAAGTCTATGTGGACCATATGAACACTGTCCGATCGCCGCAACCTTCCCTCACGTTCATCGTCAAGACTACGTCTAGGCTTTATCATCTTATGGCACCCAGCCCAGAAGCTATGCGCGTTTGGGTGGACGTTGTGTTCACTGGTGCAGAGGGATATCACGAGTTTGATCACGGTGTTTGATTTATGCTTATTTATAAACCAATTTCCATGATGCAAAATCAAATTTTCTAATTTGCCGTGACACGAATATGATGATTTCTTGGTCTTTAATAACAATAACGAGAAATTATTTCATAAGGAATTATACCTAAAATCTCAGAACGCGATTCTTGACTAAAAACACAAATGAATAATGCATAAAGTACAGAGATATAAATTAGAAATAACAATTATTTTTTTAAATCTCTTTTGGAAATGTCTAATAATTTTACGTTATAATAGAAAATTTTTCTACATTAGATAATATTCCTTATTAGATAGCATTTCTATGTATCTTTATGAAAAACGAACACGATAATTAGAAAAAAAATAAGGACAAACGCGAGGATTGAGCTGCTACTAAAAAAATAAACAAGGCAACTAAATATAAATAAAAAAATGTATTAAAAAAGCTATTTATATGATTATTATACAAAATTAAGAGATACGTTAATTGAATATTATGAATTTAAAACGTAATTACTAAGCTTTACACAATTTTATTAATGCAATGATAAATTCAAACTACTGTTCGTAGTAGTTTCGCTAGTACTTTCGATCGGTTTCTTTTCTTGAACCCGAAGTAATTTTTCTCAAGAATGCCATACGCTTATCCGTAATAGTGAAAGAACATCAGAGGTATCATCCTAAATCATTATGTTCATTTTAATTTAGAAATCTAGAGAAGATCGATTTTTCATAGAATCAGGTCCTTCGATTTATCTGTACTTTACAGAAAAATAACAAATCTGGTAAATGCAAGATAAGACATGAAAAATTATTTATTTCAGTATTTGAAGTGTACAATTTAAAATAATTCTTGATATGTAATAATATTTCTTTACTACTTTTTTTATTAAAATATTTTTTATTGAACGATTTAATTTTTATATTTTATATTTACTGAGAAATGCATACAATTCATAAGTTGCAAAAAAAATTACATATAAAACGTATATTTTTGATAAAATAAGCAAATACAAATTAATAAAAAATGTTAGAGTAGAAGTTCCGAAAATTTTCTTGCGAAAAAGTTTTATACATATAATAATATATTTTATATTATTTCGAGTGTATTAAAGATATAAATCTTATAAATTTTCGACAGTCTAATATCACTTCAAGCACTGAATTCTTCGAGCTATTTGAAAGAATGGGCATTAATAGTACGTCATGCGAGAGTATTATATTCATTACCATCCAGATTAATCATAAATAAACTTTTACCAACCTAAGTAGATAAGTGTTATTAGGATTTGTTAAATTTTATAGATACTTCTAATCTAGTCTTCCAGCGTATAAATACAAGAGGATTTGTGAAAAAGTTACACGGCTAAACGAACTGTAATGAAAGAAAACTACAAAAATTTTGTATGCGTCCGATAAACTGGAGGGGAAAAAAAGTCAATATTTGTAAATATAACATATATAATTGTGCTGTTACTTTAATAATGCGTGAGATTCATGTTTTGATATCATGCCATACGTATGCCAAGGATTAAATGGAATAAGACTTCTTACTATTTTATAAAAGATCCACACGTGTCTTGAACTGAGACTTATTTTACGTAATAAGAGTATTATAGCAAAATCGATATCATTATTATTGTACTTTAATAACGCCGCACATATTCAAATAAATATGCGCTCCACATTTAATTTAAAAGATTATATAAAAGATACACTATCTCGACAATCAAATAATAATACACTGCTATAATTCGAAGATTTGATGGTCTGTTACACTCTTTTAAGAAAAATATAAATTTGAATTAATATAGCAATATTTTGTATTTCTTTGCATCCTATTGATTCCTAATGCATATCGCCGCGTTGATAGAAAAGTGATACTTTAAGTAAAAAAAATTATTATTTTTGAGATAATGAAAGAAATCAATTCTACACTTTTTTATCAACATGGCGATATAAATAATGATATTAATATGTACGTATAATTTATGGTAAATAAATTCAATATCTGTTTCGCTTTCTTTAACTTCTTTATCTCGAATTCAAAGAATACGTGACAAGAGAGACGGGAAGTACGTTGTCAGCGCTTAATTTAGCGTTACTGCATTATTCTATCTTTATATTCATTAGACGTAAAATAAGAATAGGATAAATTAATATAGCGTTGACGATCATTAACAATCAATATAAGCGCTATTAAGTTATTCGTGCACGCTATCGAGCGTATTTAGAGTGCTCCCCGAATGCGCCCAAACTTCGAATCGTTATATGTAGCATAATACGTCACTGGAGTCTCCAGTTTGGAAGTAAGCACGAAAAACAGTTATGTCGTCACATCAATTCCCAAGAAATATCAAATATATAGCATCGTTTCACCAGAAGTGTCGGCAGAGTCTGTATCCGTCCAGTAATATAAACAGATTCGCAGTACCGGAGGAAAAAATACCATGGTCGGTCGATTATCCCGACTACAAACCGGTCGCATATAGCGCTGCTGCTCTCAAGGGTAAACCTTGGGCCGATCCAGAAATCAACGATCCTACCTTCAAACCAAAATGGAATGTGTTGGATGGTAACTAACTTCTCTCTGTTCATCTAACTAATAAATTCAGAACAGTTGTCGAAAATTAAAAAAGAAAAGTAAAGAAAAGAGGTGTCAAATCAGTTTCTTAGGTTAACATAAATACACTGCGCATGCGAGGCAAGATATTACCTTTTCTTTTCACGAATTATATTTGGAATATAATTTTTGACAGACAACGTGAATCGAAAGAGTTTCACGGGTGACTACGTTGTGAACGCGGATGGTTACCCCTTAAATCCCGTGGGGCGAACCGGCATCCTTGGACGTGGACTTCTCGGCCGATGGGGACCGAATCACGCCGCCGATCCCATCGTCACGCGATGGAAACGCGACTGCAACACGGGGACCGTGGAAGTGAACGAGCACACGGGAAAGCCTGTACTACAGTTCGTCGCGATACAGAGGCGGGATTCCGGGGAATGGGCCATCCCGGGGGGTATGGTTGATCCGAATGAGACGGTTTCCGCGACTTTGATGAGAGAATTCATGGAGGAAGCGCTGAGCTACCTAGAAATGGATAACGCCGAGAGAAACTCCCTTCAAAATTCTATAAGGAAGTTCTTCGCGAAAGGCGACGAGGTCTACAAGGGATACGTGGATGACCCGCGAAATACTGACAACGCTTGGATGGAGACGGTGGCTATGAACTTTCACGACGAGGAAAACAGCGTCGTCGGGAAGCTCGCGTTGAGGGCTGGGGACGATGCGCGTAACGTTAGGTGGATGGACCTGAATAAAGAAATAAATTTATATGCCAATCATAGCGAATTTGTAAAAAGAGCTGTGTTGAAACGTCATGCACACTGGTGAAGCGCAGTCGCAATTACAATGATCTCGTCTGGAGGAGAGAAGGATATTTAAAAAAAAAACGATATAATTATAAAAACATTTTTGTATTATGTCTAGTATAAGTACTATACCCATACATACTTTCCGCACTGTGCAGAGCACAAGGGTAAATCGCTAAATATGATTATCGTCGTTTGTGTCAAACTATGCTAAAAAATCTTACGTTTGATACACGTCTTCAAAGATAAAATGAGATTTTTCAATGTAAAAGCTAACAAAATATACATCTAACAAAAATATCGATTATAATCGATCAGGACTCGGAAGTTTATGAGGACGTACCTCCAATCTTCAAACTTCAGCTGTTCAGCTCTATTATGTATATTTCCATAATCCTATTGTTTGCGCATCACAGTCATATTCAAACAACACAAATTAGGTAACGTTATATTATATATGTTACCTAAAAAAAACCTGATAATCGTTAAAATCCGATTTCACTAGTTAAAACTAGTTTTAAATTTAGTTAAAACGAAGTCTGTAATCGTAGTTTCACATGGGTTTTCGACTTTGCACGCTTAGCGAGATTTAACCCCTCCCCCCTCCCCTGTTTATGAAGAGAAACGAGGTCTATAATTGTATTGTCCACATAGATTTTCGATTTTACGTCTAATCAACCATTCTAGTTTTAACTAATGAATTCAAACTAATGAATTCGGGTTTTGACGATAACATATATAAACATAAAATAAGAAAAAATCACATTAATATCTATATAATGTATCATAAAATTATATTAACTTAAAAATAGTAAATAAAGGATCTTTAAACGTTAAACGTTCATAAAGTAATAATGTTTCGTTTTAAGTAAAAGATAATACGAAAAAAAGTGGAATTTTGAAACAGCAGAATTTTGGATAGTGCAATGTATCATAAATTGAGCAAATATTTCATCGATATCGCATGCAGATTCTCGTAAAAATACTCGGATAAAAAAAAAACAGTAATTATATAAAATAATACTACATGTAGGAATTAGTACTATTTATATCACTATACCTAATTCCATTTGATCTTACACTGAGATAACAAAAGTATTTTTGTACATTTTAATATGACACGCGACAATCGTTGGTAGTTATCATAATGGGTGTTTGAGTAGGCTGTTTTAAGCCGAGGAAGTCTAAAAATACCTGACTGGATTTCGTAATTGTACTGAATGTGTCATCGACGTTTGTATATAACATAAAATCGCTTAATTTAATGGGCGTATCATTTCCATCATTTTTCTCTAAATCTGAATTTTTTAGATTTACGTTTAGCGAAGTAGAAACATTTTTCTTCGATTTTCTTCGACTTTCAGCTTTTTCTAAATCAAGTGCATGTTGCGCTTGTACCTGACCCAATCTTGCTGCTCTGGTGAAATAAGTGCGCGCGGTATCGATATCGATTTGTAAACCGCCCCGTCCTTGGGCATGGAAAACTCCCAAATTATACAACGCATCGGCATGATCGTGGGCCGCGGCATCATTGTAATATTTTGCAGCCTGAAGGAAAATTATACTTTTATATATTTCTTACAAGGCTATTTCTCCTTACACTTCGTCTATATATAAATCTATATATAAATCGTCTATTTTTTAATTTCACAAAAAATGTCAAATATCCTTTTTTTATCTTTGTACAAAGATTTCGAAAAGATTTTCATCCTGACTGAATGGTATAGTCTAATAAATATAGTCTAATAAACTATTCCTCTCGTATTTTTTAAATATTATCTAGACGTTAGAGAATGTACCTTTGCTTGATCTGCCAAAGTCCCGATGCCTAATTCGTAACATAGACCTAAATTGAACATGCTTCCGGGGGATGATAATTTAGCGCCAACAGTAAAATGCATTAAAGCGTCTTTATAACGTTTCTCCTCTAAAGCTTTAATACCAAAACGGAGCTCGTATTCTCCTACCACTATGTTATGAGTATTTGTAAATTCATCGGCAGCCTGTTTGAATGCCTGAGAATATAGAAAATATAAGGATCTATAAAAATATAGAAACTTCTACTCTTTTTACACACACAGGGAATAAAATTTTTCCAAAAAGAAATTTTTTAAGTTATTCAAAAAAGAAACAAAGAATAGAGAAAATAGATGTATAAGTCTTTATTCTTCAATTTTTGGAATGCACTGTGCTAAATACACTACAGCTTTAAATCCAGAAATATATCTTATTCACAAATGATAAAAAAAAAACCACATGAATTATAACACATGTGATTATAAATTATCTATCTGCATGGATTACAAAAATAATATCGTGATAAATATGATACATAACAAAAAAAATAAAGAAAATGTTCGCTAAAGAGAAAGTACCTTCGAATTTGTCAGATAATAAAGTGAAAAACCGCTTTCTGCATATTTATTTAGTTATTAAAGAATCAATATGAAGAGACATAGTAATTAAGAACATAATAATTCTCTCTAATAAAATATTAAAAGTTATATATGTGTATAATTATTTCTCATGTTATATATACATTGATTTTTAAAAATATACTTGGAAGAAATATATATTATTGTTGTAAGATTTCATGTTAATTCAATTTTTGCCTATGCACCAGACTGCGGTACCGTTACAGAGTATAATGCCGGCAAAATAACATCCTCACCTCTTCAATGGTGATAGGACCAAACGATTTTTCTGCAGTCCATTGTGAATTTGAATCCTGCAGATTAGCGCTTTTTTTGCTGGTACCAATGCAATTAGTAACCGGCAGGATTTTCCTTGGTTGTAAATTTAATAATTGCGTAAGTATGTATGAAACTCCTTTAGAGTTTGAATCGAAGATCTTAAAACTCGGGAAACTCCTTTTCAAGATATCATTGTTATCTCTGTCAAAGACCCTTTTGCGGAGACAGAGTGTTTGGCACACGATCCATCCAGCCGCCAGTACACTGGACTAGTTAAAATATAGATACAAGTCACAGTATTAGCGGTAAAGACCATTTTTTCGGCGTTGCTAAAAAGTGTTGCATAACAGGCTTGTTTTAAAAACGTATATTTACCCAGCCGACCGCCTCTGACCAACTGTGCTTGGCATTCCAATCGGAATCGTGTCGCTCGTTTTTAGCACCGGCGCTTTTGGCCGATTCGCAGAAACCCTTATCACAAGTGATAAAGACTGGCGGAAGAAACTTTTGTTGGCACGTCAAGCTTGTTTTGACTTCGTTCTTCGCGTTATCCTGTGACGACTGCGAATAAACGTTGGTGCGACAAACGCGTCGCTCCAACGTTTCTCGGATTCCGCGAAATACGACTTTCCACATTTCCTCCTTCTCTTCTCTCCTTTATATGTTGGAAAGATATTGTGAACAGCTAAAATTATAAAATGTAGTAAAGAAGCACCTCTACTCCGAAGCTCCGCTACAAAGTTAAATCTACGCTGTACTAAAACGATGAACGTGCTGAGAAGTCACGTTCACGTGTAAATATACGCGAAAAACAAACTGGCAGCCTTTTTATACCAAATAGTCCTATTTGTTGTTACTACAAAAAGTCTCTACTCGAGCCAGAGAGGCTCGAGCAAAGAGAACTGACTTGAGAGCCAATTAGAATACTCGATAACTTTACACTCCTACCAGAGAGGATCCTCTCTGCTCCTACCAATAAACATTAAGATTACTAAAAACAGTTTGCCGTGGTTAAGTTGGCAATACTTATTAGCTGCCTAGTTCAGTAACAAAATTGTACCTAACCTATATAACCTCCATATTCTTGCTTCATGATAACCTCGTGGAAATTGAAGACCACGCTGTATAGATTTTTAGTAATAATTACGCGCGATTAATACGTATTTATTTGTGTAAAAAAATTAATATTTTTTTTTAAATCAAAATGGGGAAAAAATCGAAGATTGGAAAGCAGAGAAAGGATAAATACTATCAATTAGCCAAAGAAACTGGTAAGTAATATTAATTATTTGTACATACTGATTGAATTACTAAATTAAAGACTGTATATCAGCTTCAAATGCGGTAGTATTTTAATCAAATATTTAGCAGTTAATCGTATCGTCGAAATAATTATTAAAATTTAATGTTTTATGCAGGTTATAGGTCGCGTGCTGCTTTCAAGTTGATTCAATTAAATCGGAAATTCGAATTTCTTCAAAAGTCCAGAGTATGCATCGATTTGTGCGCTGCACCTGGCGGCTGGATGCAAGTTGCCAGGCAAAATATGCCAATATCATCGATAGTCATTGGTGTGGACTTATTTCCGATAAAGCCCATTCCGGGATGTCTCAGTCTCGTGGAAGATATTACAACAGACAAATGTAGAGTTGCTATCTCACGTGAATTGAAAACATGGAAGGCTGATGTTGTTTTGAACGATGGTGCTCCCAATGTAGGAAAAAATTGGCTTCACGACGCGTATCAGCAGGCTGTTCTGACGTTATCAGCTCTTAAATTAGCTACTCAATTCTTAAAAGCTGGTGGTTGGTTTGTAACAAAAGTATTCCGCTCTAAGGATTATCACCCATTGATCTGGGTGTTGAAACAATTGTTTAAGAAGGTACTAATATCACTTAAGAAACATTTATTTATTTATTATCTATCATTTTTCATTACTGTAAATTTAATTACAGGTACATGCTACTAAACCTCAAGCATCACGTAGTGAATCTGCAGAAATTTTTGTAGTTTGTCAATATTATATTGCTCCTGATAAAGTAGATTCCAAGTTCTTCGATCCAAAGCATGTCTTTTCTGAATTGCAAATAGAAACTACGAACAAATTAAATGTTCTTCATCCAGAGAAGCTAAAGAAACATAAAGTAGAGGGATATCCTGAGAACGATTACACGTTATATCATAAATTATCTGCAAAAGAGTTTATCGCCTGCGAAGACGCAATAAAAGCTTTGGAGAATACTTCCGAAATCGTGATAGACGATGAGTTCATCGACAAGCACGAGAAAACGACTAAAGAAATTAGGGAATGCTGTAAGGATATTAAAGTACTTGGACGAAAAGATGTGAAGCTCCTACTCAATTGGTGGAAAGCGTTAAAACACACGCAAACCGAAACAAATGAAGCGAAAAATATAACTGAAGATGAAACTACTGCCGCATCTGCCGCCGTTAGTCTCGAAGAACAGGAGGATTTGGAAGACGAGGCAATTCAAAAGCAGATTGCCGAGCTCCGGCAAGCAGAAGCCAGAGAGTTAAAACGGAAAAAGAAGAAGGCTAATAAGGAAAGGCAGAAGTTGAACGAACGTCTCAATTTGAAAATGGTTCACAAGATCGACGAGGGACCTAAATTGGAAGGAGACGATTTGTTTAATTTGAATCAGATTCAAACCAATCAGCAATTAGAGCAAGCTGTAGATCAAACGCCTGACGTCGTGGCAGAGAGCGATGTGGACTCGGACGAGGAAATCAAACCGAAAACGATTCATTACGAGAAAGATGCAGGTCATTTGGACAGCAAGGGCTTGTACTACAAATCAGAAGAAAGTGAGAAAAGTGACACTGATGCCTCAGATGATGACAGCGAGAAATCTGGACTAGGTATTATAAATAAAATATTAACGCTGATTTCAATATCATTATTCAAATAATCTCAGCTAAAAAGATTGATATCTTGTGTTTAATTTAATTTTTGAATTTGTAACAAAAGCTATAAAATTAATACAATAACAATTAGAGGCCATGAGCCAAGCACGTTATTTAATGCTAAATAATAAATGTGTCAATACAATTGAAAATAGACGTTTTGACTGTTATTCGGTCATTATCAATGTTAAATATCTGCTGTAAATGCTATTAAGGTAAATGTACCAGTGACTGAACATGTATTTATATTGGAACACGTACACAAAAATTTATTTTTAAATGCTTTTTTTATATTATAATTTAATTGTAATCTTTAAATAGTTTTACAAATAAATTTTGATATATTAAAAAAAGAGCATTTCAGATTAATAAATTTTTCTGTACGTATTCAGATATAGATCCATGTTCAATCACTGGTGCGTTTACCTTACAATATGTAAGAATTTAGCAAACAGAATAAAGTATTATTTTAAAAACAGTATTATTAACATATTGTAATAGCGTTTAGAGCATAGAGATATTTAACATTGATAATGACCGGATAACGGTCGAAACATCTATTCTCAGTTGACATATTTATTACTTAGCAACATATTTATTACTTAAACAATGTGCTTGGTTCGTGGCCTCTAATTGTTATTGTATTAATTTTATATTATTAGAGCCATTTTTATTTTTTAACTTATTAAAAGCTATAAAATTATTATTGCAATACAGGTTTGGACGATTCAGAGGATGACAGTACAAATAAACCGCAAAAGAAGCAACAACTTAAAGATTCCGAAAGCAATCCGTTATTAACTGATCTAGATTTCCGGGACAAAGAAACTAAAAGAGCTCATAAAGCAGCACTCTGGTTTCAGAAAGATGTGTTTAAAAACTTGGAGAATGAAGATGATGCAGATTATGAATTAGATAAAATAATTGAACAATATAAGAAGAAAGGCGGACATGTTCTCGGAGAAGAGAAGAAGGTGCAAGAGAAAGTGAGTGAGGAAAAGAAACGAAAACGCAAAATCAGTGAAAATACTGAAAATGATGATTCAAATTCGGATTATGATATGGAAGAAATGATGGCGCCTAATAAAACATTGAAAAAAATCAGCGGAAAGGATGGTTTTGAGGTAGTGCCACAAGAAACAGGTAAAGAAGTTTTCGTTGATTTTACATTTTGACTAAGTGATTGAGGTTATTAATAATTATTGGCATAATTATATAATTTTTTATTATTATCTACAATTTATTATTATTAACATACATTTTTTATTTACGATTAATCAGATAAAAAGCCGAAGAAAAAGAAATTGACTCCCGAAGATTTAGCGCTCGGATCGTTGCTGATTCAAAGTAAAAAATCTCGAAGAGATCTGACTGACTCGGCTTGGAATAGATATGCGTTTAACGACGAGAAATTGCCCGATTGGTTTGTGAAGGATGAGGAAAAGCACATGAAGAAGGAGGTGCCCGTGCCTAAAGAACTTGCCGATGAATATAAAAAGAGAGTGGAGGACTTGAATGTAAGACCTATTAAGAAAGTAATGGAGGCTAAAGGAAGGAAAAAGAAACGCGCGATGCGCAAACTTGAGAAGGCCAAGAAGAAGGTTGAAGCATTGATGGATAATGTAGATATTAGCGACAGGGAGAAGGCCAAACAAGTTAGAGCGTAAGTACTTTTTTATTTTTTTCGTTTTAGGACGTCTAATCTTGATGAATATACTGTTTCCAACTTTCGATCTTTAATTTGATTTAAGGTTGTACAAGAAAGCTCGTCAGGAGCCAAAGAAGGAAGTCACATATATCGTAGCGAAGAAACATACCGCGCAGAAGCGGGCCGTTCGGCCTCCCGGTGTGAAAGGTCGATATAAAATAGTCGATCCGAGGATGAAGAAAGATTTACGCGCGGCGAAAGCGAAGGAAAAAACTAAAGGACGTGGAAAGAAAAATCGAGGCAATAATCGGGGCAAAAAACCGAGGGCGCAGCCTAAAACCATGAAGAGGAAAAGTAAATGATCGCCTTATTTCCCCACATTGCAAAACATTGTTTAATTCATAAGGACTACAACCTTATGCATCTATTTGCATAATTCAGTTGCGGATATTTAAATAAATATTTTTATTACAGTACATATTTGAAAGAGAGAATTTTCCGGATTTCTTCCCCCATTCTAAATTAGTCCATCGATTTTATATTTCTGCTTCTCTTATAATTATTGGCGATGGGGTTTAAAATAAAATAAATGTGTTGATGCGGAACGCGTATTACTGTAGTAAAGAGATAAATTACGGAGTCTACACTTAGATATTGTTTACACACAGACGTCCAATTCTGTCCACCAATCAACCGACGCGGAATGTATACTGTGTTAATAAATAGTAGTGGAATATGATCTTATTCGCGGTTGCACGAGATTAGTCGAACTTGTCCTTGTTGTTATTTCGGGCAATTCTGTTTTGTGCATAATGTCGATGTGGATACAGAAATAACTCGAGACTTTTCCCCCCCTCTTGTCCACCCCCACAATGAAATGACGGCAGAACAAGTAGTTACAGGAGAGTCGCGAGTTGTAAATCGCGCTCTGGCGCATAGCGCGTAAAATAAATCATGAATAAAAAAAAGGGGCCATTTATAGATCGCGAACAAACTGTCATTCGTTACGCTCTCGTTACATCTCTCTCTCTCTCTGTGCACGTTGGAGAATGAGCTTCCGAAAAGTTTTTACATAATCTTATGAAACATTCTACGTAAAAATCTACCATCCGGGTTTGTCGCCCATCGCTATAGATCGCGTCGCCCTACACCCTCTTTAAATACCTCCCCCCCTCCCCTCCCCCTCCGTCCGTCCGACGAGGTAAGTCCCTCCCACGGGGTACGTTTCTCTCGGCCGGTCTGTTCCGCGTGTATCGGATATCTCGATGTGACTGCGGGCCGCCGCTCGCCTGCGTAGCGTCGGGACGCTGCGGTCGATGTCAAGGACAAGGCCGGCGGTATCTATAAAGATCGCCTCGCGCGTCGGCGGCGTCGATGCACCGTCATTCGCGAGAGTAGCCATCGAAACGCGATTGCCCGCACGCGGATGGCGGTGCGGGCGCCAAGATTCGTCATCGGCCGCACGACGTTCAATTTGTATGAAATATATGGAACGGATCGCATGGCATCGCTTTAGTCAGTGTGTTTACCGCATGTACAGCTATAGCACGGCAATTGAATAGAACTACAAATCCGTCACAATAATCCGTCCGTTCTCTCGCGCGTTCCCTAACGCGTAGAAAATGTTAATGAGACTCCCGAGGCCGAGAGCGAACTCGCGCAGCTAGACCTGCTATACCGAAAGTTGTTTATTGCCATTAAGTATACCGTTCGTGTATTTTCGCAGTCGCTGTCTGGTGGTAGGTAGGTGGCAGATATCGGTGATGCCACTTGGTTGCAACTGCGTAGCTGCAACGGTCGATGTCAAGGCCGGGAGATGTAGAGACCGCTTATTGCAAGACCAAATTGACGCGCTACTAACTCCCGATATTGGGAGGAAGAATTCGACCCAAATAGCACGTACACACACACACACATACATACACGTCTGTCGCCTACGCGCCTGTAAGCGGATGTTTCTCTTTTATTTCGGACGGATTTATTTCGCTTTGTCTCATGATGATGCACTCGTTTAGGTACGCGAGATTATACTCTGCATATAGCAATGCATGTACCGAGTCTGCACGCAGAGACATTTGATTTTGATCGCAACGCAGTTTAACGTCCGGTAGGTTCGTTATGCATTTAGTTCAAGCGTCGTTTCACGCGCTCGAATACCTGAATATTAAGTATCTTGAAGTGAACATATAAATCTAAGGCAAAGATTGGCATCGCGGCTTTAGCCTTAAAAAGCGTAAAAATATCTCGAGCGCGCGCGCGCTAACACCCACTTGTTACCCGCCTGGCTGCCGTTTTATCGCGAGCCAACTTTGTATGCGGTGGCGGTGGCGGTGGCGGCGGCGACGACGGGCGCCGGACATTTGCATCAAAAGATCGCGATCGCGCCGCGTCGTCGGCGCCGCTAATAAATTCAATAAGTCGGAGCGCGCGCGCGGAGGTGAACGATTCCGTCGGCCGATCGACTTGTAGCAACTTATAATCGCTCGCGGCTAATCCGCGCTCTATTAACCGCGCCGGGTCGCCGCGCGCGCGATATCCCGCGGCGTGTCGTGCTTCTTGGAATGCGCGATATACGCGAAAAGGCGTCAGCGTATTTGTGTATCTACACACGCGGTAGGCGCGCTTACGTCAAGGGCGACCTCGACTCTCCCGTCTCTCTGCATGTAATCCGCTGCGAGAATCGGTCCGGCACCGACTATTTTGTTCGGCTAACAAATTGCGACTCCGGCGGTCCGCAGCCTGAGAGCGCAGGGCGGACCTGAAAGGCCCGACCGTGTCCTTCGGAAAAATTTTCGAATGCTCCGCCTATTCTTAGCGGGCGATCTATTCGTAGATCGCCATCTCCGTCTACCTTCCCCCTTCGCCGACCGTTTGCCGACCACAGTTTCGAGGGAACCCTGCGTTCCGCGTTTACGCCATGATGGCACGGGGCAGTGCTAATCCTTGTGACGCAACGGCGCCAGGTCGCCGCGACGAGAGCGGGCGATTAGTCTCGCGCGAATGTAATTAATGTGATATACCCTACTCACCGCTCGCCGCCGCCGTCACCACCGCCGCCGTCGCCGTCACTTCCGGATACACGCCGATCCGATTTCCTTCCTCGGGACACCGCCGCACGATCCTTCGAGATCCTTCCTCGGATCCTTCCTACTCCGAGACGCTCGATTATGGTGCCGTTGGTACTGCCATTAAGACACACACTCACTCTCGCGTCGGAGTCGCCGGCGAGATCTGCGACCGATGACAGATTCGCGGATTTAATTATCGCGGATCGGCACTCGCCTGTCACGGCTGTCACTCCACGCGGCACTCCACGATCAACGATGCACCCGGGCGCATCGGATTGTTATTGATCCACTATCGGGATAACGCGAAACACGGAGACGCGCGCCAATCACTCTCGCGACGATCGTAGGCGTACTGCGATTTACGAAAAAATTCAAAATCTGACAAGTTGACAACTACGCGACGAAAAATTCATGGGGGGCAACCTAGCGCCGCCTGCGCCGCTCGCGGTCAGTAACCTTCGCGACACGGGCGAATGCGATTAGACGATATAGGGATATTGATATTGCGTATCCGCGGAACGAAGTTATTGCCCTCCCTGTGCTTGGAAACTTTTCGGACGGGAATCGACTCGATCTCGACGGGGAACGGGGGAAACGTGTGTGTGCCGTGTGCAATGTCGCGTCGGGCGTAACATCGGAACGGAATCGTAAAGTAATAAGACAAGGTATATATATAACATTTCCGTAGCCGAGCGCCTATTTACAGCGAATTACGGCCAACCAGGAATTTGTCCCCAATTTTAGACTACAACGTAGCCGTTATACGCGCTTACTCCACAATAGCCGTAAACCGTAAGGTAAGAGTTGATCAATCGTAGTCGAACGTGAGAAGAATAATCGATGGGTCAATTTTTACGGCTTACGACTATTGTGGAGTAACGCTTTTTTTTTAGCTACGCTCTACGTTTTTTCTTTCTGAAGATTGCGGAGACAAATCCCTCGATTGACCGTCGCTGTAAACAAGCGCACAGCGTACGGGAATGTTATTATTGCGCCTTGTCCTTTTTTTACGTCATGAATCGGAGCGCACGTAATCGCCGGAGTGTCGTGCTAATGTCGTGTGTTTCGCGTGATTTATTCGTTTGCACGTATCTCGCGGCGAATGTTGCATGGGAATGTCGTATAAAGTGGTGGTCGATCGTGATATTGCATTAATTGGACTGTACTTATCCTTGAATGAACGAACGCCCGAAACAATAGCGCAGCTGCTGGCGAAGCAATAATGAGGTTATATCGGCACATCGGCCGGTAAGTGTATTCTGTTACGTTCGCGCGACTAATTGTTTATTTACTTCCGCGTTGCCTCTTGCGCGCTATCGCAAATTAGAAAATGGTTTAAATTAAGTGTACGGTGATACGGGAACAACGGAATTGAAGTGAGAAAAAACGCAAGAAGGAAATATAAATATCGCGAACATTAATTCTTAACTATATTATACATATATTAATAATTAATGTAGAGTAAATGGTTTACTATTTAGAGACATGAGAAAAAAGTAATAAAAATAATTGTTCTTTACTTTGTATACAAACTTGTTGCGTTTTTTCTTTTCTATTAATTTTCAGCATTAATTGTGTGCAAAATGAAGTTTTATTAATTTTTCTAAATGAAAAACGTAATTGATCAAATAAGACAGGAATTCCAGAGATTCTATATTCATAATTGAATTAATTTAACATGCAGATAACGCTTAATTTAGAATTCCCCTACGAAGGAAACTTTGATTAAACTTTAATTAAAGTTTTTAACTAACTTAATCGGCGACTAATTTATCATATAATATCTGTAATATTTTAAGGAATTAATCTCTCGTTCTGTGAAGAGAAAGATTATATTAGGGATGACAAGTTATATTGAGAGATTTTGCTGCTAAACGATTAATTGAATTAAATTATGTTAATTGAATGAAATTAATGAAACCGATTAAATTAAGTTTTCAAGTTTCGTCTAACAATAAGTCATCTCAAGTTCCTCAAGAGATGCACCTGATATCAAGTATTGGATCGGAAGGAAAGTAACGTCTGTTGTATCTTTAATACAAAATTGGAGCAAATTTCTTCGTATTTATAAACTTTAATCGGTAATGTAACGGCCGTTTTTTTATAACCTTTCGCAATCTCTTTCAGGCAGCTGCATAATTCCACGTGCGTATAACTCGACATATGCGATTACGACATTCTTTTCATATACGACACATTTTTTTTTCGTTTGCGTCGCATTTTTTCCTTTTCAGAAGTAAAACAGCATGGAACAGCAAAAATACAGCTTATTTTGTCATTTTTCTCTCAATCTCAAGTGAACACAAACCCTTCTACATTATACAATTTTCAAAATGACGCTTAGAGATTTCAACTGTCAATAGCATGCATTTAAATTGAAGTTTCTTTCTAATAAAACACACTACAATCATGTATTTGAGACAATACGACATTACTTTCCTTCTAACCCAAAATATCAGTAGTTTCTTATTTAAAAAAAGATTGTTTATTTTTTAAATTATGTATAATGATCTTTTGATATATTTAAATATGTATAAAAACGAGATTGAAGCAATCGGGGGTAAAATTTGTATATTTCGTATTTTACGTATGTTTTCGTTTTAACCGTGGCCGCGTCGCGGTTCTATCAAGTAAACTCCGTACGATCGTAGTATGACTCGTACGATTTTCTACATGTGATTACATAGATAAATTAATCGATATTCGCTAGCATTTATATTAGCGTTTGTTTTGTGTACTAGTCGCGATTACTATTTGGGCTTGCTCTATCGATTACACAATACAGTGAAAGCGTTACAATCGTTACAGTTATAAAAATTGTTTCATCGTGTTTATGTTGCGATACTAAATTTACTCGAAATTGATATTGCATGAAAAAAAAAAATATAGAATGCAATCAGAAGTAATAAAAAAAATATATTGGACGATTGCTGTATTCGTGTGTTGGATCTATCAATAATGGATTTTAATAGGTTGAGGCTTTTGTTAAAGTGATCTCCGCAATATCGAAGCTTAGACAGTATGCTTATAGTGCCTAATGGAAAATCCTCTGGTGAGCACTCTTTATTCCGCCAAAAATACAACCTCCGAGGGTATACTTGATGTTGCCTTTTATAGTCTCCAAGTTTTTTTATATAGAGACGATAAAAGTCCTTGTGTGAGGGGAAAGAGGAAACGAATAGTCCATAACAAGAGCAAGAGAAGGAGAGATTGAGTGCGCGGAAAAAGAGAGAAAATTGGGGAGAGGAAAAGGGAGGAAAAAAGAGAAAGAAAGAGAGAATGGACGAGGGAGCTGCCGAGGGTGCGGTAATTGAGGATCGTTAACGCGTCCTCGAGGGAGATCGAGCGGAGTGGCTGGATTTCGCTAGGTCCCTCTATTCCACCCTCCCGCCTCTGTCCCGCCGCCCCCGTCGCGGCCGCGGCACCGTCGACCTTCATTCGTTCAGGAGTGGATGGACCTTGTTCGTCATCGGGCCGTGGTATAAGGTCAAGGTTGTCGCTCCCGGCGCGCGTGAGCGCGACCTCCGGGTGCATCGAGCGAACTGCGCGCGCACTCGATGTCTGCGTCGCGACGCTCACAGCCCTACCGTCGCACCTCCGTTGTCGCCGCGTGCCACTGCCAAGGTTCCCCTCGTTGGTCACGGGCAAACCCGTTACACGCGGATTGCTTGCCGAGAGCAACGAGGTCGGCCCGTAGATTGATAAGGGATTCTAGCGTAGGATACGTTATTTAATCCTTCGCGCTGGTAGGGACGACGTTTTATCACTCGGGATACGAACGTGACTGAGAGAATGTAAGTGGGAAGTTGCCGGGTTGGAGTCGGTAAATGAATCTCGTCGCATTCGTACAGAATGTAACGCCGACGAATATATATCTCTCGCTCCGATCGCCTTTCACATTTCATTGGTAGCTATATCGCGAAATAAAGAATACAGAGGGTTTTGTAACATCGATCTCTTTTTCCGTTACTCGTCAGGAGTATTACTTATTGTGAAACACCGAACATGTATGCTTTAAGTAGGGGAGAATAGGGGCGGGAAGGTCGGAAGCTGAGGGTGAGTTGTTCAAGGGAGCGAGCAAGTTCAAGGCTGCTCAGTCCGGGCCATGTCCGGGCCACGTCCGGGCGTTCCAACGCAAATACGATTTGGTTTCGAGGGCACTCGAGTATCGAGACAACAGAGTTCAGTCTTGAACTACCTAGTAATTTCGCGCTGGAATCGAGTTTCGCGCGCGCTAGCTGCATTACATCATAATACTGAATAACCAATTATTATGTTTATCAACGAGGGACTTATCACTTATGGAAAATTTGACGAGAAATTCAATTAATATTTTTTCGCACACTTAATATACTTTGACGAGCAACGATGCCCTCGACGATGCCCATCAAGTCCACACAGTGTTTACGATATTACAAAGACGATATCAAATTTTCAACGCAATCGGCCGCATATCGGTGACCATTCGCGTCATTATTCTGCGTAGTCAGTGAATTATCATGTAGTAATGATGTCATAAGAACATTTTCTTACGAAACGCCTACTTGAGCACCAACTTGCAAAACATTATCACATATGGTAATCTACTTCTACTCGAGAAATATTTTCGTCCTATATCGATAAATTTCTGATATTTTTAGTATTTTTGGTCGATCAAAATTTTTTTCGATCAACTAAGGTAAATATTTTTCTGTGATTAGATTTACTTTTCCTGCAGAAAAATAATATTTTCGCTTTAAAACTTTCTTGAACATTAAGCTTTTTCAATTTGATTTTTTTTTTATTTCGTCTTCAACGAGGCGAGAACTTATCAATTTTATCATCGAAAGACGCGCCCCTTTAAAAGCGTAATTCCTTCTAATAAGCTCCGTTACGGATATAGCCCGCCCCTTCTAGGCGTTGACGTTTTTCTTTGGACCTGGAAAATCCATTCGCCCTCTTTTCCTATTTTCCGTGTGGGACGTGCATTCGAGCGCGGTAACCTTGAACTTCATCACTTCTTTCGTCTCTTCTCTCTCCATCGCGTCGCTTCTCTCTTTCTCTCTCCCTCTCTCTCTCGCCTGCGCGAACCACTGACGTCACGGCTATCGACCTGAAATCTCGAGGCTACATCTATACCTATCCCACGTGGGCGCATCAACGCACGTATATGTCACTCGTATTATCGTCGCGATGTACAATATACGAATGATACATAAAGCTCATTTACTCTAGTTAGACTTATTGTGTATACTATTCATACCGTGCTTAGATTTAATCTCGCTGCAAATATAGCTAAACTACTATGGCTGCATTTAGCAAGAAGAATCTTAAGTACGCTTGCAAAGTTTAACTTTCCATAATAGAGTTTCATGGAGATCATATATAACTAAAATAGCAGAAGAACGGAGTACTGCTTTACGTGATATTTCTTTCAAGATCATAATCTGGTTGAAGTTTAAATTAAATCCTTGGCTGGGGGAGGGGGCCCTTTCTCTCTGAGTATTTTAGATGAACACAATGAATGCATTATTTGGCAATGACAAACACAAGATGTCTTTTTTGTCATGTCGTATCAATCAAAAGTTCACGACAGAATGCTGCGATGTATCGAGAGTCATTTCATGTTACGAACATTGAATATCCGCTTTTTTACTTGCGGCCGTAACTCGTAAATCTCACTATCTTAGACATCTTAGTGGGTGGGATGAGTACGTTACATGGCTGTGACTTTTTTTAGTTAAGAAACGATTTAAAAATTCAATGGTCACGAATTTCGTTCTTTTCGACTATATACAAGAACGAGAAATATTTCATTATGACATTAGAAGGGCGACTTGGGATGGGATGACTTAAAAAGGAATTATATACGGTCTTCCATTTTTTCGTACGTAACATAACTTCTACAAGTCAATGTCGATTGGTTATGGTCGTTAGTAGGTTTCTCTAGTTTCCCTTAGGGCCGATTATGAGTTAAAAATAAATTACAAATAGTTAAAAAATAGAAATTGATAGATAACGGTCGTTACCGCTGTTTGACCTTCTTATTCAATGGTGTTATTTTTCTTATAACCTCGAGATAACAAGTTAATTTACAATTTTCTCACTCTATATAGAAATATTATTAGATATATCTTAAATAATCTAAGAAAATATATTTATATTTATTTATTCTTACAATCGCATTAATTAGAAAGTACGCGGATTTTTTTTTTCGTAAGAATGCATAACGTATTATTTTTGTCCGTAGACTAGCGTGCAAACGGAAC